TTTATCAATTTTTAGCATATGGTGCAATGGATCATCTTAAACTTCTAATATAGTTGGAGAGTTGGTAGGTCTTGTGGACTCTCGTCTCTCGAGTCGACACATGTGTTTCATGTGGTAATCACAATTCATCAAAACGTCGACCTCGTTGGTTTTTTTTTTCTTTTTCTGTTATTTCCCAACCTGTAATAGTTACTGTCTTGATTTCTTTGTGATAATCGATATGTTGTGCTTGGAATATTCTTAAGAAGAAAGAGTATGTTCTTTAATTCTTAAAATAAAACTATGTAAGAATTGTAAAACAACATAAATAGACTTGTATTTCTTACGCTAACGAAAATGCTGTAAATTGATATGATTTCACCATAAGGCGCACGAAATTATACGGAATGTTTTTGTTTGCTTTTCGAACAGAAATGATTAACTAAGATTTGCACCATACCAAAAATAATTTTTTTTTAAAAAAGTATTTGCCTATTTACTACTAAAAGGAGAATTTGGTCAAGTTTAAGACTACCCCTCTGAGGTCCATTTTCCCATTTTACCCCCGATGTCCATTTTGGACACCTTGGCACCATCAATTTTATTAGAAAGACAGATCCAAAATGTTGATGGACAGATATTGTTCGATTTCTTATCACTTTAATATTTTCAGATACTAACATCCATAAAGCTAAATGAATTTCAAAACATCATGTTTAGCATTTTAAGTACAGGTAGTTGAAATTTAGAATAGCAAAAGAAATATTTTTGTTTCGAAATCTAATATTTGAAATTGTATTCAGAAATCGACGTCTTAGTGGATACAGCAAAAACTGAAATTGGTAATGACAACTGTATTGAAACATTTGATTTGGATGGGCATACAATGAAGAAGAAATGAGCTACTATTAAAAAGTAATATAATTCATTATCAATTTATCTTGGTCCATAATAAGAAGTTTGCATGCATCTGGAATACACAATTATATAAAAATAACAAATTTAAATATTTGCGGACACGCTTAATTTACCCTTTTCCCCCAAAAAAACAAACAAAAACAAAAAAAAAAAATTGGGGACACGCTTTCGTCTACCTTTGTTGTCGCCAATTGGGACAGGGAACGCTTCTCATGAATGAAAGAAACGTTTTTCAAACACATTTCCTTTGAATTTACAAGTTACTACAAACTATTTTATCAATCTATAGTATTTAATTGTTAACTTTTAAACTTTCCTTCACTCAATTTTGGGTAAACAATTTAGTTTGCTAATGAAGCAAGAAAAACATCATGGTTTTTTATCAAAAGAAAAAAAAAACATCATGGTTGTCTGAAAATATTTTTGATTAATAAGAAAAGATATAATAAACATGTCATATTTCGTCGTTGTGTCGTAGTGCTCTAGTTAACAAAGAAGACTAACATAAACAGAAAAATTAGGATGTCAAAATTTATGTGTGAAAAGAAGACATCTAAATTTATGATATATGTGTATTTCAGCTGGGTTTTGAAAGACTTTTTATGGAGATGTACTATTTATCATATGCATTTCGTGTGGACAAAAAGTGACAAATAATATGACTACTTAATTTAATATCAAGGTCCCATATAAGTAGTTGAGCTAATAATAGTAGTAGTATCTCGGAACCACCCACCATTAAATTCGAATATTATTCCATCTTTTTTTTTTGGGGGGTTAATTCAGTAGTATTATTTAATCTTATAATCGTTTCTCTTTCTTGCACTTAATAGCAACTCTATATATCTCTCCACATCCAGTTGCCCTAACTTCACCAAAATCCTCCAACTTCACCATTTTTAGAATTTTCGTTCCTCGTTTTTTCTCTCTTTCTATTTCTCCAAATTTCCCTAAAGATTCAATAAATTATACGCATTTTCTAATCGAGTTTGAAATATAGAGATGGAGAGAACAAACAGCATAGAGATGGATCAAGAGAGATTAACGGCGGAGATGGCGTTTCGAGATTCTTCATCGGCCGTTATAAGGATCCGGCGACGTTTGCCGGATTTATTAACGTCCGTTAAGCTCAAATACGTGAAGCTCGGACTTCACAACTCTTGTAACCTCACCACTATTCTCTTCTTCCTCATCATTCTTCCCTTAACCGGAACCGTGCTGGTTCAGCTAACCGGTCTAACGCTCGATACGCTCTCCGAGCTTTGGTCTAACCGGACGGTCCAACTCGACGGGGCGACAAGGCTCGCCTGCTCGGTTTTCCTCTGCTTCGTTTTGACTCTCTACGTAGCTAACCGGTCTAAACCGGTTTACCTAGTGGATTTCTCGTGCTACAAACCGGAAGACGAACGGAAAATGTCGGTTGATTCTTTCTTGAAGATGACGGAGGAAAATGGAGCGTTCTCCGATGACACGGTTCAGTTCCAGCAAAGAATCTCGAACCGAGCCGGTTTAGGAGACGAGACATATTTGCCACGTGGCATAACCTCAACACCCCCGAAGCTAAATATGTCCGAGGCACGTGCCGAAGCGGAAGCCGTTATGTTCGGAGCCCTAGATTCCCTCTTCGAAAAAACCGGAATTAGACCGGCCGAAGTCGGAATCTTAATCGTAAACTGCAGTTTATTCAATCCGACGCCGTCTTTATCGGCAATGATCGTGAACCACTACAAGATGAGAGAAGACATTAAAAGCTACAATCTAGGAGGAATGGGCTGCTCCGCCGGATTAATCTCGATCGATCTAGCCAACAATCTCCTCAAAGCAAACCCTAATTCTTACGCTGTCGTGGTCAGCACGGAAAACATAACCCTAAACTGGTACTTCGGCAACGACCGGTCAATGCTCCTCTGCAACTGCATCTTCCGAATGGGCGGCGCAGCCATTCTCCTCTCTAACCGCCGACAAGACCGGTCAAACTCAAAGTACGAGCTAGTCAACGTCGTACGGACACACAAAGGATCAGACGACAAAAACTACAATTGCGTGTACCAGAAGGAAGACGAAAGAGGAACCATCGGTGTCTCTTTAGCTCGGGAGCTTATGTCCGTCGCCGGAGACGCTTTGAAAACAAACATCACGACGTTAGGACCGATGGTTCTTCCATTGTCGGAACAGTTAATGTTCTTGATTTCTTTGGTGAAAAGGAAGTTGATTAAACTCAAAGTGAAACCGTATATTCCGGATTTCAAGCTAGCTTTCGAGCATTTCTGTATACACGCAGGCGGTAGAGCGGTTCTTGACGAGGTGCAGAAGAATCTTGATCTTAAAGATTGGCATATGGAACCTTCTAGAATGACTTTGCACCGGTTTGGTAACACTTCGAGTAGCTCATTGTGGTATGAGATGGCTTATACCGAAGCTAAGGGCCGCGTTAAAGCTGGTGACCGACTTTGGCAGATTGCGTTTGGATCTGGTTTCAAGTGTAATAGTGCGGTTTGGAAAGCGTTACGAGCGGTTTCAACGGAGGAGATGACAGGTAATGCATGGGCTGGTTCGATTGAGAATTATCCGGTTAAGATTGTGCAATAATTTGGTTTAAACCGGATATGTGGAGTACAGTGGTTGGTTTGCTTATGTAATTGAATTTTTTTTTTTTTTTTATGTAAGTTGTCAAATGAAGATTATAATTTAATTAATTTATGGATGTGTGTTTGGTATACGTTAGTTGATTATTGATACTTTTTGGTAAACCAGAAAATTGAAAATTTGTCGAAAGTCAAACAGAGATGTGTATCTTCGTGATCCACTATGACCGCGTTCACACCCATAGAGTTAACTTGCATAATCGCACAAAATTTTAACTACTACTCTCTCTCTTTTTTTTTTTTTGGGTGAAGTTGTGGTTCTGATCATATTCAATAAACAATTTGGGTAAATTATTGACCAACCATATTTTCGTTCTATTCTGCAGACTATTGTATTTGAAAAATTTCTATGATTATAAATCATTCTATGACGTTGATTTTCGACCACATAGATATAATGTATATTCTTCTTCTAAATTTGTAAAAGTAACGAATAGAGTCAATAAGAGAATCTAAGTCTTGGTCCACTACAAAATAGTCTTGGTCCTTCAAAGTCTCTGATCTATAATAATAAGTTAGGAAGGTCGGCACCTTCTGAATGAACCGTTAGTCCAGTCAACAACTCTTCTTGGTCGAGGTCGTTGAACCATCATCTCCATATTTGGTTGCTGCCTACATATACCAACGAAAAAGCAAAAAACATATATATTTTGTTTCTAACAAAAAACCCATGTCAGATTTTTCACCTCGCTGAATAGTTAGAATTAAAACATGGCTGAATATATAGATGGACTTACACAGCACTGGGAAGGAGTATACGGATCATTCTCATTGGCCCTTTTTGAAGTCTTACATACAAGCATTTAAATCCCAGAAGTTCAAAGCTAGGCCCATTAATGTTCTTTCGTACTCTGTTGTTTTCGTAAAGGCCCATTTAAGATATGGGCCATACAGCATCTAACTACATGCCGTTTCCGAATTTCCCCCTTTTCCAAAAACAATGATTTTGGTTATGGACATTGGATAGAATTCGAGTTACAAAATGATAGAAACTCGAAAGGAAAATAAGATCGTATATTAAAATAGATAGTTATACGGAATCGTGTGTAAACGTCAAATGACAAGACTTGTGATGTTGGGAATCATGTCACATGGGTGGTGTCCTCTGCTCGTGCTTCAGATTGCAAAGTTGCAGCTTTTTCTTCTCTTTTAGCTCATTCTTAAAAGATTTTAGAGCCTCACTTTTGCATCAAAATCATCAAAAAAACGCAATTCGGGGGGCCATTCAAACCTTTTTTTTTTTAATCCAAAAAGTATTTAGGAAACAAAATATTTGTGTATGTCACATTTTTTTTCTCTTTAAATTATGTGATTAGTTATTTAAAATAGCTTGATAAAGCCAACATATTCATATTGCAGTCTTGGAGAATGGTAGAATGCAAACAATTATTATCTTAAAACTCCTCTAACTTCAATATATTTTACCCTACAAATAATGTTTGATAAAATCTATTTTTCTTTAAAACATTGCATGATTTTAAGAAGTTACAGAACAAGTGGTTAATATTTTTTCCTTTCCAAACAGAACATAACCTCAACGAGTCAAATTCAATAGTCAAAAGTCACATTTTTCTTCTTCTTCTTTCTTCTTCAGCATATAAAATAAAATGGAAAACGCTTTTTTTCGTGGAGGACTGTGACCGCTGTTGAATCACGGACAATCATCTAAGCCAATTTCTAAAGTCACTGGTAGAAGCTGGAGAGATGTCAACACCAATAGACTCAGTGCAACACGAAGAGTAATTCGATTGCTGCTCCAACAATCCACCAAAATGTGAACCAGCCACACTCTTAAAGCTTGGACTCCTCAAGCTACTATTATTGTCTTCATACTCTGGTTGCGGCGGCACTGGAAACGAGAGCCGTTTCTTAACCAAACCCACACGGTCCCTCTCTGGTGTCGAAGGCCGTTGCCTTGGTGCGCTCTGCGACCGAATCCTCGCCTTAGCCGACTCTGTATTCGCCATATAATTAGGCAACAGTGTTGCGTTATTGACCATTGTGGTACTAATGCTACAACCACTCCTAGCAGTGAAGCTATAATTAGATCTCAAGCTAGGTGTGTTTGATGTATAGCTATAAGCTGTTCGGTCACGATCTTCCCTCGGGTCTCTTTGGCACCGCGGACTAGCTGACCGGATATGGATTGGTCTAGACTTAGCCGGAGATGGAGTGGCTGAGAAATGATTGCGGGATTGGTAATGGTGGCTGGTTCTTGATGGTGAACTAGGTCTTTGGCTATGTCTTGATGGTGAACTAGGTCTTTGGCTACGGCTGGGGCTTCCGATGCTTGTTCTTGAGTAAGGTTGAGAAGTGTCGATTTCCACGGTTTTAACCGAAACCCTTTGGTCAACAGAAGCTCTACTAATAGCTCGTTTATCCCACGGTCTGGTGGCCATCCACCGGTCAAGCCATTTAGGTCTTTCCTCCTCAACTTCAGTCTCGTGGTCTCCTCCCGCAGATTGGTTACCAGCCGTTCTCCACATCTGTCCATTAAAATGGAAATAATCTCATCAAGAAGCTCAATATATATATATATATATATATATGCTAATGTATACTTGGGTTATACCTGTTGAGAGAAAGCTTGAGACAAATTAGTCTTCTCGTGTCTCAATGCTGTGTCTCGTCTCCGTTGCAGCATTGCTTTCACTTCGTCTATCGTGTGTGGTCGGTCATCCCAATCTTCTGCGACACTGCTTCCTTCTCTTGACTATAACAAAAAAAATGCAACCAAAAGACGTAAGCTACGCAAACACTAACGTTTAAATTAACAAATGAACTTGATATTTAAGGTTGTGGGGTAATTTGTACCAGTATTAAATAAATGTAAACGCCAACAAACAATTTTAGACCTTAACTAACATCATAGAACCTATCAAATGGACCATTTCCACGCCTAAATAAACAGAGTAGTTAACCATAAGGCCAAAACATGTCAAAATAAAAAAAAAAAACTTTAATTAATTTATGCTAAAGTTAAGGCAAGATCAAATTAGAAGTGTCGGTCGAAAATGTCTTAAGACTAACCATGGATTGTCGATCTGAAATGTCATGAAGATAACGTGATTCAAAACCAGTTTGAGAGTCGCTGAATGCGGATTTGCGGCTACCATCATGAGACAAGCGTTTACGTTGGTCAAGCACACGAGACTGGACTCGAACCAGAGCTTGCATACACCTTAAAGTCATTTTGGCTTGCTTCCTCACATTGTGACCCCTCACTAATGCTTGCAGCTTCACTAATCCTTTTAATGCTCTTAATGCTCTTTTTGCCTTTATTAATTTCATTTACACAAACATAAACAACATACATATATATTTTTTGTTACAAAAAATCCCAATCTGTTACTGTTAATTCTTGTATAAACACCATATATAACACGTCTTTGTCACTATAAAGTTGTGTAGTACTTAAGTAGGTAAAACATAAATTAAAGAAAAGCATTAATTGCCTTACCAGATATCCTCTGAAAGAAGTTTGGATAACAACAGCAGCGTAATTCTCTCTTGCGTAATAAACCCTCCTTGGGAGTTTCTGTAAATTCCCCGGGGATGCTGACGTGGCGACGGAGACAACGGCGGACGGGGATTTCCCGGCGTACGATGGTGTCGTCGTAACCTTACTCGGTGCTCTCTCCGGGAAGGTTTTCGAGTTTGCGTTGTCTGATTCTTGCGGTGGCGGTGGAGAGCTACCGGAAGGCCTCACCGGAGATTCTTGAATCGCCGGTTTTCTGAATAACCACCGTCTCTTCTCTCTCTTCTGTAGAAAAACAGAGCAAAGCAGAAAATGAAAAAAACTCAACCTTTATTTCTTTATTCAAGAAATGGACAACAAGATCTACAAATAACAAACCTTCTCTTCGTCTTCTTCGGGTTCATTACCGTGAGGAGTATTTTGTTCCTTCTTGGTCGGAGATCGGAAAGCTCGCTTCACGGCGGTAAGCCAAGAAGAGCCATTCTTTTTACCCATGTGGTTTTGGTCGGAAAATCTCTCTTTAGCACATTATTATTACGACCATTGTCTTCGTCGTGTTTCGGTGTTCCTTGTCCTGTTTCTCGTAAAAGAGAGTTAGATTTTTGCAGAAATGAGGGGAGAGAGAGAGAGAGAGTGAAGAAAAGTACAGATAATCTTTTGGTTGCTTTGCTTGTGTAATAAAATTTGCTCTGGCCTCCTCTTTAACTACAACCACGACACCAATGACTGTATTTTTCTTTTCTTTTTCTCTTTCACTATTTTATCTTTCTTTTCGCAGAACTAGTATTATATTACAATTATTTTATTCTGTATGCATCGATATTAACATGCATATATTCGTTTTGGGTCCACGTCGATGTACCGTGCGCGACGATATACGTTTCTATATAGGGACTAGTGAGAGATATGGCGCGTTCATTTTAGCTCTATAAACTAAGATTACTTCATCATAACTTTTCGTATTTTTTGTGTGTGCAACTTATGGATACATTAGAGCATGCCTAAGACCATGTACATTATGAGAGGTTCATTAGAATAGAATATTAATATTTTTTTAGAATAAAATTGAAAATGTGATATTTTTTTGGTCCCCAAACCTTTCTCACTTTTTTGCCCAATCTCTTGCTGCCACCTCACAATGATACCATATCGTGAGGCTTGTCCTGAAGATACCATTTCATTAAAAATGCTTCATTTTTCTATATTTTAATTGAGTTTTACCTATGATTATGGGCTTGATACCCAACATGATACTCTGCTGTATATGCCCTAATAACAAGATTGTCAAGTGTCAAGGTTCATAAAGAAAAAAGATTGTCTTTATTATTTAAATCTGTGGAATGAATGGATGATCAATCAATCCAGATTCTAAATTTCTGAAAAAAAGTTGTATAGTTATTATCCTATTGCGCAAGATGCTAATTAGATTCGTAAAAAAATCATCAGTGAGAGTTTAAATCACTAGTATAAATCTCCATTGTTAATTATTAATCTTTAAAGTGGAAGTAGAGATGATTTATGTTAATGTAACTCGTAATTTTAGGGAAAAGTATTACGATTGGGAAAAGAGACTTATGTAACTCGTGATGCCTGGATGGAGGTCAATATACAAGGTAGAAAAGACTTGAAATTTGAGTATCTAAGCAAAACAAAAATACAAAGGTTAGATATCAGATCATGTGGTTTATTTGTTTATTCAGGATATACATACACATATTCAGCTGAGGAATTATGTTACTTGGAAAATGACAGGCATCAAGTATTGCTTGACCAAGCTCGTGCTGTCACGTGCGTGGAGCCAGAGATCGAGACATCCGGTGCATGATGGACCACCGTGGTCGTTCCCTAGAACCCAACCAACAAGTTTTTGTTTTGTTTGTTACTTAAAAACACTCTCTCTCTTTGGGCTCTAATCTTTCCAAAGGCCCATTAAATTATAAAAGCCCAATAGACGATATGAAATGCGCATGTTGAATAATCTATGCCTAGTAGATATAACCTCTGCGTCTCCCACCAAGAGGCGATTTTTCTCCCCGGCCGCGTTGCGAAAGCATATTCGAACCTACTAGTCTAAGGTACTTGACGATACTCCTTTTTCTATTGAAGCTCTCGTGAAAGGTTTCTGTGTAAGAGTATTTACGTTTTTGTTTATGGCTATTTTACCGATTATTTTCCTATTGATTTTTCAATGGTTTTTAGCAGTTTTTCGTTTTGCGATTTCCGTTTTCGCTGTTGTAAGTTTGGTGTGTTCATACTTCGCGTAATTTGGTGTATGGATTGTTTGATTTACTATGATTTTGGATTTGAACTGATATAAAGGTTAGATTTATGTATTCCGATTCGTAGATCGGGCGATTAATCTGTTGGTTTGCATCTTTTCAGGAAAAAAAATGTCGACAGTGGGAGAGCTTGCTTGCAGCTACGCTGTTATGATCCTCGAGGACGAGGGTATTGCTATCACGGTATTCTTTTATTCTATTTCTCTTGTTAATTTATCGGATTTTCCATTTCCTGAATCGTGGATTTGTTGTTCTTAGCTACTTAGTCTGTGACACATAGCGTTGGAGAATTAGGGCGCCATTTATGTTGACTTGGTTGCTGAAAACTGAGTTAGTATGCATCTTAATCTATTTGTTGATAATCCGGAAAGATTTCCATTTTTGAGGTGTTAGGATTGGGGGACTTAACAAGTATTCTATATATGCTTGAACTGTCGTTGAGAGTCTTGAATATTTAACGGTCTTTTTTGCTTTTATTGATTAAACTTTGATGTTCTTAAAAAGGCCGACAAAATCGCGACTTTGGTAAAATCTGCTGGTGTGAGTATAGAGTCATACTGGCCGATGCTATTCGCCAAGATGGCTGAGAAACGTAACGTCACTGACCTAATCATGAACGTTGGTGCTGGTGGTGGAGGAGGTGCACCGGTTGCCGCCGCTGCTCCTGCTGCTGGTGGTGCTGCCGCAGCCGCTGCTCCTGCTGCCGAAGAGAAGAAGAAGGTAAAAGAAATATTGAATATCATTTTGATGGTCTTGTTAATCATCCATGGTGCATTGATCTCATTTTGTTGGTATTGTTGGTTTGGTTGTTGCAGGATGAACCAGCAGAAGAGAGTGATGGAGATTTGGGTTTCGGCTTGTTCGACTAGACTCACTTTACTTGTTTTTCTTGTTTCGTAGTTTGGATCTACCGAATTGTGAACTATATTTTGCCCTATCGAAATTATTCGTTTTGGTCTGTTGTATAACTTAAGTTCTGAGCAAACCCATCTGCTCGGGCTTTCGTTAGAATGGTTTTTGAATTTTTGACAATTGTTTCTTTTTTTTTGACTCGATTTTAAGAAATATAGCGGTCAAGGAAACGCTAAAATTGTGTATGAATGAGAAATTCTTTGTAAGGGCTTATATTAGGTAGCTGGGCTTTTACAATGTTGAGGTCTATGATTGAGCCCGGCCCATAAGCAGTCCAAAGAACAACCATCCGCGGGGGATGAGAGTGGAGCTCTGCAGCTGTACAGTTTGTGTTTCTTTCTTCTGCGGCAGCTTTGTACAGTTGTACATCTATTTGCCGATTGGATTTTGTTAGATTGGATCTTGAAATTAAGACATCAAATGCAAAACATTGGTGTTAACGAAATATAGTAGCGTTGGGTGGGTCCAAAATCATAAAACACATTTTTGGAACATAAAAACAAAAAATTAAAATTCGCGAGTCAAAAAAAAATAGGTAGAAGAAGTTGAGCCTCGGCCTCTTATTACTCGCTTCCCAACTCATCATCCTCCTCCTCTCTCCCTCTCCCTCTCCCTCGTTCTCTCCGCCTTTCTCTCTCTCTCTTTCTCTGTTTTCTCATTTCTTCGAATCTCTCATATTTGATACACACCGAAATGGCCACGGCTTTCTCTCCCACGAAGCTCACTGCCACCGTTCCTCTCCATGGATCTCAAGAGAATCGTCTCTTGCTTCCGATCCGCTTGGCTCCTCCTTCTTCTTTCCTCGGATCCACCCGTTCCCTCTCCATTATTTCTTCCCCAAGGCTGATTCACGCTAATGCCGCTCGTCGATCTCCCGTCGTCGGAGTCCAGGAAGTTGTCAAGGAGAAGAAAGCCACCAATAGCCTGGTATGCTAGACTGATACTTTCACACATATTTGATCACTCTTAGCTGGCAGAATTTATCCGTGATTAGCCAATTCGCATTCAATGCCCTGATCCCATCTAGTAACCATTCGAATTCTGTGATAGAGCTGCTTTTGATTTGTTGTATTGATTTAAGGAATTCGATTTCGAGACTGTAAGATTTCTGTGTGCATTGATTTGTTTTGAAAATAGTTGATAACGAAAGAGGAAGGATTAGAGTTGTACGAAGACATGATTCTGGGCAGATCTTTCGAAGACATGTGTGCTCAGATGTATTACAGAGGAAAGATGTTTGGTTTTGTTCACCTGTACAACGGGCAAGAAGCTGTATCAACTGGTTTTATCAAGCTCCTTACCAAGACGGATTCAGTGGTCAGCACATACCGTGACCATGTCCACGCGCTCAGCAAAGGTGTCTCTGCTCGTGCCGTGATGAGTGAGCTCTTCGGCAAGGTCACGGGTTGCTGCAGAGGTCAAGGTGGATCGATGCACATGTTCTCCAAAGAACACAACATGCTTGGTGGCTTTGCTTTTATAGGCGAAGGCATACCTGTGGCCACCGGTGCTGCGTTTACCTCAAAGTACAAAAGGGAAGTCTTGAAACAGAATTGCCAAGACGTCACCGTGGCGTTTTTCGGAGATGGCACTTGTAATAACGGACAGTTCTACGAGTGTCTCAACATGGCTGCACTCTATAAGCTGCCTATCATTTTCGTTGTTGAGAATAACTTGTGGGCCATCGGGATGTCTCACTTGAGAGCGACCTCTGATCCGGAGATATGGAAGAAAGGTCCTGCCTTTGGGATGCCCGGTGTTCACGTTGACGGTATGGATGTGTTGAAGGTGAGAGAAGTGGCTAAAGAGGCAGTCACAAGAGCTAGAAGAGGAGATGGTCCAACCTTGGTCGAATGTGAGACTTATAGATTCAGAGGGCACTCCTTGGCTGATCCCGACGAGCTCCGTGACGCTGGTAAATCTTTCCTTCCTTCCGTCCTAGTTTTTTTCTTTTTCTTGAAGCTTGTAGTCGTAATCTTAGGCCTGAAACTACCTTTAGATTATTATGAAGCTTTCTTTAACGGTTGCATTAGAATTTAGTTATTTTTACTTCATTTTCTGGCAGCTGAGAAAGCGAAATACGCGGCTAGAGATCCGATCACAGCATTGAAGAAGTATTTGATAGAGAACAAGCTTGCGAATGAAGCTGACCTAAAGTCGATAGAGAAGAAGATAGACGAGTTGGTGGAGGAAGCGGTTGAGTTTGCAGACGCGAGTCCGCAGCCTGGTCGCAGTCAGTTGTTAGAGAATGTGTTTGCTGATCCCAAAGGCTTTGGAATTGGACCTGATGGACGCTACAGATGTGAGGATCCCAAGTTTACTGAAGGCACTGCTCAAGTCTGAGAAGATAAAGTTAACCTTTAGCTTGTGTCCTGTCTTTGGTTTCTGTTTGATGTTTCTATATTACTACTATTAAGTTAAATGCTACAGATAATTAGTTTGAATCATTTGAACTTTTTGGTTTTTTTTTTTTTTGCTGGGTGTTACTAAATTATCAAAGTTTGAAGGGTGTTATATCAATTATGGGTTTGTATTTTGTTTTTGTATGATCCGTTCAGAGAATTTCACCAAACGAAAAACCTATATTCACTTTGGTTGGAAAAAAAGTTCAGTTTGGATTCGGTTTTGTAGTTAACTATATTGTACAAGACATAATATTAAGAAACCCGCCGAACGGGAGCGAGGGTCACTTCACATGTAACGAACCCGGGTTCGAACGTGTTATTTGACCCGACCCGATTTGTTCCCTAATTTCTAAATTGTTTTTTTTTTTTTTTTTTCACTCAAAATTATCTACTTTCTGGTTCGGAAATGGCGGCCTCCTGCTTCGCAATTCCCTTATCTTCGTCTTCTCGATCGTCTTACAATGCCATTTCCAAATACAAAACTCGAATCTCTTCTATTTCTTCTTACTCTTGCTTAGAATCCCTGAAAGCTCAATTCTCTTCATCTACTTCTTTCCACCTCTCTTCTCTTTCTCGCCCCTTTGTAGCTCAGCCACTGCAAATTAAGGTCTCTTCTTCTGAATTATCAGTTCTGGATGAAGAGAAAGAAGAAGTTGTTAAAGGAGATGGAGAAAAGGGAGAAGAAACCGAAGCGGAACCAGTGGTGATGAAGAAACCAAGACCGTGTGAGCTGTACGTGTGTAATATCCCCAGAAGCTATGACATTGCTCAGCTTCTCGAGATGTTTCAGCCGTTTGGTACTGTAATCTCTGTCGAGGTAAGAAATTTTCTTCATTATTTATCCAGATTTGGTTGATCCTACAATGCCTTACAAAAATTCAAACTTTCTACTCTTTCACCTGATTTTTACAGAAAAATATCCGCGTTGTAATCGGAAAGAAATCAAACTTATTATCCTTAGCAGTTTCTCTTTGAGTAAATGGATGATTGATACAGATAATGAGTCAATGAGAGGTGTGTGTAAGTGTGTATTTCTTGAAATGATGTTGCAGGTATCGCGAAATCCTGAGACTGGAGAGAGCCGTGGAAGCGGATATGTCACAATGGGTTCAATAAACTCTGCCAAAATCGCCATTGCTTCGCTTGATGGAACAGTAAGAAGAACCCAAGAAACAAACTCTGTTTTCTTTCTTCGTCTGAGCCTAAAGTTGACTGCTTTTGGTTTCTTCTTGCTATGAAGGAAGTAGGTGGTCGGGAGATGCGGGTTAGGTATTCTGTTGACATGAATCCAGGAACCAGAAGAAACCCGCAAGTTTTGAATTCAACTCCAAAGAAGATTCTGATGTACGAAAGCCAGTACAAGGTCTATGTCGGAAATCTCCCTTGGTTCACGCAGCCTAATGGTTTGAGAGAACACTTTAGCAGGTTTGGTACAATCGTAAGCGCGAGAGTGTTACATGACCGTAAGAATGGGAAAAACAGAGTCTTTGCCTTTCTTTCTTTTAGTAACCTTGAAGAACGTGATGCGGCTTTGTCACTGAATGGAACAGTTAAGTTCGTTATCCATATATTGGCAAAACTTCTGCGTTCTGGTTTACTCCTCTTCCCTTAACACAATCTTGAATGTGCAGGAATATGAAGGTCGCAGAATCATAGTCAGAGAAGGTGTCGAGAAGACTGAATCGTAAAAATCAGCTGGGGTCAGCTGTTGCTGCACAACATAATTTTCAGATTTCTTCAACAAGGTCTCAAAAAAAGTTACCTTTTTTTTTTTACATATTCCCTCTGGTTTTAAGTTCTCACTCTACAATGTAGCTTCCTGCACGATCCTGGCATCAATGAAGTTTGTTTATCAGCCATTATATATAATTCTCTTGTCCATCTTCTCCGACTCTCATCTACTTTTACAAAATAATACTATTATTGTTGTTCTTTTCACCTATATTTCCATTTTTATGCGCATCTTCTGATTTCAATAGTTTAATATTTAAATCCAACGCGCTGCTTATATTTTTAATTTTCTAATTAGTCATAATTAGTTCGAGACAGTGCGATACCCTCCTTTAAATTTGGGATAAAAACGAGATAGTGCAAACCAGAGGAATCCAATGAAAAGAAGAAAAAAGCGTATTACGGAACAATTAACGTGGAGAATTGTCTCACCAAATTCCGATTAGTTTATCTAAGGAATAAAAAGCTAGTTAGTGTGAGGAATATGAACTAATCTTTTCTCTAATCACTTTTTATGCAACCTAGTGGTACACATCTGTTATGTTTTAGTGTCCTTGTTCATATAAATATGATTTATGTTAATGTGATTGTTAGAAATATGAGGCGGTCGATGATCAAATAATTTCGGTTCAATGTTTAGAGCTAGCGAAATCTAATAGTTTAATGTGATTGCTATTATGTTTTTTTTTTTTCGGGGGTGACGACTAAGAAAAGGAGGAGAAGGTGGAAGTGGAATTTTTTGTAATCAAATGCTCTTCTTTTTTCCCTTTGAAAAGGTCCTTCTAGTAGTTTGGGGAGGGAAAGTTTATTCTGGAAAAGATTGTTGATTATTACTTACTGTTAGTTATTCCTTTTTTTTTGGGTAAAACACTGTTAGTTATTTCGGTAATATTTTATTAATACTTTCGATTTTCAGGCGTCATATCAAACACATATATTACATTTTCTTCACGATGATTAGTGGCCATAAAATTCCCAGTCTATAAGATGGAAGTTATAGTGTATAACTTAGTGAGGTACATGTCGACGACCCACTACATTCCAAACTTTGAACAATAAAAAAATATTCTTGTCTTGTTACTTTCAAGTGCTTTTCTGCCCCCTCCGACTATTTTAAGTGAATGTTAATATAAAAAATTAACTATTTCAGTGGTTTAGTCAGATATGATGTTTCATAAATTCTGTACTTTTCCTTGAAATAACATGTATTTTACATTTTTCCTATGAGTCGTTTAATTTGCAGAAAAAGTTGTATAGTTTTTTTTTTTGGTGTGTCATTAATGTATTTTCAATGTTAAAAATATATACGTAAGCCGTTAGGAGATAGACGGACAAATTACATGATTTTAAATGAGTTCTAATTCTATAAAACAAAATGTATAATATCAGTATATATATATATATATATTTAAAAATAAATTTAATGATGCTGTATTTCATAGAGTATAAGAAAAATAAATCGTTATATTTCATTAAAAATCGATTTGGTTAAAAAAGTAGCATATGTTAGTTTTTTTATAAAAAAATGTGTTAGCATGTTTTAGCTTATAGTGTGTTATAATAGAAATCATTGAAAAATATGTCTTCTTTCAAATAGTTAGACATGCAAAAGTACTTTTAATTTAAATGTTTTTGTATTAAATGAAGAAAAACATATATCTTTAGACCGTCTAAATGTCCCATACTACTGTAGAATTTTCATTACGATAAACATATTGTCAAATATAAACGCAACGGTAGTATAAATTAGTCTACCACTTATACAACACTTAAAATAATATTTGGTCATCTAATTTATTTTTTTTGTCAATGGCTCAATGCGCGGAATATCATATGCATTAGTCTAATCCGTTTTCTTAACATTTATTTTTGTACAATTATGTCAAACCATGTGGAGAAAAAAACAATCTTTATACTAGAAATAGTGTGAGGTAATTCGTAGTATGAAGTAAGCATATCCCAATTTAATTATACGGGCTATTTTATAAATTCTTGCGGGTTCCACTTCGACAACCACCTCATGCATTCGAACTCGGATAGCAATATCAACTCCTTTTCGTCATTTTTTTTTCGTGTCAGAAAAGTTTTGTCATGCTCAGTCTCAACAGATTGCGATCAATCTTATCAATGAAAATAGAAAGTAATGGTTCTTCTTTTAGGTTTTTTCCACCCACGTGTTAAAAACTAAGAAAATCATTTTGCTGGATATCAAGAGAGCCATAATTTTCCCAAAGGAAAAAAACATAGTATGTATTATGTATAAATAGTCAACTTTTTGTAATTTTTTTTTTAATAAAATATTATATTAATTAACGAACTTTCGATTAAGTTTCTCTAATTCCTGTTTCAGATATAGGCTTATATAGAGTAAATATATAACCTTTTTTATATATCTAGGCTGAAAATAAGGAGAATATATGAAGAGGAGGAAAAAAAAATCACAACTGATTTTAGAAATTAGATGCCGGTACAAGGTAAATGAAAAAGGAAATGGAAGAAATATATTTACGGAACTTTAATTATAAAGATGTGCGGCATATGACACGAACAGAATGTGATAAGAGCCAATTAATCGGTGTCTCATATAAAAAGGAAAAAACAAATAAAAGCAAACGTACGTTTACACCGCAGCAATTAATCGTAATTATACATACACCGCAAAGCAATTAAGCTAGCTGTGTGGGTGGGGACATCGAGATTGTTCGTGATAATGAATGCTTATCTTTTACAGTTTTTTAAAAATCAAGTATATGTGTCCGCTTAGACCCTATCATAAAAATTCTCTGAGAATCTTGGAAAACACTATGAATTGATGGTATTATACTCTCTCTCTCTCTCTTTCTTAATATAGGGTGTTTTAGAGTTTTTAGTTTGTTTTACGATATAAAGTGTTTTTATATTCTAATGCCAATTTTAAACATAATGGTTTATGACCACTTGCAATATATTCTGCAGTCTCTTTTATGATTGGTTAGATTGTTTTAGACTAAATATTTAATAAAATCATTGGAAAAAATAATAAATTTTCTTAATTTTTGTGCTTTCCTTCAAAACATCCTATACTAAAAAAGAGAGAGAATATTTATAATCGTTGACAATAAAATCCGAGCCGGGGAAATATGAATAACGTATACATATAATGGACATTTTAAAAGTTTACGTCTAAAGTGAGCTTTATTATTACTTTTGTTGACAAAGTATAGGGGAATACAAGTTTTTTTTGGAAAGATTTTACGGTTTACGTTTAAATAAGCCCAATGTGGGAAACAAAACACAAAACTTTGCTTATAAATATAGGGAAGGCTTGTGGTAAACTCACAAAGCACATTAAGTCTTATCACTCTCTCTAACACACACACACACATACATATATATAGAGAGAGAACAGAGATGAGTGTAGAAAAATGGTCACCAGTTATGTCAATTGTGGTAGCAAACGTAGGGATGGGTTCGGTGAATGCACTTGTGAAGAAAGCTCTTGATGGTGGTGTGAACCATATGGTCATTGGTGCTTATCGACTGGCTATTTCTGCTTTCATTTTGGCTCCTCTCGCCTATTTCTTGGAAAGGTTCGATACTTTCATGAAATACGAGTTACTTTACTTATATGTGAAAATTTAATAATTTTTCTCTCTTCTAAATATTATGTTTTATTGTTAAAAGGAAAAGAAGACCGACGTTATCGTTTAGGCTAATGGTAGATCATTTCATCAGCGGTTTGCTTGGGTTTGTCCTCCCAAATCTTTTTTTTTTTTATAACGTGTCCTCCCTAATCTTATTGTCTTATATATACGATTAATATTACGTTATTCTCCTTATTTTTTTTTCCTTCCTATAATCAATTTACTTTTGTTTATAACTTTAATAATCTGCAGGGCAAGTTTGATGCAGTTTTTCTTTATGCTTGGTCTCGCGTACACGTCAGCAACTGTTTCGGGTGCGTTTATAAGCATGTTGCCTGCAATTACTTTCGCTTTGTCCCTTATTTTAAGGTACTGATGAACCGTTATTCTTTCGAAATAATAATAAAATTTTAATAACTAAGTTAAAAATTTCACAAAAAGATAAATAAGTTAAAAATAATGTAATATTGTAAATCGATTCAATGATCATACAAAAAGATATAAAAAAATATAGTTTATGCAGTATTATAAAGACTAGCATATGAATATTATTCGATTTCATGGAATTCTATATAAAAAGATTCTTACAAAATAGTGTATAATTTCATGAAATGGGTCCTTCTTCCAAACTAGTATATATTTTGTCTTCTTTTTTCTTGACAATTTTATTATATTTTGTCTTTTGCAAACTCAGATGGGTCATTAGTTGATTTTTCTAACATATCATGTTAAAATTGTTGCTTTTCTGTTTTACTTTAACAATATTTTTTAAAAAATACATCATTATCATAGTCCGGATTTAAGGCGCCCAAAAAATATATCGTATGATCTTTGTAATAAGTCACCATTACTGTTTTAAACAACTTAAAAAGTAATGTTTTAGTTACACGTAACATCTAATCGAGTCTCTTTCCAATCTTTATTTTGGGGGGTAAAAGTCTCTTTCATCGTTAGACATCGCAATTTGATAAACTTTGATTAGGTGTTTAAGAAACTAGTAAAATTATTGTTGGTTAAATTGGGTCGAACAAAGATATTATCTGAATTTGGGTCGAACAAAGATATTATCTTATCTAATAAAAACTCACGATGCCCCCAATTGCAATCTTAAAAACAATAAGAACGCAAACAAGAAAACTACTCATGAAAATATTCTACGGATATGAAATACCTAAAAATATCAAAATGCATGAGGCTACACGATATAAAATAAATCTGTTGTAATATATTTAAATGTCAGGATGGAGAGTGTACAAGATCTAAAGACCAAAGCAGGAACGTTGAAGGTGCTGGGAACTCTTATTTGCATAAGTGGAGCTTTGTTCTTAACATTCTACAAAGGCCCTCAAATATCACACCCTCACTCTCACCCAGAGGCTCTTCACCACAACAACAACAAAGACAAGACCAATAATTGGCTTCTTGGATGTCTCTACGCAACCATAGGAACCACGTTTCTGTCTCTATGGATGCTTTTTCAAGGGACTTTAAACATTAAGTATCCTTGCAAATACACGAGCACTTGTCTCATGTCGGTTTTCGGCTCATTCCAATGTGCTCTCTTGAGTCTTTACAAGAGGAGAGAGGTCAAAGATTGGGTCATGGATGATAGATTCGTCATTTTCGTCATTATATACGCTGTGAGTCAATTTATACCATATACCATATATTTGAAATGGGATTTCAATTCATTCTTATACCATATTATAGAAAATATATACAGTAGTTTTTTTTCTCTATAATACTATGTTATAATTGACCCCCCAAATTGCACAAAAAAAAAAAAGAAAAAACAATTGCACAAAAAAAAAAAATTGACCCCCCAAAAAATATGATACTATAGAATCCCCGGATATTTATTAATGACGTATTGTTATTTGCAATCCCAACTAAGTTGGTGCACATAATCCCTGGAAATTGATATATTCGTTTAGTTCACCCGCACATAACAAGAAACGAAAATCTAATCATTTTTTTTCATTGAACGAGACGCCACTAAGTGGTGCTATCTTATGTTTATAACTAAGTGTCATTGTCTTCGATAAGATTCTCTATTTCACTACCCAGCTAATTAATATATTGGACCTTGTTAAATATATATATATATATATATATATAGCTTAGTTTTATCTGCAAGTTAGATTCTAAAAGATGAAACAGCTTTGTCAAAATATTATAAGCTATGTGTTTTTGCACTCTTCGTATTGGTACATGCCAAAAATCAGGCCAAGCCACTAACCACCAAGTTTCGTACAATTATGTATAGAACCACTATATTTTTAGTAACTAATAGCTTATATCATTTGATGTTGTGTCGATTAGTTGATAGATTACTTTTTATATTTTAATTATGTTGAGATAATAAAGTGTTATATATAGTAAATATAAAAATTGATACGGTCCTGATTATTTAGAATGCATAAATATAGGGAATAGTGGGGCAAGCGATGTCGACAGTAGCAACATCATGGTCGATAAAAAAAGTAGGAGCCGTTTTTGCATCAACATTTAGTCCCATTATCCTCATCTCAGCTACGCTGTTCGATTTCCTCATCTTACACACTCCTTTGTACCTCGGCAGGTAATTTTTTTTTCTTGTCTAGTTACATACATACATAATGCAGTTAAAAAGAGAAAATGAATTTAGGTCCACTCATATAATTAATAACACTAATTAGTTACATTTTTTTTAACTATGATTACAGTGTAATTGGATCCGTGGTGGCAGTAACGGGTCTCTACGTGTTCTTGTGGGGTAAGAACAAAGAAATGAAAGCAGCAGCGACATTGTGTCCTCCGATCCAAAACGAAGATAAAAATGATAAAAATAATAATAACAGTAATAACAAGAGTAACGGGTCTAGGTTACCCGTTTAATGTACTTTTTTCTTTCCTTTGTTTGTTATAACTGCAGAGGATTGAGAGACAATAAAGAGCATAGTTTAATATAGTTAGATTATTCTCGTCATTAAGTACGTGTGTAATGTGCCAGATTAATTTAACAATAATTCATACTTGTTTCCTATATGTTATGAGCCACCGAGGCACCGATGCCAATAATTTTTTTTATTCTGTTTAATGCCGATAGTTAATGAATTTTTGTATATAGCATTAACTGATGGATTCTGGAGAATTAATGTAACCGTGTTACTTAAGACCACATTCAGATATTCGATACTTTTATCTATGTGTTGGAATGGTAATACATGATTTCTTTGCATAAATTAAAATAATTGTGCGTAATGATTTTTTTTTTAATTAGCAACAGTGGCATACTCACAGATAATTTTTATTGGGGCCGGGCTATAACATATATGTCATAAATTGTAAGTCACAATAAAATAGTGTAAGATGATGTTCTACAAAAATAAAAAGTAAAATTGGTGGGGAATATGGATGGAAGTGCGAAACTAGTGTCAAAGAGTGAATTTCCCCAACTATTCCGGCAAATCCAATCATATATACACTAAAATATAACTAATATACCAATTTTATTGGGGTCACATGATTCCTTTATTCTTTAGTAGGTCACCGTTGTTTATCTTTTAAACAAACAAAGCAAAGGGGGTTTATTTTAAAAGAAGTTGTAATAAAGAACTGGAAGCAGGGCACATAATGGTTTAAGTTATTGTAAAGTAAGCCACGAAAAAGCCCACTGGACCGCAGAATCAGACGAATATTTGGGACAACTTCCGCATTTGCCTAAGATTTAGAACCTAATTCCAAGTTGTACATATTAAATCATATGAAATTATGTAATATAAGATTAGTCCCATTACATCTTCGAAGTTAGAGATTTCCTTGATCATCTTCTGATATTGATTTCCTTAATTCCGCCCATCCATTGAATCAAACAGTCTGGTGGCCACAAGTGACAAGACCCTGGTTCTAGTTCTTTCTGAATCTGGGTTTGAGTTAGATTTCTAATCGGTTTGGTATTAAAAATGGGTTTTATGGGTCGTCGCATTTATTGGTTTACCAAACATTCGATAGGAGGATATTATGTTATGCGGTTTAGACCATCCATTCAAGATTTCAAATTTTGTTCAGAACGTCTCAACATAGTAGGGCGAGAGAAGTGAGGACTACATCAGACTTTCGTGTTTGAAACACATAATGCTTGACTTTCGTGTGCAGAGTTCTTCATTAAATCACATAATCAACAAAGATGCATGATAATTTGGAAACAAAAGCTGCATTAGTGCATATACTAAAACCGACATTGTGTAGGGTGATGGAATCGAAGCTGCAAAGAATGCTGGAACAAATTTAAATAGACGTGTCATGATAGTTTGAGATGCTTTATAAAGAAGTGAAATAGTAGGTTGTTCCCCAAACGAAACACTTTATGTGTTGTGCTCTTATTTTCTGAAATTTCAAATTATATTATTTTAATAAAAAAGGTTCAAACAAATATGATAAACTTTTATATAGAAATATTCTAACAGTTAATCATTACAGTAATATTAAATTACAATTACTTTACGATGGGAAGTGGCCACAAAATTATCAGTTGTGCTTTTGGGGGTAGAAGTTAGAACTAAGTGAAGTACATGTCGACCCACTATATACCTAATTTGTTTTCTTTGTGGCTTTACTTTGTCTTAAGCATTTATTCGATTTTTATTTTCTTATCCCCGCCATATATTTTAGAGGTTGTATTAAATAGTACTATTATGTTGATTAATCCTGCATTTTCCTATACAAAATTCATCTAATACTATGTGGTTTCTTCTTATTTTTTAAAAATGTTTATAGCTTTTATTAATGGCTGATCAATGTAATTTTGTAGAAATATTTCAGATCAATAATAAACCCAACTCTAGAGAAATAAAACACTATACTAGTAAAGATGAAGGAATAATGATCACACTATGAAACTATCTTATATATTTTTAATATAGGTTCACAACAACAAATGCACTTGAAATCGGATAGCACTATGAACTCCTTTTCGTAGTTTGTTTTGTATTCAAAAGTTTTGTCATGCTCGATCGTAATAGATTAATGCGATCGGATCTAATTGTATTTATAACAAACTCTATTGGAATCCTTTAAGGTAACTATTATTGCTGGAAACATCTTTTAGAATCCGGCATTAGATTTGATGTCTTCATTACTTAATCCAACAAAAAATACCTAAAAATATTGAGACTAAATGGTTTTTAATTGACTAAATTATTTATCTGAAATTAAAGTAACAAATTTTTTTTGATCGAATATACAACTTTATCTTCAGCGAGATAAGCTAGGATTTTGTTTACTTCGACTTGGTTCGTTGAACAGAATTAGCCGATACACATTAAAAGCTAAAAAATTAGGATTCATGATATGGAGATGTTATATGCTAATGTACATCATAATTATTGGCGTACAAGAATTGATTTCATAATATGATAAATTTCCGCCCGTTCAAAAAGTTGGTAAATATTGATTCACTATTATATATTAATACATGCATTAACTACTTATCAAAACATGACTCATTGTAACAGAAAAAGGAGGCATGCCATAAATGAAAACCACTTTATATCTATTCAGCTTTATTTTTTTTGGAAGTTATTGAAGTTGTTAAAATACAGTGCACTTTATCTCTGAAAATCATTGTCATATTAGCAATAAAACGAAACGAATGATCGTTAGACATCAAACTAAGTTGAAGATACATTAATAAGTAAAATACAATTCCTCAGCTTCTTCGGCAGAACGATAAACTCATTCGCAACAAAATATTAACTCAAGAGTCAAGACTACTCGTTAAACCCGCGCTTTCGTGAACTACTTTAACGATGGTTTGCGGAACCTCATCTTCACATGCAATGCTGTGTTCTTCAAACTGTTTAGCTTTGTTTTCTGACCTCTTTTTAAACATATGTTCAGCTTTCTTTTTCTTTTTTCACTTTGTAAAAATACATTGTTTGTATACAATTATTTTTTAGTTGATTAATGAAATTCAAATTAAAAAAGCAATAGAGGAATGTTAAAAGTCTATCGACTATGGAGTGACTTTAAGTCCATGATAAACATTCAACATCAATTCTATTTTGTATAATTAAAATTGTAAAATATAAGTTCACGAACATAAAAATGGGGAATAATACGATACAACGATGATGTATTTTAGAAAAGTTACATTCAATTAAAATTTATGTATGCTATAAAGCAACGAAAATTTCAGTAGTGATCTTGTCGCCAAACAAAAAAAAAAAACTTTTAAAATTAACGTAATTGAAAAAGATAAAATTATAAATAAATACGTTTCTTTGATTTTTCTGCATCTCTAAAATCCAAGTCGATTGCACGTCACAAACTATATATTATTCATATAAAAAAATTCTATTGAATTTATACGCCGATAAGAGTAAAAAAAGTGGAGAAATATGCTTCCAGGTATGTGAAATTGTGAAGTAGATGACACGAACAAACTGTGACGAACCAATTTACACGTGTTTCTTATAACGAGTATCTTGAAATTTTTTTAAAAATGAAAATGAAAGGAAATCACCATTTTGTATCGCTGCAATTAAAATAGTGTGGGAACATTCAAATTGTTTGTGTTATTTTTTTTAAGACACATTTAAATTGTTGTTTAAATTGTTACTAAATGAATGGTGGTCTAGTGATAATATTAATAAGAGGTTAGTGTTTTCTGTTTTAAATTTAAATTTTCTTTTTGATTAAAGATTATTCTTTCAATGATATGTAAAATGATAATTCTGAATACTGAAAAAAAAAAGGCTGACGGCCAGTACTGACATGGTTCAAAAGGAAGTATTTAAATTGTTCGCCAAATTATAACGAATATTCATGATTTTATCATTCTTTATCTAAAATCAAATACGTCGGCTTGGTAACGTGCCTATGTAAATTCCTTAGAATCTTGCAAAAACTACATGAATATATGATTTAATAATATTTTATTCTAGAAAATTAAAACGTTCAAATTCCGCGGGGAATACGAATAACGAATATACATTATAAAAAAATATCAAATCTTACAGTCGACAATGATTTGAACATAACTACATATGCATGCTTTATTAATTTTTCACTAAAACAAACCAAATGCGTTATTTATAGATTTTACGAAGGTTATGGAGAATAAATAATTATAAATTTCTTCAGGTTAACGTCAAAATAAGTCCAAATGTGGAAACAACGCATAAACATTTTTCCTTATAAATATGGGAAGGTTTGTGATTGCCAAACTCAAAGAACATTGGGTCTCTTCTCTCTCTAGCTTTAACACACACACAAAGTCACATATAAAAAAAATAAAGAGAGAGAGAGAGAGAGAGAGAGAGAGAGAGAGAGAGAGAGAGAGAGAGAGAGAGAGAGAGAGAGAGAGAGAGAGAGAGAGAGAGATGGGTGAAGAGATACAAGGAGTGAGAGTAATCGAGGAATGGTCACCGGTTATAGTAATGGTGATATCAAATGTAGCGATGGGTTCAGTGAATGCACTTGTGAAGAAAGCTCTTGATGGTGGTGTGAACCATATGGTCATTGGTGCTTATCGCATGGCTATTTCCGCTTTCATTTTAGCTCCCTTCGCCTATATCTTGGAAAGGTTTGATACTTGAAATAACGAATTATTTATATGTGTTATTCTGTTTCCAAAACAAAGAGTTGTAAACGATATTATCTCATTCAAATTTGATGTCAACATATTTTTTAAATTTTTTATAAGTTAATTATTACATTTTATTATAAGAAACTGTACTTTTTTGAAGACTGAAGATTGTGTGAATTTTCTATTTTAATACAGGTAGAAGCCTTTTATGGTAATATATACTACAGTTTAATGAAGTTTTTCTACAAATTATTGTTAACAGGAAAACAAGACCGGAACTAACGTTTAGGCTACTGGTCGATCATTTCTTCAGTGGTCTGCTCGGGTTAGTCCACTGATCAAATCTTAATTTTCACTTTGTTGTTCTTTTTTTCTTTCTCGTCCAGTTTCATTTATTCTTATATGTTATGATACTGCGTTGGTTTTTTCTTCTTTCTGTTAAGGATGTTTTTCTTTCAAGTACGATTTAATAATAATCATAAGCTCCAATTATTATTTTTAATTATTTTTGGGATTAAAATTGCAGGGCAAGTTTGATGCAATTTTTCTTTTTGCTTGGTCTGTCGTACACGTCAGCAACTGTTTCGTGTGCTTTGGTAAGCATGTTGCCTGCAATCACCTTCGCTTTAGCCCTTATTTTCAGGTACTGATGGAACCATCTGGCCACTTCATTATTTAGTATAATATTTTTTTGTTTAATTAGTGTAATATATATATATATATATATTGACGTTGGTTAGAGTTAATTAATCAAATAACTACTCTATCTCTAAATATTTTATTAATAAATGAACTTTCTTACGATTATTAATAAAGTGCTACCAATGTTAAGATTGTTGTGCGCTATAATTATGATTTCCATTATAAATTACCTGAACTATACGTAACTACATCCTAATAAGCCCCTTTTTGTAGCTTTTCCTGGTAAAGGTCTTTTTTTTCTTTAGCTAGACGTCGCATTTTATAAACTTTGATAAAAGGATGCAGAAACTAAGAACACGATTCGTTGAATCAAATGGAATACAATACCGCTATCATTTGCGTTTAGAAGTAAATTAGTTATTATTATAATTTTGTTTTTTGTTGTCTACAACTCACACGAGCACACTACCAGATCCTTATGTATGTCCAAATTCGTTTTTTTTTTAACGTAAGAAAACAATTGAATTTGAGATATAACTCATATTCTTCATAAATTATCTCGCATTTGGCATAGAAACTTACCTAATTTTTTTTGTTTTGTTTTGTTAAGAACTGAAAATGTAAAGAATCTAAAGACCAAAGCAGGAATGTTGAAGGTGCTGGGAACTCTAATATGCATAAGTGGAGCTTTGTTCTTAACATTCTATAAAGGCCCTCAAATATCAAACTCACACTCTCACCCAGAGGCTCTTCACCACAGCAACAACGATCAAGACAAAACTAAGAACTGGCTTCTTGGATGTCTTTTCTTGACCATAGGAACCACATTGCTGTCTCTATGGATGCTTTTTCAAGGGACTTTAAGCATCAAGTACCCTTGCAAATACTCAAGCACTTGTCTCATGTCAGTTTTCGCTGCATTCCAATGTGCTCTCTTGAGTCTTTATAAGGGCAGAGATGTTAAAGATTGGGTCATTGATGACAGATTCGTGATTACCATCATCGTATACGCTGTAAGCTAATATAATATTTTGATAAATTTTTAAACTGAATTTAAAATTAAATAGTAAGGTAACTATGCAAATGCCTGAGAAATTTTTGGGGTTTATCTAGTACTACTTTACTATAAAAAAGCCATATATATACATTTATTAATTAAATTTAACTAACCACCACTAAGTTGATGCCATCCTATATATGTTTCTCTAACTAATCATGTTGGTTAACTGTCATTGTCTTAAGATAAAGTTCTCTGTTTTAACATAACAACTAAAATATTATTGTGTTACAATGAAATGTTTGTCAAAAGGTTTGAGAAAATTTGTCTAAAACTTCTATAACGTAGACACGGCTCTTATCAAAAATAGTATACACGTATTAATTACAGGGAGTGGTAGGACAAGCAATGTCGACGGTAGCCACAACATGGGGGATAAAAAAATTAGGAGCTGTTTTCGCTTCAACGTTTACTCCAATTACTCTTATCTCAGCTACTCTATTCGATTTCCTCATCTTACACACTCCTCTATACCTCGGCAGGTAATTTCATTTTTTTGGAAATTTTATATATGTCGACGTATAGGCCCATGGTCATAACACTAATTACAGCTTTCAAACTTTTGTTATTACAGTGTAATAGGATCAGTAGTGGCAGTGATGGGTCTCTACGTGTTCTTGTGGGGTAAGAACAATGAAACGGAAGCATCAACTACATTGCCTCCTCCGATGGATAACGAAGACCAAATTATTAATAATAATAATAATAATAACGACTCGAAGTCGCCCGTTTAATTTAGTAGTATTATTGTTATTGCATATTTCAAATATCTGTTCTAATGTTTAAGGAGCTAGAGACAAGGAGAGATCGAATATTCTTATTTGAAGTATGAAACCCCAAACATCAACGCAGATTATGAAATATTTTATACATTATAATGATGTTTACTGTTTAGAGTTTTTGACAATTTTCTTGTAAAATTCATAAATGACCCAGTTATTAAAATAATGACAAGAACACAAGTTGTGCTTTAGCCATTGGAAGAGCCGGTGAAATGCATTAAAAGCAGGCACATCTTGTTTGAAGCTCAAAAGTAATAGTATTTGCTATTGATCGGAGTAATTAAGAATTGAAACTTTAAACTCATAAAAAAGGCCCAGAAGAAGCCGAATAGTTGACCTTGTTTTCTAACATTAGCTTCTCATTCTATAATGACCGTTTTATATTAGACATCAATTGGAAAAGTTCATAAATCCATAATATCATCAATTGCAAAAAAAAACGGCCCTTTTAGAATGGGCTCCGAAAAAAGTTAAATATCTTCAGGTGTCCTTTTACAAGCCCAGATCAATCGGCCTTTTATACAGAAATGTCTTCACAAAACCGACACGTAGCGCCCGCGGTTTGACACCATCAATTTTCCCACTTGCTACTAATACCCGGAAATCGCCACGTAAGATTTGTGGACCCTACCCTCGCTTTTACCTACGTGAGCTTCACAACTAAAGGAGACTTCTGGCTCAGAAAGAAGCAAGTTGGGAGCTACGAAAAAGTGCAGTGAGCAGCCACTATGTTATCACCACGTGTCGATCTCCAATGACTTCTGTTTTTGCCATTTATACCCTTGGTGCTGTTTCAGCCTCAAAAAAAAAATACATTAAAAAATTCCCGAAAAATTCATGGAAATTAGGGGAAAATTGTTGTGGCTGAGATTGCTTCTGGCTTTCTTCTTCTATAGTCTTCTTCCGCCTAAAACAGTCTTCCTTCTTCTTCAGTTATCTTCTTCCTTCTTCTCTATCTTTTCTCCGCTCTGCTAAAAAAAAAAACAATAGAGATTTGGTTTTTTATTCGTTTTCCGATTGGACTGTTTTCGGGAACGATGACTTCTCCGGCGAGTTCCCGGTGAGATGATCTAGTTTCTATTTTGGATTGCATACGTTGTTCCTCCATGGCCACTCTCAAGGGTATTGTAAACTACATTATTAGCAATTTCTGGGGTTCCTCTTACTTCTTTGAATCTCTGTTTGGTTGCTGAGTAATATTTTAGAAGAGATTCACTTTATAATTAGCTCTAATCTGTTAGCATAACCACACAAATCTAGATTTGATTTGGAATCAAGTGATTAGTAACTGATTTGAAGATTTTTGATGCTCTAAAGGTTTTGGCTGCGATGGATTCGTTTGGGTGAGGCTTTTGAGAAAAAGGGATTTCTTTTGAGTTCTGCTGGAGAAGCGACTCTGTTTCACGGTGGACTTTGAAAAGATTTCTCTTGGATTTCTCTTTTGATTAATTCCAAAACAAAACCTATTTTATCTAAGTGTGGATAAAATATTTCTCATAGTCTATTCCTCTTTTGCAGTTGCTCTAGAATCTGAACCCATTTGCAATTTGGAAGCTTTGATGTTTGGGGGAGATCAAAGATGTTTACTTTGATATATTAGAGAGGATTTGAGGCAGCGAGAAGCTGCAAAGATCCGGTTATGGATACTAATACATCTGGAGAAGAATTGTTAACTAAGGTAATGAATGAATCGATGCTTAAGATTTGAGTTGATACATAGTTTGAGATCTGTTGTGTGAGGATTTTGGCGGTTTATATGAATAGGCTAGAAAGCCATATACAATAACAAAACAGCGAGAACGATGGACAGAGGATGAGCATGATAGGTTTCTAGAAGCCTTGAGGCTTTATGGAAGAGCTTGGCAACGAATAGAAGGTCGAAAAAAATTAGCTTCTTTATGCTTATTTAGTATAACTCATCTTTGTTTAGAAGTCTCTTCTATTTTCTTTAATCTCCTCTTGATTGGGAGATTATAATTTTTTTTTCTTTTGAGTGCAGAACATATTGGGACAAAGACTGCTGTTCAGATTAGAAGTCATGCACAAAAGTTCTTCACAAAGGTAAGTTTGATATTTGGAATCTTTTTTTTCTTCTTAAAACACTTTTCATGAACTTATGTTCAGTGAAGTGTAGGTACAACAACTGGTTGGTATTGAGTTAATATAACTTCTCCGTGTCGATCTATGAATTGAGTCGATGACCATGTTTAGACCATTGCCTATCACCGTATGTGTTGTTCTGTCTGAAAAAAGATGATTGAAGGTTGGTTCTGTAAACTGTTTTCCTCATTAACTAGAAATTTGGCGTCTTGCTTAGTAGAGTTGGCCTATTCCGAGGACAGGCTTCTAGAAATATCGACTTTAAGTCTTTTTATTAACTCTGCAACTAATCGAGATCATCACGATATGTCCAACTGGAAAACTTACTGCTAGAACAAAAGAGAGCTTCATTCTCTTATAAAACAGGTGTAGATAGTAACAAAACTAGCATGGCGTTTACACAATTGTACATATTGCACTAAAGTCGATGAAATAATTTGGATTGCGTCGATTCTTTTAGCCATTTAAGTGGATAGGACAGGAACATGAAGTAACTGTGTCAGTCATCAACCCCGAACAATTTGGGTCAGTATAAGACACTTTTTCTTCTGAGTTGGATCAGTTTCATGAACCTCAGGATTTTACATCTGAGTTGCATTTTTCCATCTTCATTCTTCAGTTTGGAAAAAACTTACAGTTTTGGGTTTCACTTTTTCAGTTGGAGAAAGAGGCTGAAGCTAAAGGCATTCCCGTTTGTCAAGCTCTGGACATAGAAATTCCACCTCCTCGTCCTAAAAGAAAACCCAATACTCCTTATCCTCGGAAACCTGGGAATAACGCTACATCTTCCACTCATGTATCATCAGCAAAACTTGTGTCCTCGGCCTCTTCTTCACATTGTAATCTGCTGGATTTAGAAAAACTGCCATTTGCCGAGGTTTTTATTCCACCTCTTCTTATTACTCTCTATTTCCTTCTTCATTTTGTCGTTTTTTTTTGTCACTTCTTGTGATAGATCTGTTCTTCTTTTATCTTCTTTTTCTTACTGGTTAGAAAACGTCAACTGGAAAAGAAAATCAAGATGATAACTGCTCAGGGGTTTCTACTGTGGACAAGTATCCCTTACCAAAGAAAGCAACTCACACTTTCATGGAAACTGAACTGTCTCTTAAAAAGGTAGAAAAAGTTATACTCCCAGAGCTTTGATGAATACTTTGTTTGAAGTTCAATAGCATGGAATAAAAAAAACACTTGTTCCATTCTGATTTTGAAAACAGGCAAGTGCCGATAATGGAACGAGTAAAACCTCAAAAGTGGACAATATGGCTCAAGATGGTCCGGAGAAGAACAAAGACAGAGATGGTGACGGTATGCACAGCGCGCAGAACTACCATTGGCATTTCCCCGCTGATTTTGTAAACGGAAATATGGCAAAATGGCCTCAGTTTCATCCCCCAGGTATGGTATCTCCAGACTTCATGTTTCGTCCTATGGAAGATCGAGTTCACGGGCAATCTAGCTCGCACGTGAATCTTCCTGCTACAACAACAACATCTGCTACTACAACTTCTCAACAACTGTTTCCAGCGTGCCATTCCCAGGATGATTACCGTTCGTTTCTCCAGATTTCTTCTACTTTCTCCAATCTTATTATGTCAACTCTCCTACAGAATCCTGCAGCTCATGCTGCAGCCACATTTGCTGCTTCAGCTTGGCCCTATGCAAATGTCGCCAATTCTGGAGATTCATCAACGCGAATGAGCTCTTCTCCTCCAAGTATAGCTGCCATTGCTGCTGCTACAGTGGCTGCTGCAACTGCTTGGTGGGCTTCTCATGGACTTCTTCCTGTATGTCCTCCTACTCCACTCACTTGCCTTCCATTACCAACCGTTGCAGTTCCAAATCCAGAAGCGATGGGTATCGCTGAAAATGCTGAGCTACCGCCTGAGAAACAAACCACAGATATGCAAGATCAAAACATGGCTTCAAAATCTCCAGCTTCATCATCTGACGATTCAGAAGAGACTGGAGTAACCAAGCAAAATGTTGACTCAAATACCAATGGGAACACGGAGGAAGTTGTTGCTGGTGCTGCTGCTTTGCATGATTCCCAGAATAAAAAGCCAGTGGATCGCTCATCGTGTGGCTCAAACACTCCTTCGGGGAGTGACGCGGAGACGGACGCATTAGCTAAAATGGATAAAGATAAAGAGGACGTGAAGGAGACAGATGCAAACCAGCCAGGTGCTATTGAGACAAGTAACCGTCGAAGTAAAATCAGAGACAACAACAGTCCAATCACTGATTCATGGAAGGAAGTCTCCCAAGGGGTAAAACAAGAAACCCAATGATTCATGGATTTGCTGTCTTTTTTTTTTTTTTGTGTGGAGAACTAACACTAAGCATTCATATAAAATCTTTTGTACCAGGGTCGTATAGCGTTTCAGGCTCTCTTTGCAAGAGAGAGATTGCCTCAAAGCTTCTCACCTCCTCAAGTGGCAGTGAATGTGAATGGAAAACAAGCTGACCCGTCAATGCCATTGGCTCCTCATTTCAAGAGTCAAGATTCTTGTGATGCAGACCAAGAAAGTGTAGTAATGATTGGTGCTGGACCGGGCAAGAGTCTGAAAACGAGGCAAACAGGGTTTAAGCCATACAAGAGATGTTCGATGGAAGTGAAAGAGAGCCAAGTTGGGAACACAAACAATCAAAGTGATGAAAAAGCCTGCAAGAGGCTTCGATTGGAAGGAGAAGCTTCAACATAACAGACTTTGAGGTAAAATAAAATGTCCACATTTTTACCGGTATCTTTAAATCTAGTGTTAGTAAATTTCTTCTTCAATCTTTATGAAAGAGACTTTTTTTTCTTCTTCTTCCCTTTTTTTAGATCCATCTGAACATTTCTTTGGTCATGTCAATTCCTGTACCATATTATTCCATCTCCTCCATGTCTTGTCTATTGTGTCTGTTTGTTTGTGTCTGCTACTTCGGGTCTATATGTCTGCTGCTGTTACTGTTAATTAACCATTTAAGCAATGGATTTATGCCTTTACTCCTTTTTTTTTCTTTTCCTTTTGAATGATAAGATGAATTGTACAAAAGTTCCAACTTTGAATGTTTATTTTTCCTTGAGTGGTTCTTCCACAAGGCTTCCTTGTGTTATTGATGAATACTTAATTCTTTTTTCTCCCCACTGACTCCTGAGGGCGACAAGGTGCTAACTTCCAACCTAATCGAAAAAAAAACAGAAAAATTTCAACAACGAAATTGATCTGTATGTGGATACGATGAATCGACGATAATATCCATACCGGAATTATTATTTTTTGTATTACGATAACAATAATTCATGTGGATGATCGAAAGAGAAAGAAGATGAAAAGTCCCTAGAGTAAAAATGTTTTGGTATTCGAAAACCATTATCTGCCTATGAATAAGAAAACCATTATGATAACAATATTTATACTGATATCTAAACAACTTTAGGCGTTAAACAAATAAGATAGCAATGATTTATAAAACCATATTGTTAATAAATTACATTTAAAGGTAAGAAGTATATTCAATATTACGATTTATGGAGGTGTGATCCGTAAATCTCGCTGCTTATATATAATATACACCTTAAACGCTTGCATTTTCCACACCAAAGCGCTTCACTTAGCTTCTTCCTCTTATTCGTTGCTACAAACAAAATCGGCAGTTTCATTTCGATCCCTCAAGGTATGTTTTTTATTCTTTTCGTTTTGCTCTTCGATATCAAAGTTGGATGCTTTTCGATGTTGTTCAATGAATCCTCTGGGTTTTGCTTCAAATCTCAATCATCTATCGGGTTTATAGAGAAACGGAACATATTTTTGGCCCAGATCTTCCATTGTTATCGATACATTTATCACGAAAATGAATCTTAATTTCCGTGTAATTGATCTTAATTCGGTTTTCTTTTTGGGGGTCTGATTCGCTCTTTCCATTAAATTTGGTCTCTTGATGCGATTGTGAAAGTCTCCGTCTCTCTCTCGCTCTCTCTCTGCTCCAGTTTAGGGTTAAGATGTGTGATTCAAATCAATTTCAATGAGTGATGAAACGTTTAGAAATGTGCTTTGACAGATGAGTGAAGAAACGAAAGAGGACCAGAAGCTCCAGCGTCCTGCTCCTCGTCTTAACGAGAGGATTCTCTCATCCTTGTCGAGACGATCCGTAGCTGCACATCCATGGCATGATCTTGAGATCGGTAATAATATTCATACCAACAATTCAATCTCTCATGCCTTTTGGTTTTGTAACTAAATCATAAATTCTGCAATAAATAAATCACTCTTCGTGTAGGTCCTGGAGCTCCACAGATTTTCAATGTGGTAAGACTCTACTGCTTTTTTTTTTATATTAGATTCTTGAATCATTTTTATTAGATTCTTGAAACCATTTTTTCCTGATGAAATTAGGTTGTTGAGATCACAAAAGGAAGCAAGGTCAAATATGAACTTGACAAAAAGACAGGACTCATCAAGGTTAATATAAGATCTGAAAGTTTATTTTTATCATATAAATGGTTTAATTCTTCTGCTTCTTCTTCCTTTCCGTAAAAATTAATGTTACAAAATTTTGTTTCTCTCTTCTCTTAGGTTGATCGCATTCTTTACTCATCAGTTGTTTACCCTCACAACTACGGATTCGTTCCTCGCACATTATGTGAGGACAATGACCCGATTGATGTGTTAGTCATCATGCAGGTATGACACTTTCGTCCTCGTATTTTCACCTAACTGTTTTAGATCTCAGTTACCAAATTTGTTCTCTTTTTGTAGGAACCTGTGCTTCCTGGTTGTTTTCTGCGTGCCCGTGCTATTGGATTAATGCCTATGATTGACCAGGTGAAAAAAAAAACTAACTTGATCAATCTAAAGTCTCTGTTTCTCCATTCCAATTTAGCACTTTAAGAATGAATCATTCTCTTTAATTTAGGGTGAAAAAGATGACAAGATCATTGCGGTTTGCGTTGATGATCCTGAGTACAAGCATTACACTGACATTAAAGAACTTCCTCCTCACCGTCTCTCCGAAATCCGTCGCTTCTTTGAAGACTGTATCCTTTTCTTTATGTACCTTCTTATTCGTCTCTATCGATTTCTCAATGAGCATTAGTTTTTCCATTTAACTTATATCTCTCTCATAGACAAGAAGAACGAGAACAAGGAAGTTGCAGTTAATGATTTTCTGCCTTCTGAATCTGCTGTTGAAGCTATCCAGTACTCAATGTAAGTTCTCGGTTTCTCCATCAAGAACCAAAAACTTTGTTCAATTGTAACGTTAAAACAACTCTGGGTTTCGTTTTCTATTACAGGGACCTTTATGCTGAATACATTCTCCATACCCTGAGACGCTGAAGCTTTTCCTCGGAACATTTCTGCAACATTTTGTTCCTGTTTCTTTCAATGATAATAAGAAGCATTTGATCCTTATTGACACTGTTCTCTGCATTTTCTTATGGACTTTCTTATTTGTGAACTCAATAATTTTGTCTTAAAGACCCTTCTTCTTTGGGTATTTACGTTTTTGGTTTTAATCATTTGGAAGAGTTCTATATAGTCAAATTTGAATTAAAAGTAGTTTAGGATAATTCATTAAAATCTTAGACAAATTCTACATAGGAAATACTAAATACAAACAGAGGAAATATTATTAGACTTATTCAAACAATGGTTAGGTTCATATTTGTTAAAAGGTCTTAAGAAACCTTCCACTGTTCTTTTACATTTTTCCTCTTGAATATTTGTGAAAAAAAGAAGTATTATTAGATGGATACAGATGAGATATATGAGTACAATCGACTCTTTCCAAAAAGAACATGGCTAGTAGACACATCTCATTTGGTTTGAACATATATAAAATTAAGCTAAATTTTAACTCATCATAACAAATTACCAAATCCGCAATTGTAGTCCCCATCTCCTTTGAGTAATTGAGAGTGAAAAATCAAGAATAGGTTTTGTTTAAAAGCTCAAGTAGAAGAATAGCAGCTGAATCTTTAGCCTTCTTAACACTCGGCATCGGCTCCCCAATACATTCATCAGTCCATCCTCTATCGCTTGTGTTCACTCTTACCCCAAAAGTAAATCTCTTTGCATGTGCAGGTCCTCCTTCTTTTACGCATCTACAAAATCCAACCACAATCCCAAAAACTAAGTTAGCAGAACCAAAAAAAAAACTATTACAATTTTAAAAAATTCTCACCCTTTTTCAAAAAAATCAAATTTTTACCTGTAAGAAGGCATTGGCCAATTTTTCCTCAAGCAAATATCATTCAACGTCTGTCTCGTGAATGTCTGGTTGCCATTCTTCTTGTTCCCATTTTCATTATCGTCTTGATTCTCTCCCGCGGCGTTCCCATTGGCCTGCTTCTTCTTTGATTCCTCTGCTTCTTTCTCTTTCAAAGCTGCGAGAGCGTTCCTCGCCGCTAGCTTTTGAGCCATTTTCTTCTGAGGGTTCTGCGCAGCTCCCACTTGAACACCGTCAATAAAGACTTCCACAGTCGCTGTGTTACCACTGCGACTTGCTTTGTATTCTAATCCTTCTGCTTGTTGCTGACACCGCTCTTGCAGCTCTCGAACCGGATGCATCGGTAGTGTCTCTGGTGTCACCATTGGTTGTAGCAAAGGTTGAAACACCTGAGAAAAAAGGAAAATATAACTATCATACTAGAAATAGCTTTAAATAATAATAATAAAAAAAACATAATCAATAGATGATATTTGAAACAGAAATAACTAACCTTCCAAGCAGCAGTTGTATCTTTTCCACTATCAAGAAAGATAGCACCTGCAATAGATTCCACAATATCTCCAAGAACTTTTGGGGCTTTACAGTCTCCCAAACCAAAAGAGTTAAACCCCGGTTTCGAAGACTCTGTTAGAACTTCCTTCACAAAATCCCGAATCTGAAAAACAAAAACAAAAAATGCCAAACAGTTTAAAAAAAAAACAAAATTGTAGCTGTTTAAGAGCAAAAGAACAAGTTTTTCTAGACTTTTCTTAATTATTTCACCTGTTTCTCAAGGGCGCTAGAACCGTGACGAAGGTACAAGTGGAGTTTATGTTTAACAGCAACACGAGCAAAATTCTCGTTGTTAACCGCTGCAGCTCGGAGATCTGTTAACCGGCCAGGAGGAAGGCTTGTGTATGTGAAAAACAAATGCCTTGTAATAAGATGATCCAAGACAGCATCACCAACAAACTCCAATCTCTGGTAACAAGAAACACCTGAAGACGGCCTTGAAGCATGTGTTATAGCTTCAACGAGAAGACCTTTCTCTGTAAACTCGTATTTCAGAGCTCTCTCTAGACCAACAAAGTCGATGCTCTTGAGCACGCTCTCTGGAACATTATAAACCGGTTTCACCGAGCCTTCGGTTTCTTCAGGGTCATCCTCCACATGAATCCCAATCCATTTCATCAGATGATTCGCTGCTGTTTTACCTCCTTCGACGTAATAAACACCAATCAAAGCTTCAACAACATCGGCCAGCGTCTTGCTAGACAAAACTCGGTAAGAGCTCAAGTCACCCTCCAATTCACCATCTTCCATTTCTCCATCTTCAAACACGTCCTTGTTTCCCTCAGGTTTTTCCTCTTCGTCGAAAAACGAAGAACCTCCATCTTTTGTGTCCTCGTCATAAACCGGAGGCACGCCAGGAGCAGACCACCTAGACGGGGCGAAACGATCCGCCTGGATATATGACTGAAGCCCTTTAACAAGAGCATACTGATAAAGAACCAAGTTACTCACCATCTGTTGTCTCATCCTTGTAAGCTGACCCTCGTGCTTCTGCGGATACTTGAGAAACAAGAAACGGCTAACGATCCATTTCAGATACGCATCTCCCAAAAGCTCAGCTCTCTCGTAGCAGAACGTCTCCTGGCACGAGGCAGCAGTCAAGGCTTCCAGAATCTACATACGTATAAAATTTTGTTTAGTGACGACAAAAAAAAACAGGACAAAAATGACTAACAACGCATTATAACTACCTTTGAAGTTGGAATAGGATAACTAATCAGATTTTTGAGCTGAACAGCGAGCAACATGCTCTCAACTCTTCTCATTATAGAGGGCAACCTCTGGGCACCTCGGACAAGTGAACCCGAAAGCGGATGCACAACGCACAGTTCAGGTGGAAGAAACACGTAATATGTTTTATCAAGGATCGTCTCAGATTCACCTTGAATTACAAAAGGAAAAGAAAAAGGTGTGAATCTACTGGTTATTTCCAAAAATAAATTTTTGAAGACGAAAGAAATTCTTGGTACCTGACTGTTCAAAACGAGGAGAAAGAAGATTCTTGCAATACGAAACACCTCGTCCTTTGATCAAAGGTTGCTGCTTACAACTCAAATCAACTCCATACCTGATAGATGACATTACAGAAGAAGACTTGATAGCCCCGATTACCCCAGGTTGTGCAAGAGGAAGAAGAAAAGCCTGTCCTATATATATCTCATAATACATAGACAGGCTTTGCTTCTCAGTCTTGCACAACACCGGAGGTGAATTGAGGCCATGTAAGTCCTCGTGGTAACAGAAAAGCATTAGCAAAGTGCTTCTCTAATATCTGAAAAGAAGAAGAATCTAGAATATCTGAAAGGGTTTTCATACTTTTGCTTGTAATAGTCAGCATAAGTGTTGTATTCCAGAGGACCTAGGTATCCCTCTTTCCTTGGGAAAGACGTTTCTGCACTCATGTCATAACAAATGGAGTCCACATAAAACCGTTTCCCGGAATGTGCAGCTGTCACAATTTTCCCTAAAAGATTTTCTGCAACCATGCACCCATCTGCCATCATCAGTTTTCCTTGTGATAGATCACCTTCTACTTCCTTCTCAAGAGCATCTCTAACAGGTAACAATCCAGAAGCTCTCACGACATCGAAAGATGCAACAGCTCCTCTAATACCATAAGTTGGGTGAGATTTCTGCCCAAATCCAATGTTGTGTCGAAGTTTACCAAACCCATACTCCCTTCTGTCCCCACCAAGAGTTCTCTCATTAGTCCCGAGGTATACATCAGGACGAGCTCTCTGAAGAGGGTTGTCCCAAACAGTGGTTTTGGTAATCTTTTCAACTAACTCCCAGTTGATTCCTTTTATGGGTTCTGCAGACGAATTGTCAGCAACAGGGACAAACAAGTAGGCCTTTGCAGGGTCCCATGGTGTCGTGGAGGGTTCCACATCAACATCTAAGACAATACTCATCAATCTCACATGAAATTTTTTAATAGATGATAGCTGCACAGGAAGATGCAAGCAAATATAAGAAATAATTTATTAAGTAAACAAAAATGTGAGGGAAAAAAAGTTCAAGTAACCTGGCTTTCTGTAATATCCAGTGATCCCCTGAAAGCAAGAGATGCTTTGGTGATCATGGCCCGAGCAACATAAAGATCCATAGACATCGATAATACCTGCCACAGTAAAAAAATTAAAAAAACAAAATCATTATTAAAAGGGAAAACCATCGTTTTATCTACAAATTCTGAAACTCAAAACAGTGAAGAGTGAATCAAAAACCTCTGCATCCAGCTCATTGCCAAAAAGAACTGCGAATTCTGAAACTTCAGTTAGGAATGGATCTTTTGAAACCCCAGAATCTACACATCTAACACTGTACATGTATAAATGGAATAGCTTTGAGCTCTCACAAATTTCCTTTCCTGATAAAATCCATTCTCCCTGTGCACCGTAGAAAAACAATCGAGTTTTGAAATCACATTCCCATTGGAAAAAAAAAAAACACATTTAGCAGTTGTTCACAGGTTAGTGCTAGTTTTACCTTAAGTACATCCGCCACACCTTCGGGATAGAACTCTCTATGTCTAGCAGTTCCAGGAATGGGTTCACCTTCATCATCCTGGTCAGCCTTCTCAGCGTCTTGACCACTTCCCTTGTCCGGCAATAGCATATCCGTAAATGCACCCATCTCATGCAGTTTCTTGCAACCAGCTAGGCATACAGCCTAACATATCAAAACACACGATATAATTCAGAACACGGAACGCTAGAGGATAACAACAAATAAGATATTTAACTCCACCTGTTGTGCAAGACGCATTGAACTACAAACAGGACCCTCGAGTATTTCAAATGGTGCATTGCAAGGGAGCTGAAGCCTGCATGAATACTCGGTGTGTCCTCCAGGCTTTTCATGTTTCACCATGCTAAACTCAGGACGAAGAATCGCATACCTGAGACACACAATTCCACCATCTCAATCAGGAAGACGATAGGTCGTTATGAAGACAAAAAAGTTATCGGTAAACTTACCTGTCACCAGGAAGCTGAGAGCAGTAGAAATGTATGAGACCAACCGCGGAATTCAAGCTAACCATGGCACCAGTTGCCTCCACCTTATAAACTGTACCAGGCACAGCATCAATGGAGATAAGCCTCGATGAATCTTTGAGATGACTAAGATCAGTCCTTTCTATTGCTTCTTTTCGCAGCGTCTCCTCACTGTTCCTAGCATTCCTCAAGAATGCTGCGTGAGATACATTTTCCCTGCAAGCAATACATGTTGATTTGGTGATCAGTCATTACAAAAATCAAATGAAGATTTTAAAGCTTATTTAAATAAAGAGAGCAAAGCATATGTACCTCTCAACCATGAGTATGTAGTCTGATCCAGGCTTTCTTGCCCGACCACGCGACTGAATGTATGCTAGCACCGTCTTTGCAAGGTCGAAACGCATAACAACGTTACACTGCCTAATATCAAGTCCTTCCTCAGCAACACTTGTGGCGACTAACAGTGTCACCTACCACAATATAGAGACATACGTCGAAAGAACATCAGTTATAATTCGTACCTCAAGACCTAGAAACAAAGACAACAAATATTCCTTACCTGGCCATCTCGAAATTTGGAAATCGTATCCTGCATTTGAGATGATTTCATTTCCTGGCTGTTATTGTGCCCGATCATGCTGGCGCACCGAATAAAACCAAGAGAAGGCAGCTCAGCGAAAACCTGAAAAGTTCCAAGCTCAGAGATACTGACAGTAAAAATGTAATTAAGACATAACACATAGATTTTCACTTGAATCCTAACCTTTGGAAGAACCAAAGCAGCAACCACTCTCTCAACAAAAACAATAGCGCGGAAATCAGCTGTGTGCTGATACTTGAGGAGTAGTTTGATCAATGATTGAACTTTTGGAGTAACTTTCCCATCAGCCACTGCCGCGCCTATGACTTTATCAACGTGCTCCCCTCCAGAGACCACTAGAGTCATAGCATTGTTAATATATCTGGATCAATTAGTAAAGAGACAGATACTAAGAATGCCTAGTTAAGACTTACCATGATCATCAGGGAGCTCTCCTTCCTCGATCTCATCATTTGCGTTACCATTTTCCGGTTTGCTCAACTCCGCGACGGCCTTTTCAGCAGCAGCTCCTTCCAAAAGCTCACATTGCAAGAGTGACACAACTTCGCTGAGGTACGATTCTTGAAACTTCACATCGACTTGGAAATTCACCCTCTCGTCACTTTGCAACGCAGTCAAGAACGATTGTGCCACCTTGAGATTGAGAGAGAGAGAGAGAGAGAGAGAGAGAGATGAAAATGATCACATATAACAAAACCATTTTCAAATCATCAAAAACTATTTATTATTACCTTGTAAGCACACCATTGACCCAATTCAGCAAGAGTATAATTAATCGCTCTAAGTTTATGAATCAAATTGGCGGCTCCATCGCTCTCCGTTCTTTCAGAGACGCCATAAACCTGTCTCAGTTCATCCTTGGCTCCAGCATCCCTAGCCCCCATGAACTGCCACTTGCTTTTCCTTGAACTTGCTTGTGCTGCTTCTTCAACAGCTGCAATCATTTGCTTTATTTTCTCATGAAGAGACCACATGGTAGCAGCTTTGTCATACTCCACGACAATCTCTGAAGGCATCGGCACATGTTTCTCCAACTCCTTTCGATCTTTGATCGTACAAACTGTTGAATCCAACTTGGTCTCAAGATTGCGTATCTTTATCGCACAATCTACTTGGCTAGAAACACCTATGTAAAAGAAGAGAAAGAATAACACTTTTAGGAACATCAGCAAGCAAGACCCGCTTAGAAAAATCTACACAAGAAACAACAAGTACCCTTTAGATTAACAGGCGAAGCAGTCATTCCAAAGATGGCAGGTCTTTTATCCTTCGGAGTTGTGTGGTAAAACTCTGACATCACCAGAGAGTACGGATGTTTCTTGACAGCGTGGTGACACTCGTCGAGGATAAGAAGATTAATCGCTTCCATTCTTATAATGCTGTGTCTCAGTATATTCAACAGAATTTGTGCAGTCATTACTAGCACCTGCATAGCACAAAAACAGAGAAAAGCCGTAAACTTTAACAACCACGTAATAATTAGAAAAAATCAGAGCCCATGTGAAGAAGAAGGATGCACAGAAAAGCAACCTGCTTAGACTCAAACTCTCGCTGCCACCTTCGAGCATCCCAGAAATCTTGTCCCATCTCACCACAATAATGCCCAACTTGAAAACAAGTTTGATTACGGATCACTTCTGCTTGCTGAAAGTATTAAGATTAATCAACAAACCGAACCGCAAAAGGTAAAACCAATTTTTTAAAAAAAATTACAAACATGTATGTTATTACCTGATAAACCAATGGCACTTTAGGGACCAAGAACACCGAGAGCATTTTTCTGTTCTGGCTCGTTAGATCCTTGTGAATACTTTTGATTAGAAGAATCGCGATAAGAGTCTTTCCTGCACCGGTCTCAAGGAAAGCAATAGTGTTTTTCGCTTTAGCTTGTTCAAGCACATCCAATTGATATCGCCGTGCTTGCTCTTCCACAACCTTCTCTTTATGTTCTTCAGGCTTACTCTTGTTCTCCTCTGCCTTCTCGTCGCTTTCTCGGTTTCTTCCACTCTCTTTCTTTAAATCTCTTTCGTGATCAGCTTCCCAAGTCCCCGACCGATAAACCAACTCATTTGAGCCAACTTTATCCCTCTCCCAATAACCCCTAGCTTCTCTATCTCTACCATCTCTTCTATAGTTGTAACCATCTCTTCTCTTATTGTGACCCGCCTCGTCCCAATTCCGAGTCCGTTTCCTATTCATAAACCTATCACCCTCCCTAGAATTAGCCTGTCCTCTACCTGAAAGGTTACTCCTTTCCCTCTGATAACTACAAACCCTAGCTCTCTTCCTATTCTTCTCTCCTTCCTCTTTCGACACCTCGTCTCTCTTACCGCCACACTTTTGCAACACATTCCCCTTCACGGAGACAGTAGTCTCTCCAGCAATCAACTGAGCAGCTTCACTGACCTCGCTATTACCGTTAATTCTTTGAGAATTGGTCTCAGAAACGCCATTGATATGAGCTCTGTTTGGTAAGCCTCCACCGTTCTTAATACTATCTAAAATGTGATCAATTCCACCGAAAAAATCGTTGTTCACGCCGTTTTCGTCTACGGATTCAGCGACAGCAACAGAGGAAGGATCAAAATCAGACACGAGATCGTCGATAAGATCACAAGATATGTCTTCGCAAGCATCGAGCCAATAAGAAGGCGGCTTTATGTCACCCCTACGCTCATCTTCCATTACCATATTCTATAATAATCAATCAAATCAAAAACAATTTTTTTAGAAAAAAAAAAAAGAGCTCACTCAAAAACCAAATCTTCAGAGAAAACCCAGACGAAACAGAATAAAAAACACGAGAACTGAGGAAACCCAGAAACGGGAAGACATTACGGTGAGTGAAGAGAGGTGTTTTGTGACAGAATAAGGGTTAGATAGACCGTACGAAACACGCCAATTTTCCAGGTTAAAGGGGTCACGAAGAAGAGCAAGCAAAACCCTAGAGTACGAAAATAGTTTTATTTATAAAATAAATAAGAATTAAAACCCTTGAGAACTTTTGCAAAGTGAGTGATTCGAAGATTCCACGGTCTATCGATCCCTACTCTGTTTCTCTCTTCGTCTTCCTCTTCTCTCTCGCTCTCTCTCGCTCTCTCTCGCTGGTCTGTTTTCCACTTGCTCGCTTCTCTTGTAATTGTTTTTATTATTTTATTTTCCAAAATATTACGACATAAAAAGAAAAAAGGCCTTTAAAGAAGAAAGTATCATATTTATTTACTGCAAACCAACCGACCTGTAAATTCCACGCGTTATTAAAACTCTAAGAAAATTACAACATCTGGAATGATATCAAGCCATTTACTGGTTCGAAAATAAAATAGCAAACGGACTCGAAATGTCTAAATAAAATCATTAACAAAAAGAAAAATTGATAGAGAGATGATGATAATAAAAGTGTTTGACTCTTTTTCAATTCGGATTTTCTCCGACCGTGGTTTAGATTCTCAAGATTATTCCAACCCTTTTCGCTCTTTACTGTTTTGCAGGAAAGTTAATATTCGAAACCAATGAGAGATTGACAAGTGGAAAGGTGTTCCTTGTTAGTGATTGGTCGGCTCTGATGCTTTTGTCGTGGACCGAACTACTCGTGCGACTTCCTTTTCTTTTTTGGAAACGGATGGAAACGAATCAGTGCTGGCACCTGGCACTCAGTGGCATCATCAACGAACAAAATATATCCTAAAATTGAAATAATGGCGCTAAAATCATCCGCATTAAGAGAGATAACTATAGCATTAATGTTCGTAACGCTAATTTGAAACTAGTAGCATTTGGTGATTTAAGTCAAAAAAAATTATGTGGCGAAACAAAGTAAATATTAGCCATGTAGTCTTTTACTAATGTGTGGATGGTACACATTAAAGTACACTCGGATCCTTAACTCTCTTTTTTGGCCCAAGTCTATTTCCTATAGTTTACAGAATTCACACACTCACAATATTTTATTTAAATCCGAGTTATAACACAGCATCGAGTTAATTTAAATTCGAAAATCGGAATATTTAGGATAGTTCTCCGCCATATATTTTCTCAACTGCCCTCGTTCTTGAAAATTACTAATCTTTCTACAGTAATTGAATTCCAACGGCAGCATATGCGAAAATTGTATTGAAAATAGAAAGTAAAAAAGAAAAAGTGGGCCTCAAAAATCTAAAATATGATTTTGTTCTCCTTCCAGATAATTGCAAAAGTCTGCATGGAAAGCGATCTAAAGTCGATCGAATAACAATTTATTAATATATTCTCTTCTGAATTTAAAGGCAATTGCATCTTCATACACTGATAGCTTACATTTCACGTTTACTACTCTCCATCTTAATTAAAGTCAGTTTGCTATTCAATCTCCCACTTCAATGTTAATTATGGTTGACTATTTTAAACGTTTTAAGAATTTCGAGTCTTCGTAAGAACCTCAAGATTAGTATATTAACTTCCTTTTGGTAGATTACTAATCAGGGACATGGGCCTAATTAGTAATTATACATATTGATGTATGATTGGATCACAAGATTCTCAAAGTGGTTTGAATTCTGAAAAAAAAAATTTGAAACTATTCAACCTTTTCGTCCAACATTAAAGGGCCTATTAAAATCTTAAGCATAGCCCAAATATTACCGAATCAGTCGGTACATCGGTGACCAAACAACATTGACAATGGGCCTGATCCCTTGAAGAAAGAGGACCCAAATACGAATATCTTTTGAAATCTTTCACTTTCATATATATAAAAATTTAGTCTTCATCACTCAATATTATGATCTGTAATCTAGCGGCACTAGGCCTGGGAAAAAAACCCGGATCTGAATATCCGAACCGGAATCGAATCGAAATAGAGGTATCAAATCCGAACCGAAATTTTTAAAAATATCTAATAGATCTTAAACTCTTATACCCGAAGAATTGGAACCGAACTAGTACCGAACCGAGAACCGATTGAGTATCTGAATTATCCAAAATATAATTATATATCCTTCTAAATATTAATTTTTTTTATATTTTTGATATTTGGTACATATTTCTAGTTTTACAGATATATTTTCTTTACTTTTGGGACTTTTGGGTATATTTTTAAGTTTTGATATATATATTTTTGAATTTTTGGATATAATTTATATTAAAAAAGTGTAAGTCGAATTAAAAATTTGAGGCAAAAGATCCGGATCTGATTATCCGAACCGGAACCGAAATAAAGATATTGAACCCGAACCAAAATTTATAAAAATACCCGATGAATCCTAACCTCCTCTACCCGAAATATTTGGAACCGATTGGTTTCGAACCAAAACCGAATCGAATATCCGAATGTCCAGACCGAAGCGGGCACCGTGTTTATCCAAATTTCTGAAATATATGAATTTTAAAAATATTATATGAAATAGCACCATAAAATTGACATTTTTTGGACGGTTCATCTCGTCGTGAGATCCAATGACTTGAGACTCTGAAGTGTTGTAACAAAGATCACAGGGTTCACGTTTCAAGTGGCCGACTTTTAAAATGGAACAGCGCCGTCACTTTAGTAGAACCCCACCCCGCTTAACTGAAAATCCAAATCCAAAAGATTCGAAATTAGATTTTGCAGAATCAGAAAAATTCAGCATACGAAAGAAATGGCCAGGTGGTCGGTTCGGCCGCCGCCCACCCTCAAACCGGGCCCGGTCTAGTTAACATCAATACCAATCCCTTTCCGGTAAGAAACTGCGGCGCGTGTATGTCAAGCACCTTTCACCCTTTTTTATTAAATGCCAAATTCCCAATTGAATGACGATACTTCCTCACGCACATAAATCTTTTTATTTTTATTTTCTTCAAGCACAAAAAAAAGACAAACAATCTTTACGATAAATTACTCCTAGTGAGAGATAAAAAAAAAATTACTCCTAGTGAGTAGTAGCTTATCTCTGTCGACGAATAATTAGGACTGTGCAATTAGTTTTCTAGCTGAATTTTTTTTATTCTCGGTTTAGTCAATCACGATAATATGTATACCTAATCGGAAGACATTTTTTATAAAAAAAAAACAAAAAATGTCATGTAGTATTACACATACTGACATACATATGTTTTTTCATTGTTTCGCTCTTAAAAAGGGTATCGTTTGATTTACAAAAATAGGCTTGATTATGGTTCAGTATGAGTCGGTTTAGATGCATGGTTATATAGCTTATGTTGTTTTAGATCTAACCAACAATTTTTAGTAGTAAAATATGAAGGGAGAGAGAGAGACAAAGACAGAACAAAAGCCTGCGAAGCCTCCAACGGTATTCATTGTGGACCAACCTTAAGTGTGGGACGACTCTATCCATCTACATTTTATTATATGATTTTGTCCATAGCTCAATTTAGCACTTCGCATTTCTATTTTCTAGCCTCTTGTATTTTAAAAAACTATATACTTTCTTTGCAATAGAAAACTTATCCGTATCAAGAAATTTTCTTTCGAGTTATGTACCATATAAATGATATGTTTTAGTTTTAAAATAGTTAACGAGCAAAGGAGAGCTTGGCTTGATTAGGGTTTATTATACACCCCATCACTTGTCTCGTTTCGTTTATTTATCTTGAAACGTGCTTCGATATATAATTCATATTCGTGGACCGTTCCATACATTCTTGATTTCTAGTGCGACTTATCCCGATAAATCGAAATCAACTAACACACACTACTGACACACATCATATATATTGAAATCACATTTAAATTTATCATTTTGTTGATCGAAATCAAAAACCTCCTTTAGTTGGGGCCTCGGCCTTTTTCTTTGACCAGTACAAATCTCTTGAATTTTCTAAGAATTTTGCACATAATCCCTTATCCTACAATCACAGGAAAATGTTAGATTAAAATCGTTATATTTGTAAACATCATTTTACAAATTATTTGGTCGAGTTAAACATCACAAAATAGGGCTGATTTCATTAGTGTAAGATATTGTTTTATAATAATTATTATATATATATCATACTTTATATGTGCTTTATGTTTATATTGTAGGCTATATGAAACTTAGGATCATCTATATAGAATGCACCCATATTTAATAAGAATAATTATACATAAACTATAATACTTATGAAGTTATGATTTATTTTAAAATTTCCAAACTTCCATTAGTTTATATCTCTCAATCTCGTAAAACATAAATTTCTGACCTTTTGATCTACACGACTACACTATCTTCAATTAAGGAAGTAAAGTCAGTGGTGTAAGCAGTCTCCTCCACACGCAATATTCGGTTTCTTGATAAAGAAAATAACTTTACAGAAGAAAGAATTGTTTGAGGCTTGATCACAAAAGAAAAGTGATAACCTAAGCCATAGAGAATTTCTCAATATACTTGTATACTGTATAATGTAGATATAAATAGTTTATAGTTTCTTACATCTACTACTTTTGGACCCACTTCTCAATCTTCTCAATCTATATAGCTCGTATTGAAGTGATTTACAAATTATGCATGTGTAATCTAACTTAATTAAGACTCCTAGACTTTGGGGCACACATGACAGTTGTTGCCATCATTAACATCACATAAACCTGCTCCATGCAAATGGACTATATTTTGCACCTACTACATGATAACGACCCCTCTCTATGACTATGTACACACATATATTAGTACACGTACTATATATTCAAATCCACAGGCTTAAATTTTATATTAATTGTTACTATACTTGTATCATTAATCTTCTTGATGATTATGCATATAATTTTGGTAAGCATGTATATTCATAATCATAAAAGTATATTCATCGAAAATCAACGATTGAGGTGGTATATGCCTATTAAGCCCGGCCACTGCATATATCACATACCTTCCTTTTTTTCCCTTTGACAGAGCAGCTTTTTAAAACGACCAAGTTCTTAGCATTTCTCTATGGCTATAGGACCGTACATCGTATAAAAAGTTAATATTGAAAAAAAAATCCCAAAGGCCAAGTTCTCCTCCAAGTGGATAAAAATACACACACACACAATATAAATATGAATATTCAATAATGAAAATCGCTAGGTGTGAAAGAGATCGAGAAGTGTGGGGATGCAAAAATGTGAGGCTGTTTGGGACAAACTCTAGAGATAGAGAGAGAGAGAGTAGTGATTAGTGGTCCTTACTCTATTCCATGTTTACTGTTGTAAATTTGTATCACTTCACCTTCTCACTACCCTTGTCATTTATGTTTGCTTCCCCTTTAAATCAAACCCTACTTTAACCATTTTATTCAAATATTTTGTACACACCATAAATCTCATATTTATACCATACCTTGTCTACTTCTAATCAATAAATACATCAATAAAATTAGAGATTAGCAACGTATATGAGAGATGATATGCTATACAATCTGGAAGTCAGTACGATTAACTTTAAAAGACTAAGAACTTAAGCTACTATCTAAAGTGTTCGAGATCATCAGATTTCAGATATACGAATAATGAAATGACAAATTTGTCGAATTATATTTGGAAATTAATCTTTATTTTAAATCTAAATATCTAAATAAGTTATATAAAAATTTAGTATACCTCTGACTATATTAATATATACTATCACATACCACTAGTCGACAATAATTATAATTAATTGAAAACTTGTTCTAAAGTCTAAAGACTCTAAACAATAGTAAATAAAACTTAAAGGCAATTTGTTTTCCTAACATTTATTGACACGATGAGCCGATGGCGCGTATTTAAAACTTTCCATATCAATATATTGCAAATTTGTAATAATTATTTTAAATAAATGTTTTCTATAAATAAAATAATTAAAAAATTCAGCTATCTATATATAAGTTGGTCAATTAAATTAGAACGAGATTCATTCCTTAAGCATAATCTATAAAGGGTTTTGTTTTTTAATAAAATAATTGCAAATGAGAGATTATAGGTAGAGAGGTCCCCTTTGCATCCAAGCTGTTGCAATTCGGTAAATAGTAAAAAAAAAAAATTATATAGTCAATAATAAAATTGCTTTATTTTAGCTTTGCCTTTAAATTAAAGAGCGAGGGCTGCCAACCTTTTCCGAACCATACTTTTATAGTTATGAATACAGTATACATTAATATACATACCCATAATCTTTTGTTACAAATAAATATACGCATTATTTTCGGTAACTAATAGCTATTTACGGTGCAAGATATATAAATTAGATGATATGAAATTATGATACGATTTTAGTGCTGACAAGAAAAAACCATATAAAGTATAAAAGATAACGATTTGAAAAAAAAAGTAAGATCCCATTTGAAAACTATGTATGAACTAAATCTAAAAAGTAAAAACCCAAATCAAATTAAAACTCACAATTTAAATTTATTTTGAAGATAGAGATGTATTAATTAAATCGAAAGCCATATATAGTTGAGTACTTGAGTTAAAATCATATTAAACGGATTTGTATTAGAATCAGTTTCACCGTGGTTGTTGTCTCTCTTTTCGAGCTGAACATGAAATACCTAGTTCAAGTGTTATATACATATATACGTAACTCAATTGTTATCAGCTTAGTCATGACAATAATTGGAAAGAGTATGAAGAAAACTAATTTATTTCTAAATAAGTAAAAAATAGTGACATTATACGTTGAAAAAAAAATTATAGTTGACGTGCTGAAAAAAAATTTATAGTTGACGATTTTTCAATACAAGATCGGCCGTTTTCAAAACGCAAACTTTTAATATATTTTTTTGCACGTGCTTATCAATTGATTTTTACAATGTACTCATGACATTTATAATAAGATACTTCAAAAAAATAATAATAAACAAATACGCAGTTTAATTACTGGGAAATTATCTGCCCAGGTGTGACAGAATTGGACATTTTCTTGCTGTCTCAAAACATCAAACGCTCTTGTTATGGATGTTAATGATTACGACACATAGGAATAACATAATAAAATATTATGGTCATTATTTAATTACTATAATTAATTAAGCAAGTTTTTCTATATAAGGCAAATAAAAGTCGTGTACAATTATATGGAAACTCTATTACAAGTTATATATTATTTTATCAGGTTTAACTTTGTTTTTGTAAATAAGCTTAATAATTCGCCCACTGTTTTACAATATTTATTTGCAATGATGAGCCTAAAACGAACCTCGTAAGACATCGTCATCATCTGAATATGTTTTACGGTCCCTTTTTTTTGCGGTAATTTTACTTACACACATACATAAGATATATTTGTATTCGCTCATTTTCAATTTGCACACATACATAAGATATATTTGTATTCGCTCATTTTCAATTTGTTTTGTTGTGATTGATGTATATGTATAAAATTTTGGACCACAAAAAACATGGACACATCGGCAACCAAACCTTCTTTCCTCTTGCGATCTGCAAATAATTACACACTTTTTTTGTCAGCACAAATAATCACACACTTAATTTAGCGAATTATTTGTTTTTCTTACATAGAGATTATCAACTCTTCATAATTTAATTCTTTCTTATAACAGTATTAGACTGATAATCCACGTGACTCTCTGACAAGAAATTGCTAAACAAACTTTTTTTAAAAGACGTACCATTTCTTTTTTAGTAGTGTTACTGCTAAATTGCTAATGATCAATGTTTTTCATTTGCATGATTAAGTGGATCGAAATTATCACTGAGCGTAAAATAATATATAAGGTGATTATTATTTTACACATAAATCCCTATATATAATACGTAATTAAGTGATAAATTAGGAATCGATTGCTTACTAGTTCAACAGTACACGTTTTACTGTAATCAGACTATTAATCGGTAATTCGCGGTAATTGAAAAGATCAGTCAATAACTAGCCTTTAAAAAATTTAGAGTAATATAAATCAACTGTTGAACGAGGGTAAAATCTAAAAACCTAAAACAAATCGAAAGGCGTTACAACGCATGTGTACATATGCATACATGATACATACACATGTTTAAGAAATATTGACATGCCAACAACTGGAATAGTAGTAGGTGAGGATTATATTTAATTTAACGTGATAAAATGCGTGCATGTATATATTGATACTGATTTTGTAAATGATTTCTCTATATGTAAAAAAATTGTATCCATTTTCTGATATATACATCCATGTTAGTTAATATATAAACCGGAATCACTTTGACTAGATCTATACTGCTAACTTACAGAAACTACATATAAACTTAAATTGCTTTAGTTGTGCTAATTGCTAAACAACAATAATTTGTAAACAGACAATATTAAATAAATACAAAATAGCCCGATATTAATCAATAAACAAGGGAAATTAAATAGACGTGGATACTCATTCTAAATTTCTAAAACAAAAAAAGATTGAGGGAAGTTGACAAAAAAAAAGAGAGATTGAGGGAATTCCAAACATTAACACTTGGTCGACAAACTACACACATACATATATATATATATATATATATATAAACACATGTACATAGTGATTTGAAATTTCAATACAACGAGCTAACTCGAAGCCTAATGAAAAGGACAAGAAGCTCACATGACCCGAACCATATCATTCATGGGCCCCTACGCATTACTCGGTACCAATCTCTCTCTACGTTTTGAACCTCTATCAAGAATCTCAAGCCACCATTTTTTTTTCTTCATCCTCTGAAGAGATAGAGAGTGAGATCCTCTTGTTTGGCAAGAACCCAATTTAAGTTCGAAAGTCCCGATTTGCTTTTGATCTTTCTCTTTCCTTGAATTCATTTGAGAGTCAACGAGAAAAATATATCATATATAAACACAGTTTGGTTTGGTTTCGATTCTAGGGTTTTCATATTCCCCTAAATTTTTGTGGTCAAAGAAGAAGAGAAAAGAACCAATCGAACCAAGAAGAGAAAGACAATTTCAATTTCAACATCTCTCTCTCTTATATTATAAGGTGAGACCACACCACACCAGAACTTTAATTTTTATTTTTTCTTCTTCCCTTCTTTTAATATATTCTTTGAATTTTTTTCTCATTAATTCATCTACCCCTTTTATATAATTGTGGCTGGATTTTCGTTTCGTTTGGGCTTTTAATATTATCTTCTTAATGTATGTTGAAGATCTCGAGTTGAGTCATCATCGTCAGTGACTATGAACAACGACCGCAACAATTCACCAATTCAAGAACAATAGGAGAACGGATTAATCTCCATCAAGATTCACACTAAGACCCATCTCAAGAAAAGGAAGAAAGTCTTAGTCCAAAGAACATGAAAAAAGGAGTAATCTTGATCAGGAATCACTAGAACCCATCTCATATATCAAGACAAGAAGCAAGATTTGGCAAGAACAAGTTTCAGTCTTGATTCAAGAAACCATCTCATAAATCAAGATTTATCCAAGGAAATCAGATAATTCCTCATGGATCTATCCCTAGCTCCAACAACAACAACAAGCTCCGACCAAGAACAAGACAGAGACCAAGAGTTAACCTCCAACATCGGAGCAAGCAGCAGCTCCGGAGCAACCGGAAACAACAACAACAACCTTCCAATGATGATGATTCCGCCGCCGGAGAAAGAACACATGTTCGACAAAGTGGTAACACCAAGCGACGTCGGAAAACTCAACCGACTCGTGATCCCTAAACAACACGCGGAGAGGTATTTCCCACTAGACTCATCAAACAACCAAAACGGCACGCTGTTGAATTTCCAAGACAGAAACGGCAAGATGTGGAGATTCCGTTACTCGTATTGGAACTCTAGCCAGAGCTACGTGATGACCAAAGGATGGAGCCGTTTCGTCAAAGAGAAAAAGCTCGACGCAGGAGACATCGTCTCTTTCCAGCGAGGCATCGGAGATGAGTCCGAAAGATCGAAACTTTACATCGATTGGAGGCATAGACCGGACATGAGCCTCGTTCAGACACATCAGTTTGGTAATTTCGGCTTCAATTTCAATTTTCCGACCACTTCTCAATATTCAAACAGATATCATCCATTGCCGGAATATAACCCTGTCCCGATTCACCGGAGCTTGAACATCGGAAACCACCAACGTTCGTATTATAACAATCAGCGTCAAGAGTTTGTAGGGTACGGTTATGGGAGTTTAGCTGGAAGGTGTTACTACACGGGATCACCGTTGGATCAGAGGAACATTGTTGGATCTGAGCCGTTGGTTATAGAGTCAGTCCCTGTTGTTCCCGGGAGATTAGCTCCGGTGTTAATGCCGCCGCTTCGTCCGCCTCCTTCTACGGCGGGGAAGAGACTAAGGCTCTTTGGAGTGAATATGGAATGTGGCAATGACTATAATCAACAAGAAGAGTCTTGGATAGTGCCACGTGGTGAGATGGGTGCATCCTCTTCTTCTTCGGCTCTGCAACTCAATTTATCGACGGATCATGATGATGATGATGATGATCAATTTGCTAAGAAAGGGAAGTCTTCATTTTCTCTAGATTTCAATCCATGAGAAGTTTCATCATCTCTTTTAACATCTCTTGATTTGATTTCATTAGTATTTGCCAAGGGAATTATATTCTAGTTAGTGAGGGGAAGAAAAACGATCTTTTCCGTTTTTTTTTTTTGGTTATGAGTTTCGTTTTCTAATGTTTCTTGATGTTCATCACTAGACTATTGTCACCATGTGAAACTCGATCGCATCTTTTTCAGGTTTGTATAGAAACATAATTTACATAAAATAATATGTTCACATGTCTATGATGGTCTCAAATTTTATCAACTTATATCCTTAATGTTCAGCCTAATTTTTTTTTTTACTTATCATCTTCATAGATTCTATATTATATTTACTACTTTAAAACTTTGTGAAACTGCCTTTAAGCTTTGGCTATATAGCATGTCATCAATAAAACAGTGTTCATCATCAGTTTTTTCAGTTTTAATAGAATGTGGGATTATAATTGATGAGTGGGAAAAAAGCTTATAAATTTCATGAATTGTACTCTCTGTGCCTATCTTCCTACACTGACAAAGTGTTTCATGGTACATTCTAAGCTAATGGGCACGTCCAAAAAAAGCCTCTCTTTTTTCTCTCTCTAATGGTCCTATTTTGTTTGTTTGGTTACTCTTGTAATTTTGCTCGGTTAAAGAGATTTTTGCAGGTTATGGGCAGAGAAATAAAGAGAAGCTAGCTATGGAAGGAGTACTGTTTATATAATATTTTAAAAAAGAACAAAAGGTATGATATGTTTTCACATTGTTTGACTTTTCATTATCACAGATTCATTAATTTCTCTTTTTTACTAATTCTAGATTCTTGTTTTGTTATTAACCTTTGGTCAATATCTTTGTTTGGTTTCGAACGTAAGTTGAAGTAATTTTTACCAAATCAGGTATCTCTGTAGATTTCATAAACTCATGAGCTATTTCAGAATGTTAGATCCTAAATCACTTGTCAATTACTTTATATACACATGTCTCTGAATATATATAGCCATTAGCCAACCTATATATATATACATAGTTTACACATGCATATGTATAAATAATTTGGTGAGTTATAGTTTTTGTGGAACTTGTGCAGGCAGTCCGTAAGGGAATATAATTGTCGTCCTAACATTTTAACAGATTATAGCAATACTCACTCGTTGATTATACATAGTTTCCTATACAACTACTAATATCTTGAGTAAATAATGAAACTTGTACACGCATTATAGTTAAAATGTGAATACTAACTACATGCTTACTAGCAATTCTCAGATAGTACATTTATATATGTAGCGCAAATATATGTAGGTACAAATCGATGTATAACACACGTTAGGGTAAATAACTAGAATTAGTTCTTGAGAGATATACTATTCTATAATCCACATATATTGTTAGATTGTGTTGAGTGTTTTTTTTTTTTTTGTATTAAAGATCAGATGGACAAGTCATTTCGTAGATTTGTTTTTTCAACTATTGTATAAACACAGTCCACAGTCCACACCTCCTATTTAGTTATAATAATCCAAGTACTCCACACTTTTTTGAGGTAATATTCATGTTGTACTGTATATTAATCAATATATAATATTAATGACTCTGTGCACCAATATTTTATTTTCTTAGCACATATGAGAGTCGATTTTTCCCTCGACGTGTTTCTTTAGCTGCTTCTTATTTTACATGTATGGCGAATGTATGAACATTTAGGGGATTTGTATAACTTTCGATAAGTATGAGGGTCCGTATCATTTGTGATCGAGTGATCCTAAAATAAATAGGACACATCATACATGTTTGAACCTATCATTCTAGGTACTTCATATACATTGAAGATCAGACATATGGTTGGTATATATATATATATATATCATGAATGTGTGTATATATAAGTACTTCCTAGTTCCTAATGCAGTAGTGGACATCAAGAGTTAGTAAATAAGGTAGAAATGGAGACTAAATAATATAAACATATATATATATAATGTATGTAAATCTATATATATAATCCACATATCTTCAATATAGGGAACAACGGTGTACTTAATATATAAACGACTTTGCCAAGGGGGTGATCAAATGGAATATATAAATACGTATCCCAAATAGTCTACGAGTAGCTATATATATGTCCCAAAAGGCTTGTGCATAGTTGTCAAAAGAATATAACCGTAATTTATATTCAAAAGATGGCATAGAAAAGAAGATATCATGAGAGATAAAAGTGGATTATTAGTAAAAAAATATTTACGAAAATGACTAAAGTTAAAGCACACGATATTGTAATATATCTAAATGATTAGTTGTGTAAGAATAAAGAGAATAAATGACATGCTCTAATTATTGTTAAAATAAATAAATAATTCATTCTCATTAGATTCCTAACCTAAAAGAGACTGCAAGTATGTAGGCCGGTTAGGGCTTTTTATAGGCATGATTGATGATGATAAGGAAATTTCGTATTGGGGTTAATGGGTTCTTCCCTTTCTTCATGTACACATAGATTAAATAAATGTATATTTTAATATTCAATTCAACTTTTAAATTACCGTTCCATTTTTTATGTTTGCTTTTTGAAGAACAACGATCTACCGCCTCAATTCCAAAATACGCAAAGAAGCGACCTGATTTGTTTTTTTTTCTTTTACATCTTTTTGTGGTGTATAAATCGAAATTATCGGTCGAAAAAAAAATCGAAATTATCGGTCGAAAAAAATCGAATTTATCCATTTGTTTTTATTAGATCGCAAATATAATTCACGAATCTACGCATTTCAATACTTTAGGTCACAGAATTAAGTCTTGGGTCCGAAAACCCGGGTCTCATTTATCAGCAAGGCCCATGTATTGGCCCTTCAAGGTTTAAAATAGTCCCCCAGAAGCTGACCCGGACCCGGATTTGGACCCGGACAAGTCGAATTGCTTCTTCTCTAGAGAGAGAGAGAGAGAGAGAGAGCAAGCAATGGCGAGTGAATACAGATGCGTTGGATGTGGGTTTAGGGTGAAGTCTTTGTTCATTCAATACTCTCCGGGTAACATTCGTCTCATGAAATGCGTAAGCTTTACGATCCTTCTTGACCCAAAATTTATCAGGGTTTTAAAACTGTCTCTCTCTGTGTTGATTTTTGTAATTTCTCAAAGTTTCCATTTTTTGAACATATGTTGTTTATTTAGGGAAATTGCAAGGAGGTAGCAGACGAGTACATCGAGTGTGAACGCATGGTCTGTTTCATTCACTTAGTTTCCTTTTTTGGTGTTGTATTTATTTCCACTTTTGCTTTTGGTTCTTTGGGTTTCTTTTTCTTTCTTTTTCTTTCAGAATGTAACTGATTTTTGTTTGGCAGACTATTTTCATCGATTTAATTCTTCACAGACCCAAGGTATATAGACACGTCCTCTACAATGCAATTAATCAAGAAACTGTAAATGTTCAGGTAGACTATTTTTTGATCCGAGTTCTTGATTTCAAACAATGCTTAAAATTGGTCTGATATACAAGAATTCTTATTGTTTTTGTCTCTGATCCAAGAATAATTGTTGGTTTCTTTTCAAATTTTGCAGCACCTGTTGTTGAAGTTGGTCTTCGCTTATCTTCTTCTAGACTCTTGTATCCTTTTGATTCCATCCTCGTTTACTGTCAAAGTATATCTAGTTATTGGTATTTATAATGATAACTCATTTGAAAAGCCTTAAAATTGATCAAAGATAGAAGCTTGGTACTGAGAATAACTGATGAGAGATCGAGCTTATCTGAGAGCTCGGTTCTTACATCTGTAAAGGTTAGATCTTCTTTTAGTAGATATAATAGAATTATTTTTTTCATTGAGATAGTTGAAAAAGGATATAGTGTACACTATCTTTGCATGTTCAGGTTCTGATCGGCGTCCTATCTGCAAATCTTGCATTTTTCTTCGCTTTTGCCATTGCGGCTAAGGGTTTGCTAAATGAAGTTTCCAGGTGATTCTTCTTCTTAATATTACTATCTAAAAAGAGTCATCGGAACATTGATTTCTGTGTGATTTTGATGTAATTTGGCAGAAGAAGGGAGATTCTTTTGGGGATACTGATCTCGAGTTACTTGAAGATTTTTCTGCTAGCTATGCTGGTATGTTTTACCTCTCACTAAGACCTAATATCAAAGAACCAAAATTCGCGAAGTTTCTTCTATTGATAAACCTCGTGTCTCTTTGCTAAAAAATGTCGGAATCTTGGTTCTTACAGGTATGGGAATTTCCAATGTCAGTGATCTTCATTGTAGATATACTTGTCTTAACATCAAACTCGATGGCTCTTAAAGGTCAGACCTTCAAAATTGTTCTTAATGCAGAATATCAAATTGATTTAGACAAGTTTGTTATTGTTTCAGAATCTCACACTACAAAGTTGTTTTTATTTTCGTGTTAAAACCAGTGCTGACTGAATCAACTACCAGCCGATGCATAGCCGTATGCTTAATCGCTCACACGGTTAGATTCTTGGTAGGTTCGGTCTTTGAGCCAACGACATTCTTGACACAATTTGGATCTCTGTTCTTGCATCTGTCTTTTTTAAGCAAAACCATATGATCTGTTTTATGTTCTATACTACAGAAGATATACTAATAGATACAGACTTTTGTATTTTTTGTTTCCTTTTCTCTCTCCATACATTTTTTTCTTTCTTTCTTTCTTTACGTACATTAATCGCACAACTTCAGACTTTTCCAAGCGAGAAAACACAGCAAAGAAACCAAACAAACAAAACGTAAAAAAAAAAAAAAAAAAAACAACAAGAAGGGAAGAAAATTTGTGAGCAAGAATCGGATTCGACCTCTTATGCAACCAAGATGATCCAACTAATGATGGAGATGAACAATAAGAAGCCAATGATCATGTTCTTGAGATGGCTCCACTGTGAATTCCTCTGACTCACTTCCTCTAAAACAATCCAGCTCTGCTTCACCGCAGTGGTGGATGGAACTTTCTTGACTGAGTCTTTAGCCACTATCCACTCGCACTCGCTTTTCTGCGTAGCTATCACCTGCAAGCAGATTGGTAGCCCGGCAATTTAACATTTCGTGTATTTAGAATATGATGAAATAATGATGTAACATTTCGTGTCAAAATCATGCCTCTCCCCATGAGAATGTTCACATACCTTTTCTTTGCCCTGTGATTGCAATGTCAGCTGCTTTGGTTTCTCTTGTGCCTCATTATTGTGCAAAGGCTCAATAGTACTCAATAATGGAATATCATCTATAGGAGTAAGGTACGGTCCATCTGAACTACCTACACTGTCAGTCGAGCTCCACGTGTCCCTGCAAACCTATTAAAAGCCAAAAATCGACGTGTGATGTGTGAGCAAATCTAAAACACAAGCGATTGAAATTCTGACTGTATGAGTGTAAAGTGCTTACTGTTGAGTCAGTGTCAATATCACTGCTGCTATCATCAGCGAAAACACCAGTCACAGGATTTTTTGGCCGGTAATCACTGCAATTCTTTTGCGTATATGTCCTTTCATCAATCAAAGAGTCACAATTATCTTCAACCAGTTGCCTCCATATATCATCTTCATATGGGGCCGAGTAAGGAACTTGTTGTTGTAGGTTGAGATCGCCACTAAACCAGTGGCCCTGATTTGCTAAATCATACTCAGAGAAATGGTTTGAAGATCCTGAATTTCCTTGAAATGATTGCTGCATGTTAAAGTTCCCACTAAACTGCTGCCCCTGATTTGCTGAATCATACTCAGAGAAAGTGTTGAAAGATCCTGAATGTGCTTGAAGTGATAGGTTGACCTGAAAAAAGAAACAAAATAGGAGAGCATCAAATCAGTTAGACACAAGACTTGTTTTTTATTTTGGGTCTGCCAACTGAAAGTTAAGAGCAATCAAATAGTATGGACATTGTTGACTCACCACAGAACCTGCACTATTAGTCATATTGGGGACAAAAGGGAGAGTGGGATCTGTTGCGTTAGCAGATGGAATGTTCATGATGTGACCCTTATATTCCAGTCTGCATATGACATAGGTTCTCTGTACATACAGATAAGGATCATCAGCAAAAAACATATGTGCGAGCTGTGTCAAAAAGCTAACCTGTGTCAGACATAGGTTTTGAGCCTCAATGCTTACATAGTGTCTAATTTTAAAAACATTGGTGAGTTCTTAGCACAACTATTTGCCATAAAGTCATATCGGAACTATGAATCAGCAGAAACCACAGATACGGTGTTAATATGACTAAAATGAAACCAAAAGAGCCACAGTTTCTGTCCATTAACTCAGCTATTCACACAAGACAAACACTCCCAGAAAATCAAAGAAACAGTGTCATATGAGACATACTTTCAGTCAACAGCACTTGAAATAGATGAAAGGCAAAAGCGAATCAGTGAAATTGAACAATAAGAATCAGAATGATCAATTGCGAAACGGAAACGAAGAATTTACCTGATCTTCTGGCAAGAGTGTGTAGTGAAGCTCTTGCATAGCCCAATCGGATTTGGTTTTCTGGGAGGTTTTTCCCCTGAGGAACACCAAAAACCTTTTCTGACCAATAATCTTACCTTTGATTCCAGACCAAATCCCCCACTGATCTTTGACATCCACAGACTCTCCGGTAAGCTTCCAGGACCCAGAACGCGTAGTCCGGCTCTGTCGATTCCCACTCGCATACTTGTTTTCCCTTCGGGAGAAGAAATACCAAATAGGATCTCTCGATTTGATCTTCGACTTCACTGTTTGTTTACAGCAACCATAAAAACCCTAAATCAGATATCAAACCCGACGGATCATCACGAGCAAATGGAATTTCATGAAAATCGAAAAGAAACGCAACTTACAGCACAATATCCAAGGGTCGAAGCTACAGATGTTGACCTCGCTAATGGATCCTTCAACGAGCCTAGTGTTTCCCTGAATTTTGTTACGGAGATAGTAGCCGACGAGCTCCTCGTCGTACGGACGGAATCCATACCCTGGCTTATCCTCCATTTTCAATCGGATCGGAAGAAACGGAATAAATAAACAAATCGAAGAAGAGAGTGATTCGGTGGTTTCCGGGAAAGGGGTTTCGTCGCCCGTCGCTCTCTCCGATTATATATATTGTTTTCGGGTTTGGTTGATTTTATTTGGAGGGAGAGACAGTGAAGCCTTGAGTTTAAATAAGCCCACAATAAATTATATTCCGGTTCGATTCGGTTTTGGCTTCAGTTCAGTATTTCATTATTTCATATACTCAGATATAAAAAAAAAATAATTATAAGACTTGATCGTAATCTTGAAATTAATCTGAATTCAACTTATACTATTCTATCGATTATATTTAACAGTAACTACCTTTGTGCTTTTGTGTGATAAATAAAGAATTAAGATATGTTATGTTTATAAAATCTGTCTTATGATTTGGTTTTATTGTTGAATTGGTTTAATTGAACCGGTTAACATCCACTCTATCGAGAAGGAAAAATCGATAAATAAATTCAGGCTTAGTCGGGAAGCTGGACGGTCAAGTAGGTCCCACAAGAAAGGTTGGAAACTCGAATCTGTCTTCTGCTTTTTTTTTTTTTTTTAGCGCGTGTGTTTGAACTTTAAACACACATTAATAATAAAAAATTTTTGGGTGGGGACGCTTATTAATTTATCTCCTCTATACTTTAAGTAACGATCTTGTTCTTGATTCATATGGAGTTGTGGTTAAATCCAATATCCATGTAGAAGACTATTTCGTTGGAATTGTGAGTTTCAACGTTGACCAATTGACCATATGTTTGTTTACTGAAGAATATGTATACGTAATTCAATCTTATAATTAAAAAAACTGGAAAAAACCCAGCAATAGAAACATAAACAAAGTCGGAAGTAGTTAATTATTTTGTACTTTTGATGTCACGAAGTATGGTTGTTAGAAAAATCTAATGTCCCTACAAAATTAATAGGTGTTTTTTTCCTTCTCATTCTCATGTCTATCAAAAGGTTAATGTGGAAAATATTCAATGGCTCTCGCTTTCTTACACTTCCTAGTTGCTACTTGCTACAATGTGAATGTGGTTGGTCATATATTTTTTTTTTTAATTTTTTGGTCAAATATTTTCTTATTAATGTTGAGTAAATATAGGTATATATTTACGTAGCTAAGCCTTTTCGAAGAAATATCCTTACAATTTTTGTTTCATATATCGACAATCTGTATACAGTAAAACCTCTATAAATTAATACTCGATAAATTAATAATTATTATAAATTAATAAATTTTGCAGGTCCCAAATCGGGTCAATGTAAAAATCCATCAAATTCGATAAGATAATAAGATAATAATTTTTTTTGAAACTTATGTAAATTTATGGTCCCAACAAAAACATAAATTAATAATGATATAAATTTATGCAAGTATATATAAATACAATATTCTAAAATATGTCTAATGTGTTTGTTTTTACTTAAATTTGAAATCTCATTGGTTCTTATCTCTCTAATTATTATATCAGTAGCTTTTATTGCTCTTTTACTATATACATTCAACATTTATGATGATTTTTTGACGTGATAATTGATTTTTTTACCTTTAAATGTTTTTAAATGTATTGTAGTGTTATCTTCAATTTTATCATCAGTAATATTGATAGCAGCCATGATTTTTTTATAAATTTTAAACTTATGAACATGTATATTTTTACATGGACAATCCAATATGGTGTTAAAAACTATTTTATTGTGATAGTTATGATTCTTAATCATAATTTATATCATGAGATTTGTTAAAATTTTAAAACATAACATTAATACAAAGAAATTTTTAGAAAATTATATGCGGAAAGTAAATTTTCTCTATAAATTAATAATTATTAATTTATAGATAAATTAATATCACGATAAATTAATAAATTGTCCCAACATTATTAATTTATAGAGATTTTACTGTATATGGAAAAATGCTAACTCTGAATTAGTCAAAACTGTAATGTATTATTTAAAAGTGTTATTGCTTCTTGGTTTAGGATTCATCAGTTATGCATTTGGAAGAAATGATATAATGCATGACATATATCTATTAGCCAGCTGGGGACAATTAGCAAACATTATAAAAATATTGAAAACCTAAAAGTAGATTTGATTGATTACACTAGAAACTACATTCGTGCCTAAGAAAATCTTACTTTTGAATTAATGAGTGATAAAAAAAAAAAAAATCTTAGAAAGAGAGCTCTTGCCAAAACAAAAGGTAGAAGATGGGAAGTGGATTCAATGTTGACGAATCAGGGACTTTCCTTGTAAGAAAAGTTTATAGTCATCATACATACGAAACAAAAAGCTAAAAAAAAAAAAAAAATCAAATATAATAGAAGTCCCACTCACCATGACATCTTTCATATTTCTCCATATTTTTTTTCCATAACTATAGTTACGGTAAAATTCCTACTAATTTTTTTTTTTGAAAGGCATGAGAACAATGTGAAAATTGGTCACGTGTATGGACAAAACACCATGGAAAACTCGAATGTGAGGGAGACAACTTTTAATGTTTTAAGTAAAATATTAGTAGTATTTACTGTGATGACTTATTGGTATTAAAATGTTATTGATATTTAACATTTTTGATTATATGTTCCTCAGCATTTTGGATTACGGGAATACTGGAACAGCGAGGTAGTGGTAGGCCCTGTAACGTATCTAACGAAGGCAACGACCAAATCTAAATATGTGCACTGATTGGGCCACGTGGAAGTTCCAAGTTACTCGCGCTGCTCTTACTTCGAGAGGAAAAAAACAAAGACTATGTGGAATCTTTGGATCTTTAACTACTTTCCTTGTCTCTCGATTGCCTTCTTGTTTCACACTGACACCATTCACGCAATTTAATAAAATAAAAATATAGTAAAATATACCTTAATTAATATAAATAATTTATATTCAATCTGACAAAAAAAAAAAAAGAGGAGCCATAAAACGGGTCCACTGATTTCGTACTAGTATAATCTTTAATTGCTAATTTAGATTTAATATTAGTAAAACAGATATTGTTATCCACAATCATAAAGTCTGACAAAATTCCTTGCTATTAGCCCGATAACTAAAATCTTTACTAAAAGAGTTCTAGTTCAAGTATTTGTTTACAAATGAGTCCATGACTGTGTAATAGATATCTAGAAAGAGAGGAAGAAAAATAAAAGTTAGCATTAGTCTAATGGTGTTTGAACTTAAACATCAACATGACAACATGCACGTGGTATATGTAGACTAAAAGAGACTATTGACATTACTAAACCAAGTGTATTTCGATTTGTTTACTCTTTTGTTTCCTTTTGCTGAATCTGACATTTATGTTTTGTGGGGGTTAGGTAGGACCGTTTGAGTACAGGTTGATTGCTACGTGCAAGAGAATTTGACAACTTTGTATTTTCAATCCACTTCTCGTCACAAAATTCAACTTTTTATTGATTACATTAGAACATACACTATGGAAACTGGAAAGTTACAAAACAAGATAAGACATAATTTAGTAGCACTAATACAAATCTGGAAATTACAAAAGGTGTTCTTGATCTCATTTATTATCATGTTCTTGACAGAGGACGTGAAGAAGAAGAAGAAGAAAAGCAGCACGTGGGCACTGGGCACATGCTCTCGTCCTTCTCTAAGGCATTTTCATGTGGTCAATGGTTTGTTCTACTTCTAGCGGGAAATGTGTTTATTATTAACTTATAGATAATACTTGTGCTTATTTTTGTTTATTTCAAGAACACCCCTCCTAACTTTTATGAACATCTTCTTGAATTCATTATTTATATATATGGAGATCGGATATAGTAACCGGATAGTATGTTCGATTAGGGTTTTTATTTATTTATTTATCTTCAAATGACTAATAGTGTGACGACTTGAATTTTTCAATGTGCAACAGTGTAAACGAAAACAACAGATGACAATAATGGAAGGATACTTTATAGATGGTTGTTGTTTTGTAAATGTCTTACAAAGAGAAATGAAAAGCTCTCTTCGTCATTGTGAAAAGATACAATGAATCTTGAATTACAAAAGTGCGTAAAAATTAAGAAACAGTAGACTGATTCTTGAAATGAATAAAATTCCTTCACAAACAGAAAAGAAAGCATATACAGAGTGAGCCCAGTATATGATGGTTTACTTGATAAGAAGTAGACCAATGGCAGTAACGATGAGTGTTGAAGGTAAACCGAACTTGAAGTGTTTGGCGAAAGTGAGAGTGTAGCCATGGCTCACTGCTCTACGAGCTTGCTCACACACTATCAGGTTTGCAGCTGAACCAAGCAACGTCAAGTTTCCAGCCACAGTGCTCACCCACGCCAGCAACAGCCACGCCTTCTTCTCCTCCTCCCCTGCAGCCGCTGATGCCGCCACTCTTGCTCCCAACAAAAGCACTGCACACGTAATTAAAGACGAATCTCTAGTTAGAGAGATAAACCCTAAAACAACATGTTTGCTTTTCAAGGATATAGAATGACACACACACACACACACACACACCGGTTGGTACATTAGAGGCTACATTGGAGAGGACAAGAATCACAAGTGCTAGAACCGCGGTTCCTTTGGCCTGATCGATTTTCGCATATGGCTCCATTAGATCCCACAGAGCCGTAGGGATACCGGTTTTGTTGAATCCATCAACGGTTATGAACATCCCGCAGAAGAATATCAAAAGCGAATACGATACCTTCATTTTAAGAGTGTGATTAGAAGTATAAAACTTGATTTTGTTGATTTGGGTTTTAAAGAGTCAAAATTTGGTTTTTACCTTCTCGAGAGACGGCCTTGCGTCTTTGAAGTCAAGAACCACAAGAGCTAGAGCAGCGGTAATTGCGGTCCACGACATGTTTAAACCCATAAGCAGAGATATTAACATTCCTAATGTGATTAAGTAAACACTTGATTTCCATAAAACTCTTCTCCAGTTCTTGCTAGTATTGAAGCTCTCTCCCTGAGACTCTGCGTTTGACGCATTTGAATCACGGTTCATTATATCGCTCTCACCTGCAGAAACCGCTCTGTTTCTGAGCGTCTCAGGATCCATTCTCAAGTTTGATTCTTGGGATCTGAAAGAGCTGAGATGTGGTAACGTAGCTGGCGAAAACCGATGAGATGTGACGTCTTCCTCAGCAACAGCTTCAGAAACCGCATTTTCTTCTTCCACTTCTTCTTCTTCTTCGTCGTCTTTATGGTCAGACAGTAACCTCCAATACATAGCGAGAAGAATCAAAGCATTGACAGTAATACCGACAGCCATGGCAGGAAAAACCCCAAGAAGAAACTCCCAAAACGGGATCTTGCTTTGAACGGCGATCACAAGATTCTGCGGGTTCCCAATGGGAGTAGCGGAAGATCCGATATTGGCGCTGGTGGCTAAAGCGAGGAGAAACGGGTGAGGAGGGAGGTTCTTCTGCCTAGCGATCTTCAACACAAACTCTGTTAAAACCACACAAGACGTGTCGTTTGTGAAAAGAGCGCTTGAAACCGCGGAAACAAGACAGACTCGACATAGCAAATCTTTAGGTCCTCTGCTTCTCCAAGAGAGCAGTGTGCCCAAGTACTTGAACATATCAGCTCTCTCCAGGTATATACTGACAACCATCGTGCCAAAGAGAAGACCGAGGATCGGGAGATCGATGGCTGCGTAAGCTTGTTCAGGGGTTATCACTTGGAAGATAACCATTAGCATCGCACCAAACAGAGAACCGGCGGTTCGACCAATTGGTAGGAACGGTACAGAAGGGAAAACTGCTAATACCCAGAAAATGGCAAAGGCGATTGAGCCTAAAACCAGCTTAATTACTGGTGCCATTGCCATTTCCAAGATCTCTTTAAATCCGATTAGAAACCCTAAGGTCGTTTAATCTCATCAATCGTCTCTGTTCAGAACAAGGAAAAGGGCAATCAGTTTCCAAGTCAATTATTGGATATAAATCAAACAAACAAACTCCTTCCATGGAAAATTGTGAGTGACCCATAAGAGAATTTCTCCAAACTAAAAGTGGAAATCAGTTTCTCAAGGAGTGATAGAAGAGGAATAGTAACAGAGCGTCGGTAGAAGTAACCAGAGCAGTAAAGGACTCACCTTTATAGTCCCACCACGAACTCCAAAATGCGGAATAACCAAAAAAGTCAGCTCTTTTCCGATTACTTTAATTTCGAAACCCAAATGCTTTTTTTCTCTGTTCTTGGGTTCGCTGTTTTAGTGTTTTTAGATCTCCCTTTTTAAGTTTCATGAATTTATCAGTAACTTGACTCGTCGTTGGAATTTTTCTTTTTCTTTCTTTTATGCCAACCATATTGTAGTGTTAAACTATTTTATTAAACGAGTCAACTGTTTCGTTGATACATTAGAAACCAACACGATCATACTGTAAATAATTGAATTTTAAATCCATTTAATTGACCCATTACGAAGTTACCTTTTTTTCACACCCATAAAGAGTCGTTCAATAAAAAAACAATCTCTTTAATTTATCATAAACAGTGATGCTATTACAAAAGTTCAAAAACTTATCTCAAAAACTATACAAACTTCAGAGGTATGTAAACTTCTCGTGGCAAATCTCAATCTCATTGCTTCTTTACATTTACAAGAGTAATAAACAAAACTTAACTACAGATCATTTTGACCGGTGAGAACTGTACGGTGAGACAAGCGTGATCGGAGAGACTGTAATTCTCCGGCCACAATCCTTTCTCTGCTTCTTGCGGAAACAAAACCGCTTTATTCACTTTCAATCCAATCGCTTCTTCTTCTCCTTCTCCTTCTTCCATCACACTCTCTTTGCAGTTTCCAGATTGATTCATCATTGTCATGCTCCAAATTTTCTGACAATACATAACCACAAACATACACACATCAGAGTCTTCATTGACGTTAGCTAAATTCACTGAAACATTTTATCGGTTTGTGATTTTTGTTTTTGCGCCAATTGGTTTACATTCATTTTACCTTAAGTTCTTCATAGTCGAACACACCATTTCCATCAAGATCAGCTCGAACCCATAGCTCTTTTGTCTCTTGGAAGCTAAGTCCATGTGGAATGCCCGTTAGGTTTACCTGCAACATTAAGTCCACTCTCAAAGCTTAGTCCACTGATTCCTTCCACATGTTGTATAAAATCAAAAGAACTTATTTCCTACTGCTTTGTTAACTAAAATCTCCAGTTGATCAAAATGTTTTTCCACAAGGGTCGAAAATTCAATCAGAATCTGCAAGGTTAAAGACATTTTGGCAGCATTTGTGGATAATAGAGGTCTTTCGAGACTCTTTTTTCCTGAAGAATCTAAATTTACCTTTTGAAGTGCTTGACAAAATCCGGAGTAAGTTAGTGAATCACTCTGATTATTTGCCCCCAGAATAGCAAAGGCATTGTCTTCAGCTATCGAAGCTTTCTGGACTTGATACTGGAAACCATCAAGAGAAATACAAAAGAGAAATGAAATTATCAGTTGGAATAAAACATAAATCTAGAAAGAATGAAACATGACATGATAACGGGATGCTACAATCATAAACAGACCTGGTATGGTAACTATGAAGTACTTAATATTTTGTATACGTAAAGTGATTAAAATCTTTGTTTCCGAAGATAATATAATACGTTTGCAAAAGCAAGGCGAATCAATCTCACCTTGATAATGCTGAAAACAGCTTCCACCCAACTTGTTCTCAACGGTTTTCTTGAATTGCTAGGATTACAGAGCCATATGAAATCAACTCCGCATATATTTCCCCTGTGGTTTCTATGGCTAACCCACTGAAGAAAGAAAAGAAGAAAGACGGTTAAGGGTGTGTCTTTTAATAACAAAAGGCTGGAGAAAAAAGTTTGTAAGAGATGTCTACCCTATGAGCATCACTGTCTGTATACTGATGAGCAACATCGTATGATGATACAAACCCTTGAGATCTCAAGAATTTGTATACATGCCCGCGCTTGCTTCCGTTCCAGTCACTGAAATAAGCGTCATACAAAGTCTGTGATTAGATTGTACTGGTGGAGGGGCATAACTTCAATACTCTCAAGACCAGAAGCTCACCCGCAGAGAATAATGGGCATGTGAGTAAGTTTGTTTTCCTTTTGGTAAGCTTCCAGATATTCGAGAATTTTGTAAACCTGTTAAGAGAAGCAGATATAAGAAAGTTAATTATCACAAAGATCTAAGGGTGAACGGTCTCAGAAAGAAAAATGATAAGAAGAATGACCAACCTGATGCAATCTTACAATAGACAAACTAGAATCATGTGGGAACAAGAGATGCGTGTTCACTATAAGAACTTCTTGCTGAATGTCTTGTTTCCCATTAAGAGGAAAGGGAACAACTGATTTGACATGTAAGAGCTGAGCAACACGATCTCCAAAATCGTTAAAGAGCAGCTCCCGGTAATTTACAAGTTTGAAGTTATCCTTATGGATGGCAGTCAAAAGACCTGTAGAAGAAGGACATTCAAATAAACAAATGAGACAGCAAAGAAGAAAAAGAAGCCTATCTATCAGATAGAGGAATCCAAACCTACGGAATTGAAATGTGAATTTCGATCCATATTCCCACTCCATCCATCAAACAGTCATTGAAAGTAAGATTGCCGCTTAACACGACATCCTACAAACAACTGACGTTGAAGAACACATAAACACCAACACGCAACCTAGAACAGGACATGAGAGTATAGAATTGGACCACCACTAGACACTGTTTTTAACTGAAGCATATCAAGCAACATCAAAAGCCTCTAAAGTTTCTAATGTCTTTGGTCAGACAAGTTTTACCTAGAAAAATTCAGCAAAAAAAAAAACCACATCCTTCTCTACTTCTAACAAGAGCTGTTGCCATTTTAAATCAAAGTCATTAAACCGAGAGAACCTTACCATCAGCACGACCGTTTGTTCTAGCCAACTGGAAAATAGTGTAGCCTGCAGTGCCAAGCCGCTCGTGGAACATCTTCACCAATTCCTCATTACCAACCCAAACTTCCTATCAAGAGTGACAATTGTTTTTAAGTCTCTCACATACAAAAGTCAATTTGACTTTCTAAGAAGAAGATACAAATATATTCTTTATCACCTGGAGACAGATAACCGAAGACCGTTGATGGAGTAGACAATCTAAAATCTTCTGGTTCCGAGTAAACCAAAGCGAGTGAAAATCGCTCTCTCGAATGCTCTGATTCTGTAACACAAAGTGTTGCAGTTACCCACACACACACACACACAATCAATGTCACCGGAAAAGAACATTCCGATTCGAATTAAAAGACAATCAGAAGATAATGAGAAGAAAGCAAACAAACCTGTTGATCAACCCGTTTATAAATTGGAGCCAATATGTTGAAAGTGGTACAAGAAATATTCGGTTCCGCCATCGAAGCTAAGTTCGAGTTGAGTCTCTGCACAACCACAATCATCGAATCGCAGAACAATTAGAAAACAATCAATCAAAAGAACAGGAAAACTCGGAATATAGGAAGAGCCGACGCACCATAACTGAAGCCGCCTTGTTGTTTCTACCGGAAGAAGATGAGAGCAGACCGGAAAAGTAGATCGGGAAAGGAACAGCGGCGAGGACGACGAAGAGGGAAAATGGTGAAGAGAAAGAAGGGATGAATCTGGACCGTAGAATTACGCTGATCCTGCTTCGATTGTGATGGCTTTGCATTTGTTGTTTTTTGTTTTTCGGGGATCTTTCGAATTTCCAATGGATGTTTTGAGATTTTATAATTTTCCTTTTGTCTCTTTTTCTTTCTGGTTTTAATCAATTAAAACTAATGCCTTTACGTCAACCGTTGATTTCCTCTTAATTTACAATACATTATTGTATACCACATAAAATATACGCGCTTTCCCTTAATACTAAGTTTTCCCCAAAAGCCAGATATTTAAAGCACCACATATTAGTGGGTCATGAATCTCATGACATACAGTATGTAGTACTATGTTCATATAGTCCCTAAACCCATGAACAATTGTAGGCAAAAGCCCATTAATCAGTTACATTGCATTCGGATATATCATAATTGTAACATATTTATATAGCCGAGCACTCCTCAACTTTTCACATTTGACACACATTTTTTATTCAGAAAATAGGGTTTTCAATGATCAAAAGGGATTTTTGTTTTCAACCGACGATCGAAGGATTAATTAATTAATTAATTAATTAAATGTCTGCGACCAAAAAAAAAAAAGGATTAATTAAATGAATTTAGTTAAATGCGTATCAATGAAATTAACAATCAATAATAAAAAAAAAAAATTCAGTACCAATCACCCACCAACCTTTTACTTCTCTTAGAGTTAAAGGTTTCTCTCTCAAACTCTACCCTCTATACATATTTCTGCAGAGAAAATATTTAACTTAGGCACAACCATCACTCAGGTAAACTACAAACTTAAAAAACCAAAACCTCTTTAGTTCCTTTCAACGGGTGATTTTAAATAGAAAAGAAAAAAAAAATCAAGATAGGATTCAAGTTTCAGATAGAGTTTCATTGTCCATACCAATCTGAATTTAGTGATTTCAGCTCAAGCATCTAAAACCAGACAATGATAGGAAATCAACCAAGTGACATATACAATATACACACACACCTTACTATACTATATGTAGCTTGCAAGGAAACCAAATAAAGAAGAAGAAAAACAAAAACACAAAAATAAAACACCAAATCATGAATTCAAAATGGGAAATGGATTCGGATCGAAAGCTAATTTTTTTTAAATGTACAAAGTGGCAGTTCGAAGACACACTTGATCCTATTAACTGCCCTTTCCACTACTTCTGCGACAGCCTCTACGCCGGCGACTACCCTCAGATCATCGACGTTCTAGTTTTCTTCTTCGTCACGGTTTCTTACTTGACGACGCTAATCGCCGTCTTAAGGGAGATAATATCAAGAGGAAGAAGAAGAAGAGAAGATGATAATGATGGTGTTGATGATAAAGCAAAAAGGTACTTACTTCCTTCTGGTCCAATCTCTCTTCCTTTGATCCTCTTGATCCTTGCAAAAGGTCAAAGGATCAATACCCTTTTTCCAATTTCCGTCTTTGGACCTGCAATCCTGCAGCTAGTTCAACTCTCAGTGCTTATATTCAAGAACAATATAGAAAAAGAAGCAAGCTTCGTTTTCTTCGAAGCCTCCACTATCTCTGGACTTCTCCACGCAAGTCTTTACTTAGACGCTGTGATTCTCCCCTACTATACAGGATTTGATGCTCTGGTCACTTCAACGTTCTCCGGAGTCTGCAAATCTTGCATCTGCAGGAAAGAGCCATTAATTCTGGGAGGGACGATTGTTGCTTACAGGGGATGGTCTAGTACTACGTTTTTGGTGGTTGGTGTTTTGTGTTTGAGGATTATATGCAAGTTATGCAGAGAAGAAGCAAAGAGGAAAAAAGTAGTGGTGATAAAAAATGCAGTGGAAGGATTGGGATGGATTGTTCTTATACGAGATTCTGTGTATTTGGCGGTTATGTCTCCTGTTGAAGAGCCGGTCTTGTTTAGAGTGTTTGTGTTCGGTTCTGTTTTCATGTTGATCTGTGTTTATGTAATCACACAAGTATGCTGCTTGGTTAGTCGGAGACAGAGTAACAAGACAACAAACACTTGACATTTCAAAGCAAAAAGAGAAACAAACTCAGAGACCAGAGGAAGTAAAACGTGTAATTGTAAACGAACATTTAGTTTTATTTTTCTTTGCATGGGAAACAGAAGCAACCATTTCATTTTCATTTAACCAGAAAAAGGTAATCTTTTTTATTCGAACAAATCTCCATAAATTACAGACAAGATAAAGCCGGAAACAAGAAAATGGTGCAAATAAAAAAACTCTCCTCGTCCTAGTTGGATCACAACAAAACCTGTTCTTCAGAGCTCTTAAACTGGCTTTCCACTTATCTTGATGTCATTTCTGATCGCTCCTTGGATCATCTTAACGATGAAGTACTATCAAAAAACAAAACAAAAAACCAAAAAAATTATCCATTGTTAAACAAAATTCAAAAACGACAGTAAATCGAATTGGTGTCTGCAGCAAATCTTGTGGATTATGTTTTGTTTCTACCTGAGCGCCGATGATAAGAGGGATGAGTTTCTTTCCTTTATCATCAGACTGAGATCCATCTACCATCTTCTTGTCTACATGAATCGCTTTCTTCTGATTTGTTGCTACATCGGTTATCGACTTAACCAAGTTTGGGATCCACGCTTCACCATTCGGTAGAGCCTAAACCGAAACAGAGCCACATAAGCCATATTTTACAGTCTCCAAAATCAGGTCAAGTCAGAGATTCGAAAAAAACAAACCTTTTCTTCCTTTTCATTCTTGCTGCATCTTCCACTGTTCTCCGCATATACAACCGCAATTGCAGAATCCTACAAACCAGAAGAAGAATGAGAATAACTGATTCTTGCCCAAAATGAACCAAACATTGGTAAGACTATTTACAAAGACGGGCATGTATAACCATACCTCAAATTGTTGTTTTCGCATCTTAGCACCAGCGCGGATAGTGGTGAGGAGAGAATCTGATCTCTTGGAGGAGAAAGTTTCATAGGAAAGTTCATCGGGTGGGGAGAATTGAGCATGAGTCAAAACAAGTAAGGTTTTGCACCATATCTCTTTTCCAAAGGTTTGGGTGATTGCTTGAACAACTTGCTTATCAAGCTCATCTACTCTATACACATCCAAACGATCAACATAGAGCAAGACATCTATGGTTCTGTTCACAAGAAACCTGCCCAAAATCCGACAAGTAAGCATCAAACACAAGGCATCTATGGTTCTGTTCACGAGTAAGCACCATACACAGAATCATCGAAAAAAACATAACCGTACACACACAAGTACACAAATTGACAACTTTAGCCGAGCAATAAACATCATTGAGTAAAAGTTAAGCCTAAACCAGATACGAATACTAATTCACAATTTCAGTAGAAACCCATAAACGAGCAGTTAACACCATATGTACTTAACTTAGTTAATCATAGACGAATAACATAAGCCCATAATCACATCAATGCAGAGCTTGTGAAACAAAAATTCAACCAAGCCAAGTAATGACAAACAGAATGAGTTTCTCATATGAGAGATTTCAAAAGAGTACTACTAACCCTTTGATTAAGTCGAGAGCTTGGTGATTGACATATCCAGCTTCCACAAGTCCAGGGGTGTCAATAATGTTTATAGTGAATCCTCCCATTGTTCTTGAGACCATCACTGGTCTCAACCCTTCAGCCTGCATAATCCAAAAAGAAAATTCAAATGACTACACTTTCTCAATCCCCAGCTTAAAAGACAATTCAAGTGAGGCTTTAGGGAAACCAATACGCACCTGGAAAGGACTGACACGGACGACCTGTTCGCCGATAAGAGAATTGACGGTGGATGATTTTCCAACACCACCTTTGCCCAGAACAAGAACTGTCATCGTGTTCATATCCTGCAATTACAAAACCCCATTGTCGTAAGCACAACGGAGAAACCGATTTCAAAGAACCAGGGGAAAAAAAACAAACCTTTTGCTTCAATTTGCCGAAGAATTCACCTAAATTTTCCTGGGTAGCCGCTGGAAATTGCTGAAATCCGACCCATTCACGAACAAGAGACCCCATCACTCCAAAACCCTTCACCAAAAAAAAAAAAAAAAAATTAAGTAAATTTTCTTGAGTTTTTTGAGTGTAGATATCGCTAAACCCTAGAGAAGAAGATGATGATGATAGAATAAACGATGAAGGCGGATAACCTTTTGGAGATTCGAAGGAGCGTACCTTTGTGTGAGCTTTTGTGGTTATGAGGTTTAGGAGGAGGAGCTTTTCTCAAGCGTTCTGGAGAAAAGCAAAGTCATGTGACCTTATCGGAATTCTGTTTAATAGATTTACTTATTGATTATTTCACTTCACTCCTCAATTTTTTAATGCTCTCTTTTACTGCCGTACAACTTTAAAAGTAAACATATTTAACCATATACATCCATTTTACCATTTAGCATTACATTTCATATTTTTATGAATCTTCGGCTATGGACGAGTACATTACGTGAAACATTGGAGTGTCATATAGTGCAGGATCAAGCAACGCCGATTCTCTGAACCTTTCTTCGCTTGTACGTCAAGGAAAACAAATGATCATTATCGTTTTCTCGAGCGTGATTGTCTTCGCCCAGAGCACGCAGCGGTTTTCTCGGCACATTGGCTTCCCTCTGAAAGTTCTTACCAGACAAAACCTTCTTTGTTTCCATTGTTTCAGAGCCTCTTTCAACAATCCCCGGCTTAAAACCAGGAGATTTCAGGTGGTAGTGGACATATTCTTCTTGCTTTGTAGGCAGATTATGTTCTGCGATGGAGTAATTTGAAGCACCAAAAGGGATAGTGCGTGTTGGATCATGCAACACCGGTTCTGTCTCCTGGATTGAGCTTCTTTGTGTAGTTTCCAAATAGGTCAAGGAAGTGTCTTGATGATTCGGGAGTTCTGTGATTGAACATGTAACAGTTCCATATGGTTTTCCAAATCTAGTACCTGAGAATGGAGAGGCTTTAAATCTAGCACCCTTTGAACCAGTTTGCAGGAGATCGTTTTCTGGAGGTACATAAGATTCCCCAAGAATGACAGAAGAAGATTTAGGGACTACTTTGAGAAGACCCTTTGGCAAAGTCTGATAATAGTGTCCAGAGGAAACTAAGCTGGAACCATTGTACCGGAATATCCCTTTCTTGGTTATTTTTATCTTGAGATGGTTCTCGGAGACACCACTGCGATGAGAGGTTAAACTATTCGTTCTATTTCTTTCCATAGGTTTCACTACATTGGCAGTTGTTAATCTACATGCACCATCAATTCCATCAGAAGGAGCAATATTCAGGTCCAGCAGTTTGAGATTCCCCGTTTGTGTTCGTTCAGACCAAAGGAGAAGTCTTGCGTTTCTACCCAATTCCTTTCCATACTGATCCCACAGCCGTTGCATCTCAGTGAATGTCTTGATCATTTTCTCATGATAGAACTTTAGAGAGTAGTAATACATGTTCCTCTTGACGAACATAATGGCTTCTTTGCAACAAGCTACCTTGGGAGTAAACAATCCTCCTCTCAGATTCATGTAAAACTTATCCACTGGATTCCCAAAAGATAAATTGGCACCACCAAGAAGTTCCTGCATCGTCACACTGAACCCCTCTTGATCCATATCTGGTAGAAAACGTGACAGGTAGAATCTTTCTTCTTCTGTCAGAAATGAGTTCCATGTCTCAACAGACAATATTCCCGTTAAATCTGGTAGATCGTAGAGCTCGTATGGTATGCTACAGAGCTGACCTTGTACCATAGCTAGCTCACAGTTTGCTTCCGCAATGCCATAATCATCAGAGTCGTCTTCAGAGTCTACCCCAGCTGTTTGGTTCTTATTCATCTCTCCACCCTTAGTATTTGAAAGATCAATGGTGTCTCACTGTACTGACCACTTAAAAACAGAAACACGTTAAAACTCCAAGAACAAGCTCAGTACCAAGCACCACAAACAGGATCCTACATCAAAAAAAAAAAAAAAGAGTTAAAGACTCATCAGAAATTTGCAGGACCAATAGTCCACTACACATGTGAATACCGTACAAGTTTTTGCAATTGGCAGCAAGAAATTGAGATTTTTAGTAACAGGCTGATACTAAGCAGCAATCAAACGAACGAACAATGAACATAATTCGCATTCAAGGATTTCGGCAACAGCACTAAATCCTTATGACGGAATCAACATGTATAGATTTAATCATCACCTGAGATCAATGAACGGAATCAAGCCAATCTCCGACCTCAGATCAAAAGAGCATAGAAAAACCAAGCGATCTCGGGTTCAATTACTAGAAATCATGTGAACCAGCTATGGAAATCGCGAACAGCTACAGAACGCAAACCTTGGATTTAACAACCGAGATGTTGAAGAAGTTACAGAAAAATTTTGAATATAAAACCCAAAAATTATCATAAGAAGAATCAGCACTAATCGCCTCGATCACCAACAGTACATGAGAAGCTCCGATGAGTCAGAAAACCTACCGGACAAATCACAAAAGAAGAATCTCGGCGATATAAAGAGAGAATCGATTCGAAACATGTAGACGAACTTACCAACTTCTAAAGACAGAGGAAATGCGCGATTTAGGGTTGAAGAAACCATCTCCGTTTGGCTGCAGATACCAACTTCATCGCCTTCGAAGTTTCTCTGTTCCTTTCTAGAGGATTCCTAGCGTTTTGATTTTTAATCTGAACGCACGCAGCAGCATAGAAGGAAGAAGGCTACTAATAGCCACTGTTACTTACAAGTGTTATTTATGTATTATATTAATCCGCCTAAAGTAAACCCTTAATTACCTAATTCATCATTTTAAATTTCGTTTAATCATTACTTCTTAATCAACGGCCTATTTACTGGTAGGTGGAAATAATCGACGGTCAGGATCTCCTCCTTCCAGTTATAAAGAAACAAATTAAATGATCTATCTGTTTGTGTCATTCTCTCTCTCTCTATAAAGTCAAAAAAAGATAAGCCTTTCTCTTTAATTAGAAAAGAAATCTTCCAATAGAGAGATTACGTTTTCTAAAGTCTGGGAGAAATCATTCTGGAGTTCATTGAGAGAGATCGAGATAATTGTGTCAAAGAGAAGATTCATGGCTGTTTCTTGTATCAGACTCTACTTAGTCTCTGCTATCTTGCTCTTAGGGATTATTAGTTCATCTTTCAACTTGCAGGTACGTTCATGATCTCTGTGATCTGTTTCTCTGAGTTTTAAGTTGCTCCCGAAGATCCAGAATTATATACGTTTTGCCTTTTTTCGGTTTCTGGGATTGATCATTTGTTTATTTTCAGTTTGATCTGGTTTTGTTTTGAAGCCACAAGTTAAAAAAACAATCAAAAATTTGTGGATTTCGGTTTTTCTAGGATCGCCTCTTGCTTACTTGAAAAAATTCAAATTTAGAATTTTTTTCAGTGTTTCTGTATCAGTAGAGTTTTTTTATTAACTATTCAGGGCGTTTTTATCTTAATCAGGGAATTGCAGCAGAAAATCTTACCAAGCAGAAACTGACATCACGGATTCTTCAGGTTTGGTCTTAATCCACCCACTTTCTTTAATGGTTTTGTCTCTTTTAAGATTTTCACTTACCCTTGAATGACGTACTTTTACAGGACGAGATTGTAAAGGAAGTCAACGAGAATCCAAACGCTGGATGGAAAGCTGCTTTCAATGATCGGTTTGCAAACGCCACCGTGAGTTTATTACCTCCAATCATCTTCTTATCTCTCTTAAGAGATGTACATGACAATTTGACTCTCTTTTGGTTTCTTTTTGTCGTCTGTACGTATGTGCAGGTTGCAGAGTTTAAGCGCCTCCTCGGTGTCAAACCAACACCAAAGAAGGAATACTTAGGTGTACCTATTGTAAGCCATGACAGATCTCTGAAGCTTCCAAAAGAATTTGATGCTAGAACCGCTTGGTCACAGTGCACCAGTATTGCAAGGATCTTAGGTCGGCTTTAATCTCTTAGCTTCCACTCTCTCTGTTTTTTATCCAGTGATGTACTAACTATCTTGTATTTTTTGTTGTCAAATCCTCTCCTCAATTATCGCAATAAAGATCAGGTAAAACTTTGTTTGCTCGGGTTTTATATTGACCAAAAGGTTACTCAGATCGATGAATACATATTTGTTTTTTTTTTGTTTGTTGGTTTGTTTAGGGTCACTGTGGTTCTTGCTGGGCATTTGGTGCTGTTGAATCATTGTCTGACAGATTCTGCATCAAATATAACATGGTAACACAAATTTCTCCATCAAGAAGCCAAGATTGATGATTGCCTAGCATCTTTCTCTTCGAACGATTAATCAAGTTTCTTGTGTTCCCGTGCAGAATATATCTTTATCTGTCAATGATCTCTTAGCATGCTGTGGATTCTTGTGCGGACAAGGTTGTAATGGTGGATACCCAATTTCTGCTTGGAGATACTTTAAGCACCACGGTGTTGTAACCGAAGAGGTATCTTCTCATTGTTTTAACTGCAACTAACATATACTAATAGCAGAGTATTTGAAGCTATTTATCGAAAAAATGTTTGCAATGTTGTTGGTTAATCAGTGTGATCCATACTTTGACAATACCGGCTGCTCTCACCCGGGATGTGAACCCGCATACCCAACACCAAGATGTGTGAGGAAATGTGTTAGTGGAAACCAGCTTTGGCGTGAATCAAAACACTATGGTGTTAGTGCCTACAAAATCAGATCTAACCCTCAAGACATCATGGCAGAAGTTTACAAGAACGGACCTGTCGAGGTTGATTTCACCGTTTACGAGGTAAAATGAAGATTTTAAATTGATCAAACGTATGGTTGGTTATATCAAGGAACTCCACATTTCAGTGATCTTCTTTTTTATTCTACAGGACTTTGCGCATTACAAATCTGGAGTGTACAAGCACATAACTGGAAGTAACATTGGAGGCCATGCTGTTAAGCTTATTGGATGGGGAACTTCTGATGACGGCGAAGATTATTGGGTATGAAATCCATTTTTAACACTATATTTCGAGTTTCTTTCTGGCTGGAATATTCATAACAGTCTTGTTCTTTTGAATTGTGTTACCAGTTGCTTGCAAATCAGTGGAACCGAAGCTGGGGTGATGTAAGTTCTTCTTCTCGCCAATCAAACTCTTACTTCTGATTTTCTAAAAGCCAACATTCAAAATCCAGGGAAAACACAGAATCTGACCTATAAAGTGTAACAATTTCAGGATGGTTATTTCAAGATCAGGAGAGGAACAAACGAATGTGGTATCGAACACGGTGCTGTAGCTGGTTTACCCTCAGACAGGAACGTATTTAAAGGTATTACTACATCAGATGATCTTCTAGTTTCCTCATTTTAAATTATATTCAGACAACGAAAGAGGTCTCTATACACTCTGTAATATACTATAAGCTGCCACGATGTTGTTGTTCCAGTGAAAGAATCAAAACAGTTGAAAACCCAAGCAAAAGTATGTATCTACACATATAGCTTTTAGATATTGTTCATATTCAGTTTTACAAGTTTCCTATATTTATATTCTAATTTCTACTGTCATGTACATATACTGTTTCATTCTACACTATGTGTGACTAATGGTGGATACTTGAGGTTTCTCAGTTTACTAGATTGCTCGGCGACAAGCCGAGCCGTAGTATTAGGACCTTGTTGCATAAAGACCTCGTATCCATCACCTAACAGACCAGTTCTATTGGTCGTAAGTTGCCAGAAAATTCCACCGTTACACGAACCACCTGTTCTTGCACTGTCGTAGATAACATCATAGACTCTCTTGAAAAACTTGTTTCGTTTCTCTAAGGTGAAACCAGGAAACTTTGAAGATTTCCCAAACTCTGTTATGAGTAAAGGCTTCTTGATGATGTTGTCAGAGTCTTCGATGTGTGCTCCGATCCATTTGTCAACAAATGCATCTTGTTCTGCTCTTCTTGACATCTGTAATGGTAGCCTGAGATGAAACAGAGACGCTGTTAAAAAAAAGACAGCAAGAAAACAAAAAATATAATTTTGATCCATTGAATAGAGAGATTGGAGACTGGTGACTTACCAAGAATCTGGATAGACATGGATAGTGGCGAAATCGATTTCTGGTATTTGGTTATTCGAGATGAAATCTGAACCGGTTAAGACCGTACCGCCGGGGTTGTAAACCGTTCTTTCCGGTTTAGATTCTCCATAGAACCCTTCAAGTCCTATTTCTAGTAAATGGTTTGAATCTATGGACTTGACATAAGCTGCCATTTCTTTCACCCAATTCTGCACACGGAAACGACCGCGTTTAATAAGCAAAATATTTACGTAACACGTACGTATTAACAAGAATATATCGAGAGAGAAAAAAGAAACCTGTAGAATAGTAGAACCAGTGGAATCGTTGCAGCGAGGCTCATTGATGAGCTCCCAAGAAAAGATGGTTGGGTCGTCTTTGTAAATTCGACCACTGATTGTGTTTTTCCTCGTCAGCACGGTCTGTTTTGTCAAATCGTCGGTTTAGTTCGGTTGATGTCGGCACGAAGATACAAAAAATATCTATATCTGATCCTCTATATATATTGGTATATTTGTCATATTATGGATTCTTTTAGTTGATTATAATCTAACTTTTGACATTTCAACTGTCCGTTATATCGCGTTAACGTGTTAAGAATTTAAAATATTTGCCCTTTAGCGTGTCGTGTTACATATGATGATATCGATATATATAACTGATACTTATCTAATCATAATACGAAATTTGAATTTTATGTATTATATATGCTAACCTTCACGTGGTTCTTGTAGAATTCCTTGACAACTGAGTTTGTGTAGAACTCATCCGTTTCATTGAAACCGGCCCATTCAACGTATTTTTTTCTCCCTCCATAATCTTCGAAATTATTGACTAAACTAATTATCAATTTAATTTTAAATCTCCCAGCTTCATAGACCACAAAGTCTAGTCCCTGCTCACAGCAAACTTTGTATCAGTACTCACAAAACGCAATTATACCTTTTTGTTAACTTGATTAATCAGTTATATTATATTTAATCCCAAATTAGTCAACATATAAATTAATCGTACCAACTTATGCTCCTAATTACATATAAATATGATTTACGATATTAAAGAACTATGTATGTTTTTGTCATTTTGGGATTATCGACTTTACATAATTAACGTGTGAGTTGTGACAAGGACACGACAAATTTTTCAAGAAAAAAACAAAAGGTTTGGATTTCGTTTGTCAGAAAGTAATATTTTGAAATTTGAATCCTTCAAGTTAATTAGTTTTTTCTTTTTGTTTAACTATTAATAAGACAAAAACAATGGTCATCGAAGATCTAATAACTAATACACATATGACCATAACAAACACCTATCTATCTTTATTACTAATTTCGTCCTATTACCAGCGATCCATTTACAAATTAAATAAGTGAAAATAGAGTGATTATTTTATCAAACCAGTAAGCCTACGGTGATATCGATTCAAACTAAAGTCCTTAAATTTACAAAGTTAAGAGTTAAATTATAAGAAATTGTTTAATTGATAAAAACATATGAAAATGTGAAAAAAAAAATTCCATAATTTTGCATCGATCGATCCATCAAAGTCCTTAAAAATATACATGCATATATCTGTAGATATGTTTATGTATATGTAGATATAAATACGTATGTTATACGTATGTGTACACATATATGCATGATGAGTGTTACCTTGAAAACGTCTTCACTGTAGGAGCCAGGAGATATCTGAAGAGGGATATAATCTCCTTCGTTAAAACCCCAAATCCTAGCCACGTTCATTCCCACGGCGGAGGCTTGCCGGAGCGCCGTCGTGACGGTTGCTCTTCCTCTGGACGCCGTATCAGCCGCCGTGGTCATCATCCAATAAGCATTGAAGCCGTTTAAGTAAACTCGTTCTCCGTTCAATACAAACTGCGTGCCGTTGCTCCCGACAAAACCTGCTTTTTGGGCGACGCAAATGCGGTTGTTTCCGACGAGAAACGGAAGAAGGAAAAAGAAACACGGCAAGAGTTTTAACATTGTAAAGCTTTTGCCGACTTGGAAAAAAGAGAATGGCACAACATGAAACTGAAAGACATTTGTCTGTGTTGGTGTTATATATACATTACAGATGTCTTAGTGTCTACGTATTTTAAAAATATTTCTTTTTGTCCCCATCTTGCCTAATTATTTGAAATATATCTGTGAACGCGTTATATATTTATATTTGTTTTTATTTAAGGTTTATCAAAGTCATTTTGCTGAACTTGTATATTTGGGCTAAGAAAACATAAACTTTTTAAAACTAAGAGAATTTACTGAAAAGAAGAAATAGAAGTGGAAACTAAAAGGGTTTTATTTCTATTTCTTCTTTTGTGTAAATCCTCTTAGGTTTAAAAGTAATTTGATTTATGGTTGAATAATATGATACGAAACGACCACACTAATTATTTGCTTTTGAATATAAGCGTGTCACGCGTGTGGAGTGGAGCTATCATACTTAAGCTACTAAAGATTAGTTACCTTAATGACTCAATTATGTAAGACGAATTATTAAATTTGACTTCTCAACAGAAATAATTATTGATCCTCAACTTCATACGGATTTTGCAAGCTCCAAAACTGATTAGGAAGATATCAAATAAATTAATCAATTTCTCTTTCTGGGCCTATAATGTTCACTCAGACTTTTAAAATGTGGATGCTGTACCAAATAGTATATTAAAGAGAAACAAAATTGGTCTATTAACTCTATACATTATACAGTCAGTATACACCATGTGAAATGAGGTCTACTTTAGTATCTTGTTCTCAAGTTTCATTCCTCCTTATTGGGCCCTTTATAAAGCCCGTATATGTTGTATGCTAATTTAAGAATGAAGGAGCTGATCTTCTACAGTATACCCACAGCCACAGCCCAAAATATCTCGACGTTTGATGTTCTTCTTCTGTTTGACATCAATCTATAAAAAATTTGTGCTTTCCAAACAGACCAAATTTGTTTTTTTTTGTCATCTATGAGATTTTATTAAACTTCTGAAAGATACAAGCAAGATACGTTATATTTTTGGTATAACAACCAAATTTGTTATACAAACTTCTGAAAGATATAACAACCAAATTTGTTATATTTACAAATATTTATTAAGAGAAGTAATGTTCTGTTTTTATTTTATCAGCTTCATTTTAATAGTACGTATTCGACCAAGCTGGGTCATGTTTGAGAGCGTGGCTTTTATCAAATGTAGGCCATGTGATATAAGAACGAGGACGTACCTCTTGACATGCCATCATATTAGGGCATCTAAGGATTATTGTATATATGACAGATAATGTCAAGTTACGTACATAAGAATCAGACTCACTTATATAAAAAAAATTATTTTATTGCTAGAAGACCGATTGAAAATATTAGCAAATTCAAATGAATGGAAACTATATATATATTTTTATATATATAATAAAAGCTGGATATATATATATATATATAAGTTCAAAAGTAATTAAATCACGTACTGTATTTTCTAACTAAGCATGTACTGTGTTTTTCAACTAAGCGCATTACTGTGTAACAAAAAATAAAACTACAGCCTTGCTGCATTTTGTTAATTCATCTGTGGAAATATATCGATATAATTGTTTATCCGTAGAATGTAATGATTTGCTTCTTGGTGGATAAATTATATAGTATTGCCGTACATGTTGCAAAAGCCATGTTACGAAGTAATATGATATTTTGAAAACAAAAAACAAAACAAATATGTCAATGCCTCTGACTTATTTTTATTTATTTGTTGGCGTAAGTAAGCTTGCAGGAGCTCAACTGTCCTTTAACGTACCACGGCATTTACGAGTAAAAAGAGGAGAACTTATCAATCCATTTCAGACATTTTCTCCGCAATCTAAGAAAATATGGCATGTGGTTTTTGATATGTATAGTTTTAGTTATAATCATCCGTATATAATGTTCTCTAATAAGCCCTTTTAACTATATAAAAAAAAATCTGTATATAGTTAAGTTGCGTCGTTACATTTTAACAACCCAAAAACTAATAATTATGTCAACTCGACAACTCCATACCACCATAGTCTTTTTCCGCGGAATTCATGTGATAAGATGTTACACTTATAAATATTATAAGGCTATAAGCTGAAGGCCAAAACAAATCAATTTATTAAAATCAGGAACAAGCTCTGTCTCTGTGCTTGTCACTATAAATACTCGCATTGTCGTCTATCTATATTCATCGAAATATAATAAAGTCAACACTTGCTAAAGAAAAATATGACGAAGATTTTATCTTTTTCGATAGTGGTCAACTTCCTCCTCGCGATGTTCTGCACGAATATGATCAGCTCGGTTTCTGCAGGTTGGATGCAAGCTCATGCAACCTTCTATGGAGGAAGTGATGCTTCGGGTACAATGGGTAAGTAATTTAATTTTTTTTTTTTTTTTTTAACATAGTAATTTAATTTTCTAAAGCATCTTCTTTCATTCTTCTCCAAGAAACCCCTCAAAAAGCCTGAGTTCTCTTAAGATACTTCGGTTTGGTACCAACCGGGTTAGGATTCCGTTTGTTCAACTTCAAACTTCTTCATACCAATCGGTTATGGATTCCGTTTGTTCAACTTCAAACTTCTTCATACCAATCGGTTATAGCTAATTATAGATTGCTTTCGGTTTAGATTAAAATGCAAACCGATCTGTATAGTCTTAACCGTTATATCTATATCCCCGGTCCGAATTTCAGGCGGAGCGTGTGGTTACGGCAACCTCTACACCGATGGTTACGGGACAAACACGGCAGCGTTAAGCACCGCACTGTTCAACGACGGCAAATCTTGTGGCGGTTGTTACCAAATGGTCTGCGATGCGACCAAAGTGCCACAATGGTGTCGTAAAGGCAAATGGATAACAATCACGGCTACGAATTTCTGTCCTCCAAACTACGCTTTACCAAATGACGATGGAGGTTGGTGTAATCCTCCCAGGTCTCATTTCGATTTGGCTCAGCCTGCGTTTGAGACCATCGCCATCTACAGAGCCGGAATCGTCCCTGTTTTCTATAGAAGGTGATATAAAAAAACTGCCCTTCAAGACCTCATTTCAATATCAGTTCTTTGTGCTAATAAATAAAAGGGTTTCTTGGGGATGATTGTTATCTCTTGTAGGGTCGGATGTAGAAGAAGCGGAGGAATGAGATTCACGATGAACGGTAGAGATTACTTCGAGCTTGTCCTCATCTCAAACGTAGGAGGTGCAGGTGAGATTTCCCAAGTATGGATCAAAGGCTCCAAAAGCAACAAATGGGAGACGATGTCAAGAAACTGGGGAGCTAATTGGCAAAGCCTTACTTACCTCAACGGACAAAGTCTCTCGTTTAAAATCCAAACCAGTAATGGCAAAATCAAGAGTGCGCTCGATGTTGTTCCTTCGAATTGGCAGTTTGGTCAAAGCTTCAAGAGCAACCTAAACTTCTGAAACCACACGTTTACTATGGACACTGTAAATGAAAACTTGATTTCTTGAATGAAAAATGTTACATGATTCGAATACAACGGAGATAGTGTTACGCTTTTCATAATATCAAATCTGTTCCGAGTCACTTCCAAGTCAAGTATCATGTCACTCTTATCTCCGCATCACACGGTTACGCTCTCTCTTGCGGAATCGTTCCAACATGATTTGATCAGTTGCAGCTTGTCTGCTTTTCCCTGATTCAGCACCATTGTTATTACTAATAGACGGTTTAGCTCCTTCGCCATCAGCTTGAGGCCCTTTATCTTTGTATAGTTCCGGATGCTCTGCGTTTTTAAGTAATGTGATCAGTACGACTAAACATCAGATTCCTTTAACAATTATTAAAATGCTTAAGACTTGAGCTTAACAAGTAAAAGGGAAAGAGAAAAGGATTCATAAGCAAAACCTCTTCTAAGCTTCTCAGCATAATCTCTCCCGCGCTGGAAGTAATCAGCGCTGTAACTAGAAGGAATGTTAAACTCTGATTTTGGCCGACCCGTAAGCCTCTTCTCTTGCAGAAGCTTCTTGGCAGCTTCTGTTTCTTCAATGTTCTTCAGCTTGTATCTATATCATCCATCCACACACACAAAAAACCAAACCGTTAATTCTTTAAAATACTCAAAACCATCAATCTTCAAATCTTATGAACAAGTAATCATACTCGATTGGGAGTTGCACTTCTGCTATTCCTGTAGTCCACTGTGTTGAGCTCTCTTCCGAGCTACGTTTCTTAACCTGAGACAGTTGGAAAACTTGTAAAGGACGAAATTCATGTTACACTTTGAAATTAAAACAATCATATGTCACAAAAACAGCTTACTTTAAGATGATCAGGTATCTTATACAACTCATCCTCTACTCGCTTCAGTTCGTTCTCAACCTCCTCTGCATCATCAAGATTTTTTCCCCTTTTCTTCGCCAGTTCTTGTTCAATGTACTTTACCCTATTGAATCAATCAAGAGGGACACAATCCTTAATGCCTACGAATAAAACCTCAACTAGCTCGATCTGTATTTCTCAATTACTTGGAATCGGCAATGAGAAACTGAAAACTAAGGCAAATAAAAATTGAGAAGAGGTTCTCTTACATGTTGGGATCTTCAATTAAAACAGCGGTCTCTTGAGCAAAAGTATCCTGCAACACAAGCTCCTCTTTCTCTCCTTCAGCTTCGGGTTTCTCCACTGCTTTCACTTTTCCTATGCTATACTGCGCCGTAGATAAAGCTGGGATTCCTAATTTTCTTTCTCTCTGCTTCTGCAAAAACTTGACCTCTTCCAACGCCAATCTGTAAATCACACCCAGTCAACCAAAAACCAATCCTTTTTAGCAACCCGTCAAATTGATTGAAGAAATTCACACTGAAAATAAAACAAAAAAGTGGGAAAAAAAACCCCTAAAGATGTGATTTTTCAATTTTGGAGTGACCTTCGTTTCTCTTCTTCATCTGAATTTGCGGCTTTACTTAGATCATCTTCTTCTTCCTCCTCGAAGTTACGCTTCCTGAAATTTCTCTTCGGCGGCATCGCAGGAAACTATCGGCTTCTTCAATTTTCTTGCGAGAGCTAAATGGGACTTGAGATTTCTCTCTTCAATCGACGAAGTCCGACTACTTTAGGCTTAAGATCGATCTGTTGTAAACACTCTCCGTCGGCTAAAATCAGAAATCAGTGAAACGCATCGTTTTACAAAGGGCCCTATTAGTTAGCCCATTATATATTTTTATTAGGCCATGTTACGTTTTGATGATCCAGCTGTATATATCAGGTTAAAGTTTTTATGACAATAAAATCGATGATAAAGTGTTTTTTCCCGACGAAATCGATGATAAAGTTTGAAGAGATAAAAATGCAAAGAAAACAAAAATAATATAGGTGTGAGTTTTGTAAAATACAAAATGCAAAAAAAGAAAATTACTCTCCACCTTTCCTTTTCACTGCTTGCCATCTTGAAATACAAAAAAGATGCGTCTAAAGGAGTTATCTATCGGAGGACTTTTGTTTTTGTCAACAATTTTTTGATATAATAAGTTTTCTTCAATTTGTACACATTGATATAGCAGACAATTACAGTAATAATTTATTTTTAGTTACCACAACATTAACGTAAACCTTTCCAGGTTTATCATCACATGAACCATTACAATATTATTATTTACAATTGAAATTATTTCTTCGTAGAAAGTCTTTCCTTAATCTTATCAACCATTTTAGTTCCCACCTGAAAAGTCTTTGTCAACACATTTTCCGGCAAAGGAGGCTCCGCCGCAAAAAGAGCTGCTGCAACGGAAACCGTCCCCGGCAACTGACTATTAAACGCCGACAAAACTGATGCCGGAGATTTCCCATTATTCATCTGAAAATGCACAAGCCCTCTTGGAAAAACAAAAACTTCACCAATCCTAATGGTTTTCGAGAAAAGCTTGTTTCCCGTTGTGATAAACCCAACTTCAAGCTCTCCTTCGAGGACGAAGACGATTTCGGTGGCGCGTGGGTGAGTGTGAGGTGGGTTTACACCACCTGGCGCGTAGTCTATACGTGCTAAGGAGACAGAGAGAGTGTTGAGGCCTGGGATCTTCTCCACGTTGGCTCCCGTCACGGCAGAGCCCTTCGTGGAGTTTATGATGGCCGGTTTTGAGAGTCCGGCGAAGAAGAAGTCGGACGACGTGATGTTTGACGTTTCTTTGCATGGAAATCCATTCAATTTGGTTCCTGCGATGTGCACATCGTGCCGTTTATAGACTATAAGAGGCAATGTTGCTATAAAATGTTTAGTCAAAATATGTATTTGACTTACAAACTTTCTAATTCTTACCATGTTAGTTATTTTTATTTTTACATTTACTTAGGTCCCTATTAATTAAATTGTTTTTTTTCTTTTTAAACTATACTAATTTAAATGTCTATCACTTTCAAAGATGGACGAAGATTATATCCCAATCGTTTGTACTTTTATTCAAAACATTAAGTTACTTTACCGTGAGATATATCAGCAACGCAGAGATCTTGAAGAGCGTCGGGATCATATGCTCGAGTCGAAATGATATTGCAAAATAACACGATGATAATGGAAAATTTTGAATTCATCATGCCTCAAAATATTACAATCGAGATTATTGTTTATTTTTGAGAAAATAAGCTCCAAGTTCTTGATAAAATGGGATTGCTGGGGTTTTTATTTTGATCCTTATAATAGGACTTCGACAAGTTTGACCGACAAGTCATTTGCTTGTCACAAGCCGAACATTTCATTTGTCTTGACCAAACTGAGAAATGTACGTCCAAGCTAAGTTGGTAAAACTTTAGCTTTCTGACATGTCTTTCACTACAACCAAATCTTTTTTTTTTAAATTAATTATTTATGTAGATTTTTCTTTTTGGTAAATTTTATGTAGAATATTTATCTTTGAAGTGTTAGAATGTATTAATAATTCTTGAAGTCAAGTTTCATGGTCTAGTTTGTATGGCATTATCACTGTACGATCCAATGGACCTGTATCGTAGATACTGGTAACTTTTTAAAAAGTTAATCAAACAAAATTTAAGTAAAAAACATGCTGAGAAAATTGTTACAAACCAATTGTATACACCTTTTTAGTAACAGATTATAACGTTATTACAAAACCACAAAGAACAGATATATTATTCACACAAATACACATAGTTTTTGCTGCAACGAATCGTCGGAATAACATTACAACGAATTGGTCAGCTCCAAATCCAAATAAAACCCATTAGGCATATTGTCGTATTTTCGAATTTCTGTTTTTTTTTTCCTAACCCACGAACATTTCATACAGACTTTTCTCTAGCTACTTACATATATCATAGTCTTCACATCGTATGGGAAGAGAAATCAAGGAAACTTAATTGGAAAACAAGGAGCCAAACCACATAGACATTGAGGAGAAGAAGCTGCTGATGCTGTTGTGAGAAAGAGAGGAGGTTGATTAGAAGAGTGTGGGAATGAAAGATAACTTAAAGGTGGTAGCGGCCAATTTGTCGCCGGCGTTAACGGTGACGACGCTGTTTGATTTGCCGGATTTAAGCCGTGAGCCATAGCCATCGCCGTCAATAGGTGGTTGTGCATTCCAAAGTTTAATGTCACTGGAGGAATATAAGGATTCATTCCCATTGTTGACATCACCTGCAATTACAAAAAAAAAAATTACAAGTTAATTAGTTCCTGAATATATTAAAACTCGTTAATGTATATACATATTATGTTGCTGTTCAAAGGTCTTGGTGTCAGTAGAGCAGTAAGGACCCAATTATTAGCCGATTAGCGTATAAAACTTTCAAATGGCACTTGAAAACGAATCCAAGCGGAGTAATTGGTAAACAAATATTTATTTATATATATATATATATATATCATAATGTTTACTATACAAAAATATAATGTTAAAACAAAGAAATTCAGCAATAAATCATCAATGTTTGCCCAATTTTCAATTGTTTTTTGTATCAAAATTGATGCTATATTCTCATTAGTATCACACATGATATATCATATGACAGAAATGCTCTAGACTTAATTTTAAATTAATTCTCATATAAAATACGTTTTAAGCGAACACAATAGATGTGATTTTTTTGGTTGTCAACACAATATAGTTGTCAAACACCAACTATACGTGCTGTTTAAATTTAAATCGATCGTGTAGATCGTTATAACGTCTAATCATCTGTTTTATTATCAACACGTCTAATCATCTAATCGACCATCTAAAACGTATAATTGGCCGTCTATATACAGGTAATGTTACTGTAACTCCAGTGATAAAACACCAAAAAAATAACTATAGTTGTTTCATCGATTAGAAACCACATCATGACAAAATTATAAATCTCATAAATTGGTCCGACTGAGATTAAATAACAAGAACAATTACTATAAAACGAGCTAAAAATCGCACAATAGCAAGCATCAATAGTCCTTTTTCGGTTGAAACCCAGTTCTCCCAGCATAACAACCAACTATAAGTAAAATGTAGATAGTGGTAATATATAACCATACGTATATAGATATATTTTAGTCAAGTTAAAATATAGACCTGGAGTTGAAGTTGAAGATTTTTCATATACTCAATGGTCTTATCGAGAATCGAAACCTTGTCCGTCTGAAAATTGGAAAAATAAACACACACACCGTCGGTAATTGGAAACCGAAACTTAAGGCAAGATTCCTTGGACTATAAAACTATATACACACAAATTTAATACATACAAGTATCATATATATATATATATATATATATATATATATTAAAATATACCAACCTTGTGACAATTTGGTAAAAGCTGCTGTAGCGTACGCATCTTGTTACTCATCATCTCGTCTCTTCTTATTTTCTTGAAACCTGTTCTTGTCACTGAAGGAACCTCTCTTGTACACCCTTCTGAGTCATTCTAAACAAATAAATATTCATAAAATCAAAATTTGAACAATAAGGGGTCAAAACTAATATATATAACACATAAGGTAACAGGGAAATGTCTAATACGTATCGACTTACATCACTGGAGATCAAATAACGACGCCGTTTAGGTTTCTCTCGTTTGTTTCTCAAATAACATCGATTATCTGAACTCTCCGAATTATCTTTAGAAAGATGATGATCACCAGCTTCAGAATGTTCATCAGGAACAACCAACGTCAAATCTTTCTTCGAGTTTTCTTCTTCTCTATGAATCTCCGGAACAATTTGAAGATGAATATCTGTTTGATCATGATCAAAGTAGTCGTATCTCCATTTTAAGCCGTTGATTAGACGATCTTCATCACTTCTAATTTCTCTTTCGGTTATACACTGATCTTTCACATCAAGTGATCCGACATCGCTTCTCCATCCCATGAAATCTTGATTATTTAACCTGCAAAAGACAAAGAAGAAAATTATTAGGGTTTATGAGATTAATTAAGAAGAAAGACGTAACTGGAATGTCGTAAGACAAGAAACCTAAACTCTGAAATCTCCCTTTGAATTGCACATACATGTTTATTAGTTAAAAGAGATATCGGAGATGGAGGATTCCAGAAAAATTAATCTTCGGGGACTTGAGATTTGCTCGATAAAATGGAAATCACATTCATTTATATTACAGGAACGATCGGAGCCAGATGTTACAGTTGTCAGCTAACTTAGTGACCCACTTGTATTACGCCACGTTTTCTACTATGAATGGCTCTTTAATTTGTTTTCTTTGGAATTATTTTTTTTGTTAAAGATCTTATACTGTATATAATGAAATAACGCAAAAAAATATACAAGGAATCGAAACTTAACCGGAACGGCGGAACCATTACAAGCAAATTTTAACCAGCAAACAGGTGGATTTTTTATTTTATTTTACGTACACCGACGATTATACAGCAATATAACCCGAGTAGCTTCTAAATTTTTAATTCATAGCAACACGCGGTTAAAGTTGATTACAAGATATTGGATTTTGAAGAAAAAAAATTGTTTAAAGACATACATTTTTGTTTCAATTTTTAGTACACAATACTTTATTTTTCGATAGTTAATTTAAAAATGCTAAATAAAATTTAATTGATTAATTAATTAGTATTTGTAGATTTTTTTGATTTATAAAACGACACTTAGATTAAGAGGGGAAATTTATCCTTTTGTTCGAATACTTCTGCATTGATTTTTAGATGTCAGTAAATAAAATAAATAATCTACACATGCAAGTATACAACATGCATGCATACATTTAACAACAAAACATGCATGCATACAATACATGCATACATAAATCGACTTTAAAGCAATCTTCATTAATTACTATTCGGGCACATGAAATATTCAGACGATATAAGTGATAAGTCGATCAATATACACACACGCGCATATGTATAAATGTATAATATAGGGATAATTATACTGGGATTTGAGTGACATTTATATTTCTCCACTTTAGCTATAACTGTAATAATGCACAACGGGTAGGACCACTTTTATCCTTTTAATTAATACCGTAATCATTATCCGTTATCCTTGAATAGTCGTCGTTATACTTTATCTTTGTATTCGAATTTTAGATATCAGATGTCCAATAGTCTCTATAGCAAACAAGTTGACCGTCGGTGGATATCTGAAACAGTCGACCATCGACCACCACACTTTTCATACGATCCATAAAAATAAACTAAAAATTGTTTCATCATTAACAGACCCTTTCTATAAGAAAAAAAAAAAATCACCACAGTGGCTCAGTGAGTAAAAGCCGCTGATCATCTATGTGATAAGCGGAGTATTTTGGGATAAAAAAAATAATAATGTGGATCTATATATAAACACCATCTCTCGAAGTATTTGTGAGTGGTTATAATATTTGCGTTTTACGAAAAGGTTCACAACAATTTAATATGATGATATATATATAAGACTACTACATCGCAGAGTCAGAGGATTATGATGATAGTGCGCTGTTTGATCCCCCAACACGAATGTTGGATTATTTCAGCAGAGAGTACATTTTACAAATATTTTATAGAGGATTCTGAAAGAAAAGAAAAAAACATTTAGGGTTTTATCCAAAAATCCCACGTGGGTTATGGACCCTAGGCCTATACAATAACGAATAAGATTTTTGTTTTCTGTAACCCCACGACACATTTATTGGAATTTTGAGCGTCACGTCTCCATCACCCATACACCGAGCAGGTGCGATGGTCCACATTATTTCTTTAATACGACAAAAGAAAATTCCAATTAATACAAAATATTTTCTTTAAACAAAATAAAAATAAATAACACTTTAACCTGGATGCAAAATAAATGCTAACAGAGCAATGGAAGAATAAAAAAAGGTGCAATTAGTGAACTGTTAGAACAAATACTATTATTTGTTTAGAGTTTTTTGTTTGGTGTACCTCGCGTTGAATCACAATGGGCCTAAAGAACCTAAAAGAGAGGAGGAAAATGCGTGTAGTTCACGTGATCCCTCGTGATGGACATGCTCCCATGTCTGACACTCAGTGCTTTCCATTTTGTTGGTGTCTTAGCGATCGACGAAGCAAAACCACAGCCACTCCATGTTTCCATCTCCTAAACGACAACGACCTCTCGGAATATACGTTCCAATCTACTTTTACAGTTCAAGGGTACCCTTATTCTTATTATTATTATTTTCTTAAATATAATTTTTTTTTGGAACTGAAATGAGTGTGTACACTACTAATTTTAACACACACGTCCCAGCCCATCAAATTCCTTTTTAAATAGGTCAGATATTCTTTCGCTTTCTGTTGTGTTATCAGTCATTTTATTTATTTATTTATTTATCACTAATTATAAATGTATGTATATAGCAATGGTTTTTTTATATGACGTTTTCGCAAACTCTAGCTATTTAAAAAAAAAAAAAAAAAAGATAAAAAGATGTTAATATTGTATAAAAATATATAATTGAAAGTTATTTTATGTCAGTATGTGAAAATCTAAATTGAACTAGTTTTCAATGATCATTTGTCTAACAGTCTAACACTAGGGTTAAAGAATATGATATTTCCGGATATTATTTTGGGCCTTTAGGTCGGGGCCTTATAACGACGAATAATATGAAAATGTAATAAACCCAAAATATTGAGCTTGTAGGCCCATTGATGATAACCGAAACCATCTTTCGGCAGCGTAAAATGGTTTATTGCAATTAAAAGCCTCTGAAGGAGAGAGAAGGTTTATCATAGTCTGAACAAGTTGTTTAGAGTTTGACAAAATTGAGAAAAAGTCGTATCTTCTTCTTCATCTTATCGTGGCGATCGCCATGAAAATATCTTTAAACCTGTTCGGCGGGGACACAGACATTTCTCTCGTAATTCTATAAGCCAATTCCACTGCACCGAATGTGATGGTGATTGGTGACAGAGGCGAAGGAAGGACCGTGTTGGAAGCAATATTATCACACATTGGAGGGAAAAGGTTTTGCATGGGAAGAGGGTGATATGAGGCAAATAGATTATGATTTCGGAATCACACAGTTATTATATTCTTATGAGTTCATCTACCGAACGGTTTATTGTGTTGCAGTTTACTTTTAAGAGTTTTGGCTCTGTTGTGTGGTTAAATTAATGCAGGGTTTTGATAGTTGTTTGAAAGTTTCTAATTCGCCGAGGAATTGAGGCCGGTTCCGTCCAAGCCAAACGATTTACAAAAGTCCTTGTTTGACTTGATGAGCATTAAGGCTGGGCTTGGTACCCATTCACCTCCAGTTTGTACTCTGACCCCAAAATCCCCCAAAACTTACTATGTGTTCGATCTGAGGAAGGTGCTTATTAAACTGCAATCCCAAGCTAATAATTTCATGTCTATGTACGCTTGCAATTTATGGACCCAAAAAAAAAAAAAATTGACTTTAAGAACACTCTGTATGTGAAGGTTTAACGTCGCTGATCGATTACTTATATATATAAAAATACTACAATATGTGGCCGAAAGGGCAAAATTTACACAAAATCATAATAAGTCTAGAAAAAATCGATCATAACTCTAGAATCTTGAGGATCTTCGTGAGGAGGTGAGATCTTGACAGTGTCGTCGTCGAGTGTTGTGGGTCTTGAAGATTTCTGTTGCGTGTAATGGCGGGAAGAAGATGAGAGAAGCATGGATGAAGAAGAATGAGGAAACTCGAGATTTGTAGGGTGAAGGATCTGTGTGAGTAGAAGCACAATTGACGCCATTGATTGTGATCAAAACTTTGAAGAAGCTTCTATGTGTTTTTAGGGTTTTTGGTAATGATGATGGGATAATTTCCTAAGTGGTTCTTTCTAATATATATATACAGAAATAGAGTGGGCCTACTGAAATAATCTAACGACCGTGGTTTTGTGTTCAAAATCTAACGGACAAGAGATTCCAATGGGACTTCTTTTAAAACTTTGGGTAGCAAGTAGTTTTTGGGCTGACTTTTTTAGCTCGCATTTATATCTCGCCCCAGAAACTTGCTGTTCCACCTGGCGTGGGATTCTATTTTCTCCTCGCTTTAATTTTCATGAACATAAAGAAATATTATATCCTCTATATACATAAACACTATATGGCAGTATTAGTTTTTAATTACTCCATCTGTTCAGAATTATTTGATGTTTAAGATTTTTGCATATAGTTTAAGGATTCATTTAATTTTAATTTTTTCTATACTAAAAATATTATTTATAATTCATTTAAATATCATTCAGCCAATAAGAAGACAATCTGCAGAATATAAAAGGTCAAAAACTATAAAAATTCATTAAATTTTGCATTGAAAAGTGAGAACATCAAATAATTCTGAACAAAAAAAACCTTCTAAAACATCAAATAATTCTGAACAGAGGGAGTAATATTTAGATTTTACATTTCTTACTTCACATTAATTAGGTTGGAACCTTCAATATATTAAATTTTGTCTTTCTGTATGAATTTTTTGTATTCCTATTTATCAGAAAGCAGGTCATCTTGCATTTGAGCGAAATAGAAGAGTAAAGTACATCAAGAATTTCGAGAAAAAAGCTCATCAAATCTATGAGAAACTTCTAAGATTTATTAAGTTCTTGAATATTTTTTTAACAGAGTATATATATATATATAAATATATACTAACAAAGTATCAATAAATGTGAAGAAAAACATGAATAATATAAACAAATACAGAAATATATATATATATATATAGTTGTGTGTTGGAGAAGAGTTAGGAGGTTTTAGATAATTTTAGTTTTAGTTAACATCAAGAATACTGAATACCATGGGAATAACTTTCCCCCAATAAATTTTATAGGTAGGTGAAGGTTGGCCAATAAAAACCAAATCATTTTAAATTAAAGGACGACCCATAGAAACGAAATACATTATTGAATCAATTTACTCCATGTGTGGGAGTTTTTATTTAGTTTAATAATATAGAATTTGGGTCAACCAGATTATCATTTAAGCGAAGGGCCTCTGCTTTTCACAGTCTAAATTTGGCCCAGTTCCTACATTTAATAGCCCAGCATATCTCTGATAAAACCCGATCCGGTCATTAACCCGCCCGTCTCCAGCAATCCCACACTCTAAACCGCCGTTTATAATGTTTGTGGTTAAACCAAACCCGCCGATCCGGTTAGCCACCAAATCCGCCTCCGTAGGCCTGTATTTACCGATCATAACGTCATGGCACGACGGTTTAGGACTCTGCTCCGTCATCCAAAACCAAAGTGCTGTTTGGAAAGCTATCACCGAATTATTTGCCACCGTTTCCGGATTCCTTAAACCGTCGAATCCTAGGGCTCGACCAGCCGGTCCGTAGTTATAGTTCCTTTCATCCAAAACAAGAAAATCAAAATTAGTAACAATTGTGTATTTGTTGATTGTAACATTGAGAAGTCAAACGTAACGGAAACGCAAAAGTAAGTATGTTTTTTTTTTGGGTAATAATATATAATCATATTGCTTGTGATTGTTATATACTCGTTACTTTTTTTTAAAACAATTCAAATCAATCTTATATACTCTTTACTTATGATATAATATAAGGGCCGTATGTTGCTATCCAATATTATAAAACCTTACCAAGAGAGTTGAATGGGACCTCTTCCTTGGTAAGTCTTGTTAGAGAAACAAGGCCACTCCGTGTTAGAAGAATCGCAATAATTACTTTGTGGACTCACTTCTTCTTTAAAACACAATCCCCACGCGTACGGTCCGTCCGGCGCCGTTGCCCACCCTCCGGTCGTCTCGTGTGAAATCTGAGCCAAAAACGCAGCCACCTCGCGCCGCCTCGTCTCCATGGATCCGACGCTCCCGAATCTAGGAAACCGCCTTGTCGCCTCCACGAATGATTCGTAGGTGTAGAAACCATTTGCGGGACAGGCGGTATTGTCTTTGTGGATGAACATTGACTCGTAGAGCGATTTCGACACTATACGCGTGATTGTGGTGGCTTCGGTTAGGCCCGAAGATAGTATTATGAAGATCGAGAGGAGTAAGCATAATAGAAGAGAAGAGTGTTGAGCCATTTCTTAAAGATGTTTTTTCTTTTTTTTTTTTTTTGTGTAAGGAGAAGAAGAGCTTGTGGTTCGTTATATAGATATGTAAATGGTCAATGCGTTGACTTTGACTTTTAACGATCGACTGACTTTATCCTTTTCACTGCTTTAAGCACATATAATCATTGGATGATATGGATAGTGTGTATTACATTACAATGTGAGTTCTATATACGATTAGAATCATTGTGGCCGGATATGACGATCTTTTTATTCGGTCAACGTTGGCTCAGTATTGATAAAATAATAAGATTGATTTGAATTTCTTATATCTGGAAGACCCATTCTTGCTTTTAAAAATCTCATTTGTTTCTCGATGGATGAATCGTCAAACTGATCCGAACTTTTTTATTAAATGTAGAAACTGGAAAATACACTAAAGTTTCTCGTTCGGCGGCTAACTAGTGTAATTTATAAATATATAAAGATCCATTTGAAAGTCTTCAACAAAATTATTAATGAAAAACTCTTCAAGTATCCATTAGTTTAGTTATTGTAAATCCATGACCGAGCTTCCACAAAATTTATTAAGAAAACTTCATATGTGCGTAATGGAGTAGCTACTAGTCTTGTAGTCTAGTTCACATGTAGCAAACTAAAGAAACCTGCGGATCCCAAGTCGGCGAAACTACATGCCGTTGTATCATATCTTATATTAAACTACACGCCGTTTTAACATATCTTATATTAAACTACACGCCGTTAGTACTTATATTAAACGACAGACATTTATGTCCTTAAACCCTACAGTCCGACAATAGAAATAGTAGAATAGAGAAGAAGGGACTTTTGATCAATTCTTAAGGTTTGAAAACTGTAAAGAAGATGAATTTTCGTAATCTGATAGCATCCGGTTCTCGCCTCGGGAGGAGGTTCTGTGCAACGGTCTCCTCTCCGGCGTCGGCTGGCGTCGAAGCCTATGCTTCTGCTCCGACGGCCGCGTCAAGGCAGCGAGAGATTTACAATAAACTGTCGAAGCTTAGTGTGACGGAAGGGACAGTGCCAGAGACGTTGAATCAGTTCATCATGGAGGGCATTACGCTCAGAAAACACGATCTCTTTCGCTGCGCCAAGCTCCTTCGCAAATTTCGTCGCTATCAACACGCCCTTGAGGTCTGTTTATGCTTTTCCCTTTCCCATTTTCGCATCTATTGACCAATTACGTTTTCTGATCTGTTGAAATTGGAGAGATTCCGTCATCTGTGGAAGATTAATCGAAAAGAGCTGTTTTTAAATTCATGTTCGTTTTTGAAAGTTTTGTGATTTCACTTGTTTAATTGGGACCATTGTTGATGAAATTTCAGATCTTTGAATGGATGGAGATGAGGAAAATGGCAGTATCTGCCTCCGATCATGCGATTCGTTTGGATCTAATCGCAAAGACGAGAGGCTTGGAAGCTGCTGAAAACTACTTTAACAAGTTAGAACCTTGTGCAAAGAATCACCAGTCCACTTATGGGGCGCTCATGAACTGTTACTGTGTGCAACTCCAGGAAGAGAAGGCAAAAGCTCATTTTGAGAAAATGGATGAGCTCAAATTCGTTAACAATTCGTTACCGTTTAGTAACATGATGTCAATGTACATGCGGATGAGTCAACCGGAGAAAGTACCTGTGGTTGTTGATGCGATGAAACAGAGGGGTATATCTCCATGTAGGGTCACTTACTCTATATGGATGCAAAGCTGTGCAAGTTCAAACGACTTTGACGGACTTGAGAAGATTATAGCTGAAATGGGCAAAGACAGTGAAGCTAAAACCACTTGGAATACTTTCTCTAACCTTGCAGCAATCTACACTAAAGCTGGTCTTTTCGAGGAAGCGGAGTCTGCGCTGAAATCTATGGAGGAGAAGATGAACCCCAACAACCGTGATGCCCACCATTTTCTCATTAGCTTGTATGCTGGGATTTCGAAAGCTTCCGAGGTTAATCGAGTTTGGGAATCGTTGAAGAAGGCTCATCCTGAGATCAACAATATGAGCTATCTTGTTATGTTACAGGCTCTGAGTAGCCTCGGCGACGTTGATGGGATTAAGAGGATTTTCACAGAGTGGGAATCGAAATGCCAGGTTTACGACATGAGGCTGGCTAATATCGCGATTAACACGTATCTTAAAGGAAATTTGTATCAAGAAGCAGAGACGATTCTTGACGGTGCAATGAAAAAATGTAAAGGACCTTTCTCCAAAGCGAGACAGCTTCTGATGATTCATCTATTGGAGAACGGTAAAGTGGATTCGGCTATGAAGCATTTGGAAGCCGCGGTTTCTGATTCCGCAGATATCAGAGACCACTGGGGCTGGAGCTCAGAGCTGCTCAGCTTGTTTTTTCTTCACTTTGAGAAGGCTAAAGATGTTGATGGAGCAGAAAAACTCTGCAGGATCTTGTCGCACTGGAGACCTTTTATGGACTCTGAAACTGTGACCTTTCTTATAAAGACCTATGCAGCAGCCGGAAAGATTTATCCTGATATGCTTGAAAGACTGTATCGAAACGAGATGGAAGTAAGCGAGGACATCCAAGACTTGCTTGAAAAGGTATGTCCTTAAATTCCTACAATGATGGGTAATTCTCGGTTTTTTAAGCTTCTCTTTTTCTTTGGTCAAGATGAGTTAAAGCTTTTTGTTATAAAAAGCTCAGTTTTTGACAATTTGTGAGTTACATAAGGGAAGGGAAGATCTCAAAAATGTTCCATTATTAACATGCTTTATTTTTGTTAATAATCGCTATTTGAACGTTGTGTTTATACTTGTGTCTCGTTTATGAGTTCAAGTTCCTTGTTTTAGGGCACATAACTTGGCTAAAAAAAATCAGCTTAATCAATTACGTTTTCTGATATGTTATTGATTTTAACATCGAAATTGGAGATATTCTGTCATCTATGGAAAATTAATCGAAAAGGGCTGGTTTTAGATCCAAGTTGACTGTCAAAAGCTTTGTGATTTCACCAATTTTAAGATTACATTAGGGATATACTCGTTTCTGAATGGATGAGGATGAAGAAAATTACATATTTCTGTTTGTGATTTCACTAGTTTTAGGCGTTGATTGTCGCTATACTCTGTAGTTGAACGACATTTAGATTGACATTTCTGTTTGTGTTTAATATAGAGTTTAATTGGAGCCATTGTTGATAAAATTTCAGGTCTTTGATTCGAAGGAGAAGAGGAAAGTGCCATTTTCTGTCTCCGATCATGCAGTTCGTTTGCATCTGATTGCAAAGACGAAAGGCTTAGAAGCTGCTGAAAGTTACTTTAACAACCTTGATCCTTCTGCAAAGAATCATGAGTTGATTTATGGGACACTCATGCACTGTTACTGTGTGGAACTTCAGGAAGAAAAAGCAAAGGCTCATTTTGAGAAAATGGATGAGCTCAATTTTGTTAACAATTCGTTACCGTTTAATTACATGATGTCAATGTACTTGCGGTTGGGTCAACCCGAGATGCTGGATGTGCTTATGGAGGGGATTAGAAAGAGGGAAGAAATCTGTCCTTGTGGGATGACTTACATTATATGGAATCAGAGGAAAGGTATCTCCTTGTATTGTGATGATAGGTAATAATTCTCGGTTTTTAGACCTATGTCTCTTTTATGAGTTTAAGCTTCTCTTTTTTTTTTTCCTTGGTCAAAATTAGTATAAGCTTTTTGGTCTAGAAAGCTCAGCTTTTGACAACTTGTGGGTTAAGATCTCAACAGTGTTCATAATGAACCTGCATTAGTTTGTTAATAATCGCTAGTTGAACATTATGTTTAGACTTGTGTCTCCTCGATGAGTTCAAGTTTCTTGTTTCAGGGCACATAACTTGGCTAAAAATATCAACTTTTGACAATTTATTGGGTCACTATTGTGAATTATTTTGGGGGTTAGTTTATAAATGTCAACCAACAAATTGTTTGTTTATCCAAATCCAATAACCGACTATTGCCAAAAAAAAATAATCTACTTGTTAATTGTGGATCATCACCCATGACCCATGTTAGTGTTAGTGCCACCAACAAAGTCAGGAAAATAATAATATTTTTTTAATCTAATTATCTCATACACAATTTAAACAAAGAAGCCTTATTTATCCACAAGAGATAACTAGAAAAGGCAAATAAAGATTACAGGGAAAATTACAGTGAATATTTACAATTTAGTAAATAATCTGTATCTCTTTTAACTGCCTATTCGTTTTAAATCTATCGTGTTTCCTAGTAAGGACACTGAATATTTGTGAAACAGAAGTTATCCAATTCCAAATTTGTGATTGGTAAAAAAAAATAGAGCAAATCTGAAAATTAAAAAAAAAAGGAAACAAATAAAAACAAAACGAGCGGCGTAGATTGTATGACAAGCTGGCACGTCTGTATCTGGTCGCAACTTTCCTTTTTGTCTTTCTTTGGTAATACGTTCGGCGACATAACAATCCAACAAAACATTGTTTCGCTTTTTCTGTTTATATATATACACCGAACCAAACGGATATCCTCTGAGAAATTTCGGATACGCAATCAATTCAAATTTCATCCACAAGAACCCTAATTCGAGGTGGGTACTCTTACTCCTGTCTTCTTCTTCTTTTGTTTTCCAGTATCTAATCTCATTCACAATTAACGAAACGGGTTTTGACATTCGCAACGAAAGATTTGATTCTGCTGCTTCATTCGTAACGTAAGAAGCATCTGTGATTTCTGTGTTTTTTTTTTTGTTGTTGTTTATTGCCGATTTTACTCTCAAGTCTGTATCTTTTGATTGGCTTAAGCACTTTACTTCGAGAATGTGGTTTCGTTAAATGTACAAGTCACTGATTTGGTGCGAGTTCAGCAAAATCGATTTTGATGGTTACTTTGTCTTGCGAGTTAGGGTTTTAGTTAAACCAAAATTAGCATTGCTCTGTTTTTGTTTTGAAAATTGAATTGTATGCTAATCTCTCGTGTGACTTCTTGTTTCATGTTCTAAGACGATTAAGGAAGCTGAGAGAAAGTCTCTTTTGAGCTTGCTCAGTTTTGCAAGTAGAAAAGAGGTTTATCCTCAGGGGAAGCAAAAGGGTCGAATCAGCTTTGCTTTTGTGAGCGTTAAAAGTAGGTACTTGAGGATGGATCAAATGATTTCAGGAGAACAAGATCTTGAGGTAGACATCGAAGCTGGTCGATCTGATGTTACGCAAGAATCCACTTCAGATATCGTTTCAGGGAACGGGGTGTGGCGTGAACGGGTGAATTTCGGTGTGTCTGAAAAGATTGCTGATGATCTAAACTGTCCATTAATAGGAAACAAAAACCCAGCAGAAGCAAGCAGTCAAAGTTTGAATCTTTCAGAGAAAAAAGGCGATAATGTAAAGGTTAAGAAGTCAAGAAAGGCTTCAAAGCCACCTAGACCTCCGAAAGGCCCTTCCTTGACTGCGAATGACCATAAGGTGATGAGGGAAATAGCGGAGCTCGCAATGAGAAAGCGTGCAAGGATTGAACGGATGAAAAATTCCTTAAAAAGAATTAAAGCTGCAAAGTCTTCATCATCATCATCTTCATGCGTTAGCATTTTCTCGATGATAGTAACGATCCTATTCTTCGGCTTTCTAGTCTTTCAAGGTACCATTTTTTGTAGTGTTTTAGTGAAAGTTATAACTTTTTAACTCCCTTTCATACTCTCAACGAATTCAAAAATCGCTACTTTGGTCTTGAACTTGCAAAAAAAAATTGTTGCCCCCAGGCATGGATTTATCGAAAGAAAGAGTCCTAAGATTCTCTATGGTTTTATATTGATTGCTTTTAGGACACTTTGATATAACTTTAAACCAGTCTTTTTTACCATTAGATATAAACAGAGTTTGTTATGTTGTTATTGCTCAGGGAAGACGAAAAATGTCTTTAAACAAAGAGTGGTTTTTTTTTCGTGTTGCAGGATTCTTTGCAGGCGATTCGAGTTTGAAATCAGACAAATCACCTGCACCAATTGTTTCACCTTACAACCAAATGATCTCAGTTCAGTTCTACAATGAGTTTGCTCCCGTTGAGCAAACTGATCCCAGTCCAACTGCCTCATTCAGGTGAGGAGCTTGAAGAAGAAGAAGACTTTCTTATTATCAATCAAAGAAGCTACTTTCTAAACACAACTACTAATATGAACAACTTCTAATTTTTTCCCAAATCTGTGTTAATTCAGATACACGAGGAAGCGAATCTCGGGCGCAGAAGAAGAAGATTCAAGAGATGTCACCAGATGAGTTCTCTGTTTGGTCTTGACATTAACGCACTCTGTTAGCTCTTTTTGGTTCAATTTTTGTTCTTTAACTTGTCCTTAACGCTTTAGAAACCGTCATCCTCTTTCTCGAGGTTATATCTTGTAAATTCTTTGCCGGGCCCCATCACTAGCCGGGCCTGTTTCTAATTGATTGGAAGTTTGGAACACACTTATTAATGATTGGTGCAATTAGTTATTTAATGGGGGATAAATGATGGAAAACTTGTTATTGACCTTAGTAAATAAACAGGTTTTACATCTTATTTTCCTAGATTTGTGAAAATGACTTCCCTTCCAACTGGATTCTGCAACGTTTATGGTCTAATAATAATATCTACGTTTGAAATAATATCTACACCCGACAGCCGTGATAAATTATAAATTAAAACTCACTTAACCTGCAAAGATTAGAATCCACATAGTTATTTTTTTCGTCGTATGTGATACTACTATAGTATTATGATTCTCGGTTGGTAGTGTCATCTCTTCAAAACGAGAATTAGAACGATTCTTTTTTTTTATTTTTTTGGTAAATATATTAAGATTATATTATCAATTTTTGAATTTTTTACAGAAGTTACAAAGATTAAAAAACTACTAACAAATCCGACAGATGCAACAAACAACAACGAAAACATAAGAAAGTAGATTGCAGAATTAAAAATAAAACCGAAGCAAAACCAGACGGAAAGCAACGGTCGCACGCCAAAACAAATTAGAACGATTCTTTAACAAATATTTTGTTTTTGAAACGAAACTCAAACTTGTGTTCAACCGATTAAGCTACTAATAATAAATTAAAATCGACGTTTTTTCGTTTGTATTTACTCTAGTTGGATCTTATTCGTATTTAGACGTTTTTGTTCCAGTTTCATTTGAAATGAAAAGGAATTTGAATTACTTACAAAAAACAGCTTAACTAGCTCTAGAGTTTTTGTTTCCTTTTCAGATACCTTATAGTTACAAGACTCTCTTGGTACGTAATGAACTAATGATAATGAAACTTTTATTAGATTTTTTTTTTTATTTTTGCTAGAACCTAGAACGGTAAAAGCGAACACAAGTACTCACGTTATAAAATACCATTTGACGAAAGTTTATAAAATAAGTAAGTGATATATAACGGAAGAGATCCACGTCCCGCGGCCACGGACAACACAACTTGCACAATAGTAGTATATAAGTAAGTGATTTTTTTTTGTATACAAGTACGTTAAACTCACTATTAATTTTTCATTTTGGTAAATTTACAATATTTCCCTCCCATTTCTTTACAAGATTTTTTGCTAATCGACCTTCAACTCCAAGTTTGAAAGCATCGACTTTTTTTTTATTATTATAATTAGGATCGAAAATCTAGTGTGAATATACATTTAAAGATTATACGCTTCTTTGATAGTGATTATTTTGGAGACTCCATACGTAGATTAGGTATACGTCACACATCATTTAATCTTTGATATTTTTTAGACATAACAATAATTCATTTAGTTACTACACTTTCTACAATCTTCAGAATTATGCCTGTCAATTAATACATGTAGTCTTGTATACTGCTGGCCTGTAGTTTATCTTTTTTTTGGCAATAGTTTAGTTAACAATTGAACGTTTAATGAGGTTTGAGCCACTGATTTAACATTTTGTTTTTCGAACAGAAGCAGAATGTATTTTTTCATGTCTTGTTAGGCAAAGTGAAGAACTTAAAATAAACGGTTCGGTTGCACTTGCATGGTTAGTGGATCTTGTGTAATTCGAAACGTAACCAAATTGAAGAGAACAATTCGCAACATTAAGCGGATCTCCATCAAAGGATTCTCTTAGTCAAAATTGAACTGATATATATTTATTCTTGGAAATGATCAATAAGGTTAATAAATCAAGTGGCTCTATTTCAATATCCCGGTGATCAGAAATTTCACGTACTATAGACTTGTATGATTGCGTTAGTTGTAGTCTAGACATGAAATTTGACTTCACTCTTGCTTCTAGATATATGATCTCCCACGTGTATAAACATTATGAGCTTCTTAACTTATTTTCAGCAGTTTTCAAATATATAAATATCTGGAGTATATCCCAGTATATGTGATCTGATGATGATATATGTAAATTTTGAACGAGTCAATAGATATATTCTTGAATACGTCAATAGAAATATTTGTTATAGCTAGAGATGTCTAATTCCGTTTAGCTAATCTAACCAAAACAGTATGCAAAAAAAAAAAAAAAGAATAGATTTGAAAAGAAACTAAATTGTGATCGGATAATTCGGTTTTATCGAATTGAAACCGAACGATATATCGACGCGCACGTATACTTTTCAGATATGACCATTCACATCATTTATTGTAATCATGCAAGGTGTACGGGAAGGAAGAAAAGGAATCATCATCGATGGCATTCCTTGTGAATACTAAACACGTTCCAAGGGTATTTACGTCATGATCCCATTCTATAAATGACACCCCTCTTCTGTTTTTCTCGACATGCAGAGTCTAGAATACAGCGACTTAACTTTATACTAGTAAAAGAAAAAAAGTCAAAACTATGTCCGGTAATAAGATCTCGATTCTCCAAGATCTTGTCTTCTTCTTCTACCAGATTTTTATTCTCCGGCGTTGGTTTCATCGTAACCCTAAACAAAAATACCAAAAAATCCCTTCTCATCACGGTCTTCACCAAGCGCAAGATTTATCACATCACACCGTGATGTTCAACGTTGAAGGAGCTCTACTCAAATCAAACACCTTATTCCCTTATTTCATGCTTGTAGCTTTTGAAGCCGGAGGAGTATTAAGGTCATTTTTCCTCTTCATTCTCTACCCATTTATAAGCTTGATGAGCTACGAAATGGGCTTGAAGACCATGGTGTTGTTGAGCTTCTTCGGGGTTAAAAACGAAAGATTTCGAGCGGGGAAATCGGTTTTGCCTAAGTATTTTCTAGAAGAAGTCGGGCTCGAGATGTTCGAGGTTTTGAAAAGAGGAGGCAAGAGAGTTGCTGTGAGTGATTTGCCTCAAGTAATGATTGATGGGTTCTTGAGAGATTACTTGGAGATTGAAGTTGTGATCGGGAGAGAAATGAAAATGATCGGTGGTTACTACTTAGGCATCATGGAGGAGAAGAAGAAACATGAATTTGATTTCGGTAAATTGATTCAAGAAGAAAAACTAAGTAGTGGTCATGTCATTGGCATCACTTCCTTTACTTTTCCAAGTCACCGATCTCTATTCTCTCAATTTTGCCAGGTAAATTATTATATTTCGATATGTATATGTATATGTATGTAATCTAAAGTTCTATAGTTGTTTTTCTTTATATCTAACTTTGGGTCATTCTAACAGAAATTTTGGACCCAAGAATGGTCTTATATAGAACTGACGTAACTGTATTTTTCTGGGAGATAAATAAAATTAAATAAACCTTTGTGTTACCGATATTGTTTTCCATATTTTAAAATCTTTTATGTTTTTTTTTAATTATTTTTTCAGTTTTTTATGACATATGTGGAAGATCTAGTAATAAATTATTAATGTTTGGCTTTTAGTCTATCTTCTAACTTTGTAAAGTACGTTTTTACTTTTTTGGGTTTTCCGATGTCTGGGAACTCAATAATAAAATATTACTGTACAGTATATAGAAGTCCCCAATAGAATTTGTTTAGTTTTAATGTGGCTCTTTGAACGAATAAATAGATGCATTGATTTTCTTGGAATCTTTTAAAAAATAGACTTTATATATGGCTCGAATTCAAAGTTGCAAACCATAGACTATTGTAAAGTAAAAAGGTGAATGATTACGTTCTGATGCATTAAATGCAAACCATAGACTATAATTAACTTGATATAATCTATTACTATTGGTATTTTTTTTTTCATATATACATGCATATAAGTCCACTTCTCTAATTCTCTAATTTTTTTCTTATATACAGGAGATTTACTTTGTCCGAAATTCAGACAAAAAAAGTTGGCAAACCTTACCACGAAATCAATACCCTAAGCCATTGATTTTCCACGATGGTCGTTTAGCCATTAAGCCAACACCTTTAAACACACTCGCATTATTCATGTGGGCCCCATTCGCCGCCGCTCTAGCCGCTGCGAGACTCGTCGCCGGCCTAAACCTCCCTTACGCCTTAGCCATTCCTTTCCTCGCCTTCTCCGGTCTCCGCCTTACCCTCACCGTCAATAACCAAATTGACCTAATTTATACCGACCAGAAAAAAGGTTGTCTCTTTGTGTGTAACCATAGAACGTTACTAGACCCACTTTACATTTCTTACGCTCTAAGAAAGAAAAGCATCAAAGCTGTTACGTATAGTCTAAGCAGATTATCTGAGCTTCTAGCTCCGATCAAAACCGTTAGATTGACTCGTGACCGTGTCCAAGATGGTGAAGCCATGGAGAGATTGTTGAGCCAAGGAGATCTCGTGGTTTGTCCCGAAGGGACTACGTGTAGAGAGCCTTACTTGCTTCGGTTTAGTCCACTTTTCGCGGAGATTAGTGACGTCATCGTACCGGTTGCTATCGACTCGCATGCGACTTTCTTCTATGGCACGACGGCTAGTGGGTTTAAGGCCTTTGATCCGATTTTCTTCCTCTTGGATCCTTACCCTTCTTACACCGTCCGATTGCTTGATCTTGTTTCTGGAGGTGGCTCGTCCACGTGTCAAGATCATGATGATGGTAAAACTAAGTTCGAGGTGGCTAATCACGTGCAGCATGAGATCGGGAAAGCCTTGGGGTTCGAGTGCACCAACCTCACGAGAAGGGATAAGTACTTGATCTTGGCCGGTAATAATGGAGTTATCAACAAAACATAAATTGTTTTGAGTGGATTATCTTTTAATTAATTAGGGCGTTCTTTGTGTGACCATTATGCTTGATACTTTTTGGTATAAGATTTTTTTCTATGATGTATCAATCTTTTTGTGTGACGACTGCATATATATGTACATCATCCAATATTTTTTCTTAATTAGATTATGTCTTTGAAAAGTAACGACATTACTGGACTTTCTATATTAAAGTACAAAAAGTCAATATAGTATACGCTTAGACTTTTAACATGGTGGCAAAAGCGATGGACCTGATAAATTTATATACATCATTTTACCCAAAAAATGATGTTATATATACGCTTAGATTTTTTAAAAAAGATTGTACTAATATGTATTCGTGCCTTCTTTGTAACTAATT